ATTGGCGGAGACCTTACCTTCTCTTTCGCTCTATGTCCATTTCAAAACCAAATTACTTAAACTGTGGAGAATGTCCCAGGCTATGATCACCTTCTTTTGCACTTTAATTCCACTAAAATTAACTTAATTCAATTAAATCCTCGTCTTATTTGTCCGACTGTCAGACTATCAAACACTTGAATTCCTATAACTATTTGGATTGCTGTGTTCTTAAAGATCATCTTATGTCCAGTTCGTTATTTAAGGTCTATAAAATGTTCCGAATTCACTCATACGGATTGAAACATCTAACGTAGAGGCCCATGAGAACCTGGCGGTTAGTTAGATCTCACGGCGCTTTACTATCCCTCTGACAACGTGCGATTAGGCTAGCAGATTAATAGCTGTTGGGGTTATCTGCTCCGATTTCCGGTACTTTACCATAAAAGTCGTTGGCTCTCCTGGTTATGTGAAGGTGAATTCAGCCCAAGTCTTGGTTTTCAGTGAACCTCTAGTCAAATCGTTTTGTACAAATAACTGCTATGAAATCTGAGGGAACATTTGGAAAGTTTACAAGTTCGTTATGGAACAAAACAACCTAGAGTAGACAAACACAACCTTTAATGGGAGCACTCATTTGTGTGTGTGCCTCCCTGTGATTGAAAAATTTCTCTTCCAACTGACGACTATACTGTAAAAGCGTTTCTAGTGAAATGGATGGTAAAAGCAAAATATATTTCAGAATAATTCTTATTTAGTAACACGGTTCAGCTGCCATTTGAGTCTAATAAGAAAAGAAGTTAAGCCAAATCAGTAAAATGAAGGAGGTGACTGAATAACTGAAAGAGTTCTGAATAAGTTCAAATGAGTAGGGTCAAAGGGGAAGTGGTCTTTTCCTCCTTGATATCTCGAAGTGAAGGAAGACCGATTTACAGTTTAGTGCAGAATAATGGTGATTGAAGGAATTGCACTAATTAATGTTTTCTACTCTATCTCTAATTTGTCAAAATTTGCCTCAGTCCCACGCAGTCTAACAGACTAGTCGGCTCCATGGAGCTGATGTCGCCTGTTAGGGCACAAATGAGCAAAATGGTGGTTCATCATGCAACTGAGAAATTCTGTGTGTTCTACCGAGACTGTTTATTGTCTGATATAAAACAAAGCATTCCTCTCCATCTCTTTCAAGTCAAATAACTCCGCATCGGAGGAAATGCAGTGTAAACTATTGTATAGATCCTTTGGTAGCGGAGTTAGTAGTAGGAATAAATAAAATTGCGTGCTACAACATTGTTGCGTGGTTTTACCACTCCAATGGTAAGTCCAATCAGCATTGACAAGGCACTGACATGGCTGACTGTTCGTCCCTAATTTTTAGCGTGACTTCAAATAGGACAATACTTAAGTTGCTAGAAGAAAACCGATGCCGTTTACATAATTACAAGTTATAAGTTGTAAGAGATCATGCATTAGTTTACAACATTTAATGAGTTGGTTACTTGCCTTCACAACATGGGCATTATGACCATATTTATGCATATTCTCGTAAGAAAAATACAGCTCCCTTTAAAACTAGGTTTGACAAGCATCTTAATTGTAATACCTCAAGTTTTCCTAAAGTCGAAGTGGGTCCCAATACCGGGGCAGAATGTGCATTTCCGACGTGCAGAAGCGTCGAGGGGCTACTGGCATGACCCGGAGACCGTGCCGTCCAGAGGAAGTACAGGGGCGAGCTTTAAGATCTGTGCAGCTAAAACGAAAGGGTAAACAAGCGCTCCAAGTATTACATAGCCCCCTCTCCTTTTGAGCGTCGTCCCCAGCGCTCACCACGGTCAACCTCTCGCGTCACTCATAACAACGTTGTCGGTTCTGTAAGTAAAAAACTCAAGTATCATCTGCTCCACTCATCAAATTAGTGTGCAATTAAAAGAATATCAAACTACAAAATCCCTGATTTTCTGCCTGGTTATGCAATTTCGTCCTTTTTGGGAAGTGTATTGTGAAAATGGGAAATGTGTAGACCGTCTCGTGTGCCCATCGCCTATTGTTGGAATACTGACTCAAAAGCAGTCGCTTAACAAGAGAGGGGGTCTAAAATATTTTCGTAGGAGGAGGGTTTTACGTCCGTTCCTTTTTGTCACTTTGTTCTCACTTCAGTATCGCTCAGCATTACCTATCTGGATCCCATTCTACATACAAGTATCGTAGACAACTTCGTAACGGAGCATCCCTGGTGGTTCACATCTGGTGGCTCTTCAATAGTTAATAGCATTTCTACAGAACACGGGACTGGGGTAGTTCTAACCCTTTACTAGGGGACGTCAGAGATTATCCCATCCGCTGCATATTCCCTTCTTCTGGCGCGTTAATGTTTAGCATTTGGCAATAGAACTCAGGGTAGCTGTCCCTTAAGACTGGGTTTGCTTTCCACTGCCATTAATGTAGCGTCTCGAGTCTTCCCTAGAGTCGAAGGAAGACGTAATGCCAAGGCTGAGTATGTATTGTCGACGTACAGAAGGGCTGGGAGGCTACTGACATGCCTCGTAGACCACACTGCCTAGCGGAAGCACAAAGTGCTCGTAAATAGCAACAAAGAGTTAGCAAACCATCAAAAAGATATTGGACAGGGCAAAATTATTAGGATTGAATAAATGAAAGCATAAGAAATAGCGAAGAAGCTGGGTAACAGTTTCGTTCAAGAGTTTAAGGAACATATTTTAATGCGATGTTTTTACGAAGTCGGTGTACAAAGGAATGACATTTGCAAGGCATTTCTAACATTAGTGAATAAATGTAACAAATCCGACTATTCGCCCGAATAAGGTCGTGAAACACTCTCAACTCTCCACTGTACTGATGACGCGTTCTTTGTGAAGCAGCAACGTTGTACTTCACAGCGGATGCTCAGTCATACCTGGTCGAGGAACGGCGGATGGACTCACCGACTCTCACTCAGACTAGCTAATGGTAGACTGACTCACAGATTACTACAAGAGGCTAACATTTTACAATCGCAGGATGCCACTTCCTCCTCATGCAAACTTAGGCACGTTAAATTGGATGGTTAGGTGAGGGAATGATTACACGCAGGACCCAAGATTTTGCCTTATTTGTCTCGTCTAGGAGGTCACATTCGTGTTCGCGTATAAATGCTTCATCGCACTTAGGCGAAGTCCATGGAGGATAGTATCCGAAAAGGGGTTTAATCCAAATTTCATGTTTTGAGAACATATCTGTTCAACCGACGATTCCAATATATTAAGTTTTGTGAAGTATAAGGAGACACTAAAAAGGCGTTTTCTGTGCCATGGTGAAAAGTTACTGTGAACGATTTCTGTGTTAAGGACTTCGAACTGCTTGCATTCCATGAATGGTTTGTGGTTGCTTTTCGTAAGATTTGAACGCCGAATTGGAGACTCTTAGTGCTTAGATGAATGTAGCTAAGTGGAGAGTGGAAATGAATTCCTCTGAATAAAGCCATAATCCACCAACTTTTCTAGAGGGCAAATGACAATCAATAGACAGACTTGGAGTTCTGACAAATCAGACTATCATGCCAGTCAGTCGCATGACCCGCAATCATAGCGATTAGTTTGAGTATTGTAAATCCAAATCCCCGTTCAGGAGCAAAGTTATACAACTGTGAAATGAAATGATGCTTTTTGGTTTAGGTGTGACGCTATACAGAACTTTAAAGTCAACCGCGATTTGGCCTAAACACCATGACATGGAACTCGGCTTGTCTCACTTAGACCGATAGCCCCCCAACCCGTCTGTAGGCTGATGATGAAGTTGTTTCCAGACTTACCCTTTAAGGCATTTGGGGTCAACCTGGGCGTTCCATTAGTGATGGCGTGGGAAACAGTACACAGACTATAGGTCTTTGCAAAGAACGTGGCTGCTCGTCGAAGTCAGTGGACTGCTTGCTCTAACTCTGAACTCGTACAATGCCCTCCGATGCGAAAAAATGAACATGGGAGACCCACAACATAATTGCCGAATCAGCATCAACTTCGTTTCCCGGCGGCCGGCCTGGAACGAGCAAGCTCGAGGAATCCGTAAAATGATTGCTTTTTCATAGTTTTGTACAAACGGAAACAAGGTAGCGATTATGGGAAACTGGTGCCACTCCAAGATGTAAAAATGCGGTGACAACCCTGGTGACATGAAAACGATCTCTTCAACTAAGTTCGCTTTCAGGTTAATGCCTCAGAGAAGGGGGATCAACATATGGAATGTGAGAAGCCGCCAAATCGAATAAGCGCACCGCGAACGGTTTTCAGGGCTTTAGTATGCAAACGAATGGACCCACTGAAGTCGGCGTGGTGAGGATGGTCCAACATTCAATCTTCACTCCTACCTTACAGTTGACCTCACTTTACTCGACTGTAGCCAAGGTGATTAGAGCGGGTCATTAGTTGAAGCTCCAAGAAAAACGCCCGAGATGGACTAACGATGATGCAAAAAGAGGCGCTCTTTCATGCAAGCCCGCCAAGAGCCTCTTATTTCCACTCTGTAGGCCTCTAACAAAGTTACTCATGCAATCAGATGTCTTATAAAGATATCCTCCAGTCCATCAAAACAACTAACTGAAAATCGAAAAGACGTTGAAAATCAAATGTCCCACCATTGTTGGTAGTAGTAGTAATGGAGGTGATGGTATGTTGGTGAACAGTGCGAATGTGTACTCACACAGACAGACACTCCAGGCCGTCCCAAGCATTTACCATCGCTAGTACAGGCTACTGCGCTCACTCTAGATATCGACAGCAGCGGTGGTAATAGCACCAGTAGCACTAATGGGGAAGGGGAAGACGAAGCACAAAGAGGGGGGGGGGAGAAGGAAAGAAACCAAGCCAGATAAAGCTACCAAAGGCGCAAAGAAGGAGAGAAGCTTACAGGTAGGCAGAGTTGGAAGAATAGTATGTACACAAAGTTGGCAAGGAATGTTGGACTAGTGAAGCCAGAGGGAAAGGGGAGGGAGGCCATGAGAGTACACGCGGACACACGCAACCAAGGATAAATCACAGCGGTGCGAGAGGCCGCAATTCCATTATCTGCTTGATGAGGTATTTCTTCTCGTCATTGAACTGCATGTCATCCTGTCGATCGTTTTGGAAGTTTTCTAGGAAGGAGATCAATTTATCCCGATTCTGGTAGAGAATCATGTGCACCGGTCTTGACTTTGTCGGACTCGCCACGAACACCTGCAAGTTGGCAAATCACTAAGCATAAAAAATATCCGATTTCCCGGAAGATATTGGCTTTAAATGCTAAAAAGATATGTGACGAACCGATTCTCTTATTTGTGTCTGTAAGCCACACGTATGTGCCACGTTTGAATAAAAGTGATGTATACAAGAAAAATTGGTAACACATTAGAATAACAGAAGAGCTGGACTATGGAATTCAGCTTGCCTCTGATAGCTTAACATCGGAAGTAGTAATAATCCCTTGATTTTCAGGGCTCTTGTCGTTGCTGTGTAGATGTAGTGTGCGTCTTTGAAAACGTTAACGCTTCAGGGATCTTTGCTACCGGGGCAGCTGTAGAGACCTTCAGTGATGTTAGTGCTTGACTGGTGAGGCGGTAACTAGTTGATGATGGCGCAAGGGATTCTGTTCTTACAGGCAATTTTATCCTTAAACATTAGCCAGTCATAGACCTGAGCCGAGACTGAAGTGATAAAGGATAAAAGTGGGTGAGGTGAAAGCGGTGTATACACCTTAAAAGCTACAAAAATCAACAGTGAACCAAGGGAGCAGAATGGAAGTATTTTGAACACGTTGATGAGTGCATTACAATGCATGCTGCGTAAAAGTCCAAGCAATTAAGTATATCCAAGACGTCTTAATAGAGATGAACTTCAGATTTAAGCTTCTTTTTTACTAACGAAGAGATTAAGCTGAAGCGCCGTCGCCAAAAGACAATGAAATAATGAACACCAGACTGGAACGCGTTACTTTAAAACAATTTCCGTCGTGGAACAAATTGACACAGCCATTCAGAGGATCAAAAACATCAAGGAACGGCGTGAGTAATGATGTTTTGAAAAATTCCCATTCGTCCGCAATTGTAATCCTGATAGTGGGCCAGACACTTAAAGATAACGAAATCAGATGGTAATGGAGGTAAAAGCACTAACCCCAAAAGCGTAGTGAGTACCTCGACAAATAGCTGGAATCTAACAGTGTGATGTAGAATTCAGGAGCTCGCATTAAAATATTTTACAAATTAAAAATTACATCCAATTTCACTAAGGCTTCTCCTTTCCTCACAAGAACTCAAAGTAATATGCAAATGCCAAGACATTCATATAATCAGCAAGTAGAAGTATATAATGAGGGAAAGAAAGTTATTTTCTCTAATGGTCAAAACGAACCAATGTTTTCTGACCCGACAGAGCTGGGTAAGCACAAGGAGCAATGACGTAGAGAGCAACGAAGTTCTGCTCAAAATAGCGTGCTGAATCTCTCTCGCATTGTTTCCAACATCAGAAGTGGAGAGCTTCCCAATCAAAGGCAGGCAACCCGACCACCTGGTTTACAGAGAGCAGTTTCCACACGCCACCCACGGCAATATGCTGGAAGGGCTAGCGAAGTGTGTTTTGGTAGCGTGCAACGCAGCGGCTTTTAAGAGTAACTGCTTGAGGGTTATAAATCACTTGAAAATTTAAGCCAATTTTCGTTACGAATTCGCACATTTTACTAAACAAAAGGCATAAACAACACTTCATCATCAAAACAACTACAGCCATGGGAAGGAACGATAGTGATAAGAAGCAAAGAAATAAACGTTACAATTCATCAGATCAACAAAGATGACAAATGAAGAGTGAAAAACACGTTACCTCTAATCCTCCGATGGACTATAAAGCCCCAGATGAAATTTTCTTCCAAAGTGGTTTTATTATATTAAGACATGAAAATAGCTGGAAAAGGTTTGCTATTGAAAGATACCCAGGCTCAAACTGGATGGGCGCCTGTTGCAGCAGGCCCCGAAAGAATGAGTAATGCTGGATTAACGAGAATTAGGCACGGTGTCTGGGACACTTTTCCAAGGACGAAAGAACGTACTACTAAAGTTCTCAAATTCGTTAAGGCTGTCGCACAAACACATGTACGCACAAGTACACACAAGTGAATCACCAGAGAGGCATTTCAGCAAAAGCGTCTATGTGCGAGTGAGAATGCATTTACAGTACCATGCGAATGACTATATGGTTATAGGTGTGTGTGGCAATGATATTCGTCCATCGCCTCACTTGTGCTCGAGGGATTTCATTACCCCATAAGGCAATTTGAAACTGGTGTATTTGACAGTAATAAATGGACTATTTAAAATATGGATATTTTCTCGACTACTGATTATGGCACGAACGCCGTGAAACCATAAGGTCGTGTACATCACCACATTTGAACCCGATTTAATGGCATGTGATGTAGCAAATGAAACGTGAATAAAACAGAAAAAAAGTGTAAGCGCAATAATCGCTGATGACACAAGTCTTTAGAGTGAAGCGACTTTGAAGGTTGGTACTCTCGGCTATTTGTGCAATGCGAACCTCCTTCCCCGTCGACTGCCCAAATATGACTGTAAAGTCGATGTGAACTTTGGAGTGAAAACGTGAGACGGACCTACCTTAAAACAGTGGAACGTTTCAAAAGCAATTTGTTTCTCCTTGCTTTTGAGCAGATTCATCATAAGCTTGAGGTTCTCAGGGTCAGCAATGTACCGGTTCATTATCTCGCTGTTGTGACGGTCCAGTAGGAGCTCTCCCAAGAGCTACAAGAAAAAATCATGTTGGTAAGGCCTTGGTGACAATAAAGCAAAGAGCAAACACACTTATTCTATTATAATCTGCGACGATGGCCCCTGTGCCCCTCAATATGCTTATAAAAAGACAACTTTCAGACTTCTGTTGTGCAGCATCAACTTGGGCACTGTAGAAAAGTACATAGAAAGACGGATAAGAAGTGAATGAATGACATGATTTTTTATAGGCAGTACAATAGATAGTCGCGGAAAGTACAAAAGCAGCTATATCGACAATGAAGGCATGACTAGTAATCTGACAACCCACACCCGCTCTCGTTAGATGTGACGCCTCAAAAGAGGTAAAGACTGCTATGGCTGGACGATCGAGATTGTTAGAATAGATCTGTTAGATTATGATTAGACTAGGTACCTGTGGTAACTTGAGTGTAACATATAAATAAAATTGATTGAATGATAAGCGTCATACTAAGATCGAAACATTAAGGACCAGTTACTACCTGTGCTATCCGAATGTGACATTTGATTCGTGAATTAAGAAACTTCATGAGTCCCACAAACTACCTACAGTCATGTGAATATTCTCCCAGCACAAGCGAAACCGGAAACGAGCGCACATACGTACGCACGATTTAAGCCTCATCGGTTAATTTAACAAACGCCATGCTTTTGAGGGAACCAGAGTTTAGTAAATTGCTGACCCAGTGATCATGACTACGTACGAAAACTCTTTTCCCATTAAACAAATTAATTGGACTGAAGTGGTATGCATCGGCAAAAACAAGCCCATTTCGGTAATCTACGCTTTCGTGGCTAAAGCAGGAAAGTGCAATTGAGTGAATTGACCAATAGGAAGCGAACTCCGAAAGTCAAGCAAGAATACAATATTGTCAGGACTATTGGCTCACGAGGGTACGATAAAAATGAGAGGTCGATACTAGAGCCCTCATTTGGAAACACAGAGTGAAAAGCAGCAAACCAAAAATCAACACTACTCAACAATTTCGATTTTGCGGCGAAAAAAATAACTTCACATTCGAATATGAAGACAAACAGAGCACACCCCGATAAAAGACGAAGGCGGCATTACGATTAGTGAGCTCATTCGCAAGTGCTAGGCACGGTTTAAAACAGTCACATAGAGAAAAAAAGTACAGCACTCACATATTTCGTGATTTCTCACTACAAAGTAACGCCATAAAACTCGACAATTGAAAATAAATCACAATTGCGGTGGGAGTATCTCAGTCGATTTTCTTCAAATAAAGCCAAGATACGTGCTACAGGATTACGTGAGTAACATGTACTAATAAGGTATTGCGATTTATCACCGTTTAAGAGAAGTGGTACAAAGGTGAGTTACTCTTCTGTAATAGGGAATTCTAGAATTCATAAGCACCAAATATAAAAGCAATGCGGCAAAATCATGTCAATCAGGCAGGTTTTATGTCTTATAAGTCACGCGAGAAAATTCCAATTACTTCTAAGCGAGCGAAAAGGATTCAACAACGCACTATTAAAAAGCCAACATCTTTTTGAAGCTTAGCACCAGTGGGAACTGCGAAAGTGTGGTTCCACACAGGTGACCCGATACAAACAAAAACGGCCAATTCGAGAGAGGCTTTGTTGCGAATGAATTAATATAATCACATTATTGCCTTTCGAAGTACCAAATATGAGGCACTGTTACGGCTATTAATTCAAAAAAATGCTATTAAACGAGACATTAGACCACCTTAAACTGGTGCAACAGAAAAAGGGGGCTAACAATACGAACCCGGACAGCCCAGAGAAAAGTGACAAGCCAGCTCCTTGACAATTCCACCATGTAATGCTGGCGCGTGTTTGATTATCAAACATTAATACACATAAACGACACATGACCAAGAGTATTTAAAGGCATGTAAGTATGTAATTACCCACACCCAAATGTCTGAAAGAGAGTATATTAGAGGGCAAACAAATGTCGATAAGGAGTGGCACCTATTGAAAGTTCACCCAGTCCTGAAAACCATGCGGATGCGTGGGTGAAAGTGTGAGTGGGCACGTGCATGAATAAACGAACAATGCCAGAATTCAGTGCATATATTTTGGTGGTCGATATACCAACTGTGGGCATTACCTTCAGAGCCTGACGCTTGGTGACGTAGTTCTCAGAAGTGAGCATAGTGAGGTAATGCTTGAAAAAGACGTCGTAGTTATTTATAAGGAAGTCTGCCACCTCAGGCTTGTGTCGAGTTAGCAGGTCCCGGAGGGTCGCAAAGGCATCGGAGCTGATATCAAATGCAGTGCCTTGTACGTGCCCAAAGAGATCATAGAAACCGGGCGAACCCAGGACCAGCTTTGTTATGTTCTCGTTCCGACAGGCATCTCGCAATATCTGTGCAAAACGCGCAAAATAAACATCATAAATAACCAAGGTTTACGACAATTACACAATTGTCATGCAGCATTTTAAGCTAGTAAACTCACAGCTCCAAAGTGGATGGCGGTCTCAGGTGTATTATAGCCTTTAAGAAGAGTGGCCAGTATTTCAGGATGTTCGCAAAGGTACCGAACCATAGGATTGAATGGACGTGCAGGTTTGCGAAGAATGTGACCAAAAAGTTCGACAATTTGCTTACAACTCTACACAAAGATCTGACCAATTCGCGAACTTCCATACCTCAAATTCTATGGCATCGAGATGAGCGAGAATGAGTGGAACCATATCGCGGTTAATAATTTCTTGGGTAACTTCAGATATTATTTCGCTTATACGCGCCCTCTCTGCGTTCGAAAATTCAGTATCTTTGTCCTTCCCGGAGACACGAGAATCAGACCGTTCCACAAGAGCTTCTTTCAAGGAGCTTAGTGCTCTTGCGATCTCCTCCACAGCTTTCCGTCTTTCCTTATCGTTTTTATTGACATTATCGAGTACCTAAAGATGAGTGGGTCGAGTTTTAAAATACTAGCTTACCAATAAGCTATCATAAATTACGGCAATGTGTTCTCGAGGCTGCTTATGCTTATTAAACATAGGCATTATAGGCATGATGATCAGCGAAAAGCTAAAAAACCGAAAGATAAACGAAATAAGTGATAAAGGCGAAGTAGTTGTATGGTGAGTCACGAAAAAGGCATTTAATGCCACAACCTCAGAAGCCCGTAACGAACACTAGGTAAAAGCGCCGGAGAGATCAGTTGTCTAAAACAACGAAATTGTTGTTGATTTGACATAATATTTCACTAGTTACCTCTAAGGCCAATGCAATGTCGTATAAAAAGCTCAAAATTATTCTAAACGGGAAGCGCTGAGAGAAGCTAAGAGGTTAAATGGTCTGGCCATGCTCGATGCTACAGGGATGCAAATTGCTGCACAGTTAACCCCAAAGTAATCTCGTGCAGTGATATTCTGGATATGAATCAAAGCAATATTTGCAATACTATAGTTAAATTATAAATTTTGTCTTATATTACTGATAAAAAATACACATACTAGGAGCATAATTGTGCCATTGTAATACGTCATCTGTTAATATGATTTTGTAAGCATGCGAAAAATGGCTTAAGTGCTTGCTTTTCACCAAGTAACTGTGATACAGACTTTACTGCTATAGTGTAGGAGACTCAAAGTGCACCTCTTTTGCCTTGGCCTTCATTCACTTGAAGCTACTGGACTGATTAGATGAAGTCCCTCTTTATTATTATTATTATTTTAATGGGATACAGTGATAAGAATTATGATTACTTAACGCTCGGCTTTTATCTTGAATAAGGATTACATACCTCTTAAAACAGGATTTATGATCGCTTATCGCCCCTTGCCTATAAAGTGCATTCCATGAATGTGTAATCAAATAGGAGTGGAAACCATCAGGATTTTTAAAGTTCAGCTCAAGCACAAATGTAAGACACGTTTAGATAGGTGCTTCTCTAAGTGAGGAGAGACCAAGGTGAGATGACATCACTGGCCTCTGAAGAGGACACAAACACCGATCTACTCTAAATTTGGTAAATTTTACACACTTGCAGTAGTTCTCAAAAAGACGTCCTTAAGTAAACAATCCTCTTCTTCAAAGTGCGCTATAGCAGAGGCAGTAAAGGAAAGCGCTGGACTCGCTTTATGAGTATCAAAGCGCCAAAGCTTAATTCGCGCTTGACATCCAGTTATTACATTGTTTGCAATGTAATACGATAGTGGTTTATCCCTCGGTACTAGTGAGGTGCCACTTTTGGTACTTTGAATTAGCCCTCTTGTACCTCGCTGGGTGGTCTGGCCTTTCGGGCCATGCCAATAGCCCAGACACCTTTCCTGCCCTGAATACATATTTTAAAGGAGTACTTTGTCTTCACTCGTCTTCGAGGAGTCTCGAGACGCCACAATCATGCTCTGGATATTTTACGAATAAGAGGTATTTGATGACGAAGTGACTTTATTTTAATCAGCAACGACCAGGATGTATCCAAAGCTATCCTTAAGCAACTTATCATTAAGTCGCTACCTAATCGACTAAAAGTTAAGATAGTACGTTTGTGATGCATTAGTTTGTAAGTTTTGGTTTTGGCAGCAAGCCTTTTTTGAGTCGCCATTATTGTATTTTCGCCAGACAGGCTGTCCTCCGGGCTATGTAGTAGCTCCAAAACCTACTGTGGTTTAAGTGTGTATTCTACTCGAATATCATGTCTTCTTGCCACTTTCGGGAGGTCTCGGAGCTCTATATTTAAGATATCGGAAAGCGGACCCCATCCTAAAAGACATCTATTCTTCCGCTTACCTATGACAGCTTACCCATTTCCGTGTCCTGCTAAAATGGTTAATAAAAAAGAGACGTCACTACCCGTTGACCACTCAAATTGGTATTGTCACGAAGATGTCTACCACGCTTTCATGAAGATGTTAAATACATGGAAACGCGACACCTCCACTTCCCTACCAGCTAAAGAGAATCATGATTGACGATATTGGGCAGGTCTAAAGTGAAGACAACGTAAAGAGAAGGTATGGAAATAACACCCTACCCAACGCACCTATAATCAGTTATGTTCCTTGATACATGCCTACGTAATACTTACGTTGTTTTAATGTACCTTCCGGGGAAGAGGCGTGGATATGGAACGAACCTGGTGACTAAGGGGTCAACGTCCAGCGAACCGGAGAGCGGTTGCGTAATCCCACCCCACTAAAGTCAGTACTGATTTCTCCCATTTACTCGCCCTAACAAGCATTTTAAAATTAAACCAACCTGGAAGTTCTAAGGATATGAGGACCAGTGATGAGGAGACCTACGAGCCCCGTCTATACTTATGTCTTTGGCCCAGTGTTCTTGCGCCCACCTATAAACACAAGTGCTGGCCAGTACATTACCCCCTCTACCAATGCACGTCTCATTAAGGATGGAATCCCGGACCCAAAAGAATTGCCAAGGAAGTTCAGTGACTTCTTATTCAAGTATTTTCTTACATGCATAAGTTTGGGTGACTGCCAAGGTTGGTTTTTGGGTGTTGCCTTACGGCACTGATTACGTTTTGGTGGCTGACGTGAGAGGCTGACCAAAGGGAGCGTAGGGGACGACGCTCATAATAGGAGAGTGACTTTGCGCTGCATTGGATGATAAAATATATTGGCTTTGGTATGGGGTCTACTTTGCATCTTGGCCTTTTTATCTTAGCCGAGTGAGTAGGTATCTAAGCCATGCCAGTGTAGAGTCCCTAGACTTCCCTGAAGACAAACGAACACAAAATACTCGGGCAGGACATATATATTCAGCACAGAGGGGGTATTTTGGCTACTGCCATGACCCGAAGGCCAGCCCACTCGGCTTAGTACAAAGACTGATTCAAAAGTGGCTCTTTACCAATGCCGAGAGATAAAAAACCACCGCATTACACCAGGATCCCCGGGTTCTTCTGCATATTTAATATACATATTCTACCCTGGTTTTATGTCTTATTTTGTTTAAGTGTTAAAGAAAACAGTAAATTAGTGTAAATCTATACTATCACATGCTGACTATTCATATTCTTTAAGTGTCACACGTTACAATGGCTGGAAAATTGTGCCGCCTATTAGATTATTCACGATGCGTAAGTAATTGGACTTGTTTTGCTACAAATCCCTATAAATGAAGCCAAAAAATATTCTAATTTATCGTTTTTGAATTAAGTGGCTAGTTTACTTTCAGTATTTGATGATATCCTTCAAACATACTTATTGTTTAGTCCTACGACCAACGCATTCTTGATTCGTCGGTTGTGGCGATTCTTCAAGTTTCGAGTATTTGACCAAGTTGATCGGTTTTATTGCATGGGTCAGAAGCATTCCTCTCAAGGTAAGGTACATCTATCTAACTTTGGGAACTTTAAAAATTAGGAAATCGCGCAACCCAGTCCTCAGTCGAAGACGTTTCATCGGGTAAGCCATACTTTAATATATTCTTCACACTGTTCCGGGTTTGCTAGTGTGTTTTATTTGGTTCGGGCCGCTTCCCATTTCTAACCTGTTAATTTATTTTGCAAAATCACATAGTATTGTAGGAAGTGGCAATTGGCGCTCCCGTGGCGCTCAATGTTATGGCCCGTTTAATCCTTTATTTAACGTAAATTATGCATTACTTTGAAATGAATGTTAAGTGGCAGAGAAGGTATCTAAAATTACTTATTATTTACTTGACTACAACTGCAGTCCATGGTCTCTCCTCACTAAAACGCTGACTGCATATTTCACTCTCATCTGACGTTCTGTCTAGAAGGAAACAATCTAGCCCTGAGCACTTTCCTGATTGGTTCTGGCTTATTCTGGAAAAGAAACTTTTCTTGTTGAGTGGATGGTTTCTATGCATAACCAGTTGATCTTTAGCAAATAGACACTTGCATCTGATGTCTATCGCAAGCCTTGACACAAGAAAGGCGGATGTAATTTTTTAATGACGTGGTGCTTGCCTTAGAAGTTTGGAGTCGGTAGTGGATCGTGTGAGAGTATGTTCGTTTGCCTAGCTCTTTCTCATCACAAATTACCAGACTAATCGTCCCGAATCTTCAATACATTCTTTGGGGGCGGATTTGAGGAACAATAAATGGACCGTTTAGATTTTTTTGTCATTTGTTAACGGGTGGAATCTACTTGCATGGGATATTTTGCGACTTTTCTTTTCCAATCAATGAAGAGGTAAACTAGCTGTTTCATCCATCATGCGAATTCTGGAGTGGATTAGTCAGTAGCAATGGTTATCACTCCGCTCTTCCTGAACGTGATGCGTCTGTGAATTATTCATAACCAATGTAATTTTATGAAACGTTTCGGACGACACCCTTTGTCTTCAAGTCCTGTGCATCGGATTTCACGGTTTTTCCATGTAACTTTAAAGTTGAATGTAAATTCACAGAGCAGGCAGGCTTGAATTGTATCTGGTTCTCCTCGGCCTATTTGAAATTTTGAATTGACCAAAAAGTGGTGGAAAGCTCACCTGGAATACAAGTCCGTTAGGCTGAGGGGTATCTGTATATGCTCTATAACACATGGGTGTAAACAATCGCACGTATTTTACAAGTCCCTTTAGGCTATAAGAAATCATTACACCAAGAACTGCGCGTTCCTTTTTGGTCGTCTGATAATTTAAGTCCACTTTTAGTTTATTTTGACCTGATCTTTTTGTATATTTTTTACGCATCTGGTGAAATCACATAAGTATAGGAAGTGATGCCTCCTCGGTACTAATGTGGTCCTCATTCCTACATTAGTTGGTTTTACATTCTATTGACGGTACTAACTTGTAACCTATGTCTCTATTTTAGACCCTCGTCTTTTATCTGTCGAATGTAAATGCAGACTTATCTCCGGTCCTAACATCGCATAACTATCCGCAAAGCCCCGTTCTCTCTGTTATTCTATTTCCAATTATTATGCTTTTCTCTATTATTTTCAGCTCGCGGAGATCGAAAATCACATCAGGAAATCACACTTCCTGTCAAAAATCGGTGCGCCTCTTCACATATTTTTGAGCTCTTGAATTGATGATATTTTTCTTCATATACAATGATTTCAGGTCGTGTACGGACGCTCTTTGCTGCATCATCTTTATCGTTTGCATTCTCCTACTAGCATGTGTTGCTGGATTTAGTGAGTTGCCATTTAGCTGAATTCCTTTTCGTTTTGCAGTTTAGTTTAAGGATGCATTTGAATGAACTTCAGGTTATTTAATGGGGGACTTCAGAAGAGTCATTTTTCCCAAAGACTCACATGCCAAAATTTGTGGCGTGGATTATCCGTACGTTGTTTTTTCTTTTCGACCATTCATTGTATTTTCCAAATATTTGGCATTTGAACCTTCCACACCTTATCATTTCACATTTATTATTAACGGCTCACGGTAAATAACCTACTCATTCTTTGAATCTCAGCACCGGTAGTGCTTTATTATTTCGCGAAGCATTAGAGTGGTCAATTTTACTATTTTCAGTGAACAGAAATACCTATTCTTCTTCGATATGTTCTCATGTCTTTATCTACCAGAAGTGGTCATTCAGTATGGATGTCCCACTAAACAGGTTAGTTCCCTACCAACTGTCGTATCAGCTTTTGCAATCTTGTTGTTTATTACATTTGATCCCTTAAAATTAGACGTTTTTACTTGACTCTGTTTAACTTCTACGTAGGTATGCGTGAGTAGCTGTCCGAACTACACATGGAAAGCCTCAGAAGGAGATTCTTTTGAATCACGATCCAAAATGATCTGCGAGGGTGGAGTCTCCGGCAATTTTGAGGCTTACAAGTTAAAAGTTAGTTACTCTTTAATGGAGTCATTATGCTGTCGCTCAGTTGGCTTTTTCTATTATATTATGCGAATTCCTAGTGTCGCGTGGTCAGACCGACCACTCGGCTACGAACCTGTACTTGATGCAAGCGGTGCACACAATGTGATAGAACTAGTCGCCATTCACTTATCTGTCAACTGCTTAATCTGTGATGAGCGCCACTTTTATGCTTCTCCATTCATTCGCTTACAGGTTGTATTTGGGATCAGGATAGAAGGACGGTTCTTTTATCCAACCTTAAATTCTTTCACAGAAACGCCCATGTTGGCCACTATTGGCTATGGACTTCCGTAAAAGCCCGTATACGACGTGCTGGTTGTGGGACCAGCACTTCCCAATGGGAAGTCGAGTTAGGCATACAATTGTTGATTTAAAACCAACGTCGAAGGTGTTATTTTTTTGTGCTAATTTCTACCCATCAGATTACCGTAGAACTGCTGCCAGTTATGCGTTAATTGTCATTATCATCCTAATTACTTCAAATTCCACTAGTTTTTATATAAGCTAACAAATCAACAACTTTTTATGTTTAAAAATTAACATAGCGATCGAATCAGTAATGAATGCATCGAGGGAAACTACATCTAAGTGTTTTGCGAGTTCATCAATTGCTTTAAATGCTCTCACCTGTGGGGTACTAGCTAAGTGACTTACGATCTCTTGCCTCGATCTTCGATTCACCTACGTGTTACCAAGATGCTAAGGCGTGTTGACACTGAATACATCATCGAAATTCGCTTAATCTTTTTTAGTCAGTCAGTGATTTAATCCAGAGTGGAATCTGCGCTCCGGAAGTTTTGCCCACAGAAGCAAGTGAGTCTTACTGTCTGCGCCGTTACTTGTTCCAGCTTCATCACTTCCCTGCGTACTTTAGATCGCGCAACAATTTTGTCGTGAGTGCTTTTTGAAAAAAGTGGTTACATTGGTTAGATTTGGAAAGGCATCAATTGGGATAATCTGGAGCGTGCTTGGTTGTCTCGTGCAAATGCGAAGCTAGTCATGGCACTTGTTCAATGCATCAAGTTTTTGTAGATAGCCGAACATGGTACACAACTTTGGAGAACTTTTAGTATTTTGTTTAGACCAACAATAAATTTGGGTTGTATAGTCACGAAACGGAAGGGGTTTAGAGCCCTTGCTTAAACGGATTTAAGGCTGATCATTGCTAACTCCATTGCTTCCATGGTTGATTTAACGTGCGTGATGTATTTTATTCTGAATGCTAATTCAAAAAAGCGACAATGGAAGTAAATTGGTTGGTAGGAAAAGGAAATTACTAATTTAGAGGTCACAATAGGGCGATGTTTAATTGCCCTATGTTGGTCAGGCACTTTAAAGTCAACTTTTGTGGTCGCTCTGCGGTATCATACAACTAAGCAAAGCTGCTGTCGCTTATGCACAAACACAAGGTAAGGAAATACCAGGGTAAACACACTGTTTAGGTCCTGCAGGTTCGTCATGTGGCGTGCCTTTGCACGCGCACACTTCACTACCGAGGTGTTGTCGGCACTCCTTTATCTGTGGCGAGCAATGCCACTGAGCACAGACACCAGCTCTCCGCGTGGATTTTGACTTCATTTTTATGACGATGATGAATTTGAGCCTATTTACAGTGTCTCCGTTACTAAAATTCCTTACAAATGTGGTATATGATACTCTGATTTCCTTGCGCTTATGCGACAAATTTTATTGCAAGGCACTGAGCTAGATTGAAAAGTAGAAAATAACTAGTTATATTGGAACGGTAAAACATTTGTTCTGTGGTGGTCCGTCCACAGTCATTTTTAAATAAGGCGTTTAACGCCGAGGTGATTTTTTAGTCCTTGCGAATACTTTCCAATCATTTGAAGTTTTCCCTTTTTGAGGAGCCATTTAGAAGTTAAGAAATGGTCAAGTTTTGCGTCTCTAGTTAATCGTTAATCGGTTGCATTGACAACATCGTTTTGTGCAATGGCTCTCCTGTTGAGATGACGCTCCCACGGGTGTTTGGAGTGCCCTCTAGATTGGGACGTGGGCCTACATTACTATCAGGTATAGGGAGGTGTGTGAGCCCTCAGCCTCTCATTGGCATTGGTACAATAAAATAATTATCTCGTTTTATTTTTTAAGGTAAGACTTTATTCACTGAATGAATTGCCGCTCTCTTCGTAGTATGCTTAATTTCCATTGTGAATCGAAAACAGTCGGCGATTTTCACTAGAGTTCCATCGAAACGCTTCATATTGGTGTGTTCTGTAGTGACCCGGTTTGGTCCGGCGATGTGTTGCTCGATGGCTGAGTGCGAGGCATGGCTGATCTTCGACTTTTTCAATTGGCACCTTTATTAGACTATTGGTGGCATTATTATTATTTTCGAAAACATGAGCCTCATTGCAGAATATTCTTCAACAAATAACGAGGCGCTTGGCTGAATGATACATGATTGAAGGAGTTCCGTTGTGAGAGGCAATTTTATTCATCCACGTGGAGATACCTGAGCTTGAGACGAAGATTAATATTAGTACTTTTCTATTAATCTGTGCTTGCAATGGCAGCAGACTTTGGTATTATTACCAGCCAACTTGGTGCGACTTGGGCGAACAGCTTGATTGGTTCTGTCCCATTAGGCCACCCCTTTGAAGTTGGGCTGCATCACATAAGGGGTGAATCATTATATGTGGTCGCCTTGATGGGTCTACCATTGCAGCGTCTGGAGTTTTCCCGAAGTCATTAGCAATCCATAATAGTATGGAAGGAGAGCTTGAATGGAAGTACAAACAGCGGGCACTGAAAGTCTTTATCCGTTAGGCAAACAACAAATCACTGCATCATCCTCTTATTCTTTTGAACCTCTCCCTCTACTCTTCCCTCGGTCACACTCCTTGGACCACCGCTGTGTTTGATGCCTTAAAAACTACCTAAAAGCAGTTATTAACTTTTCATGGGTATGCGAAAACACTCAACCCCAACATCAGCTATGCACCTCGTCAGTTTCTTTGTGTTCAATGTTTTGCCCTCTGTGGGAGTCGCATCAGAAAATCTAAACGGTGCTCCACGCTAATCACGTTTTTCCTATGCCAATCATTGTTCTTAGGGGCAGTTATTCAAGGGCAGGCATTTGAGGAAGCATAATTTGAAGTAGCTCTATGGTGCTAATGGTATTGATAAGCTCCTCTTTGCCATTATGCACTCTGTTCATTATTGTCCAGCCGTCTACCTGGTTTTTGTTTAGCTACTGGGGGGATAGAGTAGTGTCATAAACTGGGTTGTCAATTTTTATGATTTAGTGTCATGTGTGTGAGTTCCCTGAAGCCTATTAAGGCCACTAACCATGTCAATGATTTCAGTGACACGTATTTATCGTAACAGGTTAGCCTTTATCTTGTAGTAGTTAGCAGTACTGTTAGAGTACATCATCTCCTGAGCGATAGCGTTTCTGGGATTACAGGCTTCCCGGTAAAGTGATATTCCAGGTTTGTGTAATTTGCAGCTTTGTAATGGTCATTTTCAGGTTTTTCAAGCTTAGTATTGCTTCAATTGTTTATTACTTTTAGAACACGAGATTGAGGTAGTTACCAAGAATAAATGTGGCTTTAGCTACCCTTCTGTAGTGGGTCCCCACGGATCCAAATATCACCAGCAAATGCCCCTTTTATGGAGCTAAGGTTTGCTAATCAACCAAAGAAATCAGGACGATTTTCCTTTGACGTGGTGCGCTTGCATTTTCTACGATTGCGGTGCCCCTAGTCAACTCTGAAGTCGTGACAGCTCATGAATTTATGGGGATCTATAAATACGTCTGGAAGGTCATGCTGCTAGGCCGGAGGCACAAACTATGGGGATTGAAGGATCTGCATGGATAAACATGCAGCTAAAGGACTATCACATTACTACAATGTATTGTATTTCTGGTGATTGGGTAGCTCGGAAAACGAATTCAAACGCAACTCTATGATTGAGAGCTTAAGTATGTGGGGGTTTACATCAATGAAGGGTGCACTGGATTTCTTTCATTGATGCAGTGCCATGACAAAAGTGCTCACTTCCTTTGCTTTGTGAAATTTTAGGCAATGTACTTTTTGCTAGTCTCCTCGACACCAAAACTGGGGAGATATGATGCGGTAGGATTTTCTTTAAATTAACTTCCTAGGGTTTTATATTCATTGGGTCGATTCTTTTGTGATCTCCAAATGTTAGCAATATTGTCTTAGTAGCGAATTATCTATATCACCACAATAATGTGTCACTGCACCTTTGACTAGTAGTGCTTATTTTGATAAAATTGTAGGTTTTTCTGCAGTCGTGGGTGTTGGGATATATTATTGTAAAAACCTTGGTGTCAGAACTTCTCTCAAATGTGTCTTTGTGCGGATTTTGAAAAAAAGGACCATTTTGCACCTTTATTGGGCGCCACAAATCAACTACGCAGTTTTGTTTTAACTGTTGAAGCGCTGCAAGCTTTGTTTACTGTTTAGCCATTTATTTTCAACTGTCCTATTTATTTAATTGGTGCCCGGTGAGGGAGTTCCTAGTCTCAGAACTTTTACTGCAGTGCTGTGACTCTTTCCTGAAGACTAAAGAATTCGTAATACTAAGGCAGAATATATTGTCTACGTACAGATGAACTGAGGGGTTACTAACATGGTCCACGGCCATGCTATCCAGCGGAACTAAAAATTCGGAGCTTTAAGTGCCCGCGAAATCAAAATCAAGAGTCAAGCAGATAAATAATTATATAACTCTCCTCTCCTTTTAAGCGTCGTCCCTGGCGCTCCCCATGGTCAACCTTCCGAGTCGCCCATAACAAAGTAGTCAGTGTCTTAGGAATAACATCCACGAATCAACTACGCCAGTCATAGAATTAGCGTGCAACTACGGTAATAACTGGCTACAACCCCACTGACCCCTTTTAACAATTCTACTGGATCTGCAGTTTCGTCCTGTTTGGGAACTGTATTTGGAAAGGGGGAATGTGCTGGCCATCACTTGTGTTCACCACCAGTTGTAAGGGACAGGACTTGAAATGGGTTCGTAAGGTCAAGGTTTCGCGTCTGTTTCTCCTTGCCGCTTTCTTTTAACCTCAGTGTTGCCCAGTCATATCTATTTGGGTTCTCTCCAGCTGATAGAGAGTTGGAGAAGGTATCGCGCATTTATTTCGTTGATGTTTTCATACGGGTCCTGTGGATGGTCCCATACCGAACTCTCCAGATGTTTTATGGCTAGCGTCGCCTCGCTTGCTAAAACCATTCCTGTAGAACACAAAACAGGGTAGTTGTCTAAGGTAGACATCATTTTCAACCCTTCTGTTAGGGGTGAACAGATTCTGCTATCTGCAGCACATGCCCTTCTGTCGCGTTAATATTTAGCATTCAATGATACAAATCGGGGTGGTTGTCGTTTAAGATCGGGCTCGCTTTCCGCTGCCGCCAATGTAGCGCCCCGAGGCTTCTCTGAAGTTGAAATAAGACAATACTTGAGTAGAATTTGTTTTTTACGACGTCCACAAGAGGGGCTACCGGAGGATATGCCACCGAGCGAAAGTACAATCGCCGTACCCTCCAGTGCCCACGAAACCAAAAAGAAGGGCTAAACACAATAAAATTATTACAACTAGTACCAAATATATGTTTATCTGCAGCAATCCTGTGGGCACCCACACTCCCTTACCTACGCTTAGTTTGGGATAAAGAGCTGCAGTATGTGTTCAGAACTGAAGTAGTGGAAATTGCTTTTGAAGGCTCAACTAAATTTCTAGAATGGAAAAGACCTAACCGCTGAACGAATCTTACCATATGAAATAAAAGATGAACGTTGTAAGGAAGGTTATCACGTGGCCTGTATTTTGACATTCTTAAAATTTATGCAACGATTAATTGTGGCACAAGTACAATTTCTATTAAAATTCCCAAGTATACTGTTAAGATGGCTAAACTAAATCGCCGATGTTATAATACCTGGTCAGTAGCTTATCCTTTATTCACCGACTGTGAGCTCTTGGAACCTCTGCATGAAAGGATTAACAATACAGTGTTTTTGGCGTTCACCTCGCAGACTGAAATGCATTCCCTACGAGACAGACTTTTTATTCTCGCATAACATTATTTTTTAGTGTTCAGGCGCTGTGTGCAGCTTGACATTGTGCCGGCAATTGATCAACTCAATCGGCGGACACTGGCTAATCCTGAGGCGGAGAGGCCGCTACTGAGGTGCATTCCTTTTTTTCGCAAATAATCAGAAACAAACGTCGTGCGACTTTTATGTCTAACCCTTCTCCCAGTTTAATGGTGTGTTCTTGTGGGAAAACGGTCTGTTTTGCAATTGAAATAACCGATTGCCTTTTTGTTCCACACGCAGAGACTCCCAAAATATCTACAAGTAAAACGTTGCTACTTTCGCCTTTGTTATTAGTTATTAGTTCTCTACTTAAATGGCATTGTTTTAATCAAATCTCTTTTTTGGAACACCTCTTCTGTTACTAATTTTAAAAGTGAAATGGGGTAAGAGGTGCAGGATTTGAATTGCACGATCAATGTCTAACAGCACAGTTGCACAGATTCTAGTTGATTTGTCACTTTTACAGCTCCTTATTAATTTGGCTACTTTCGTGCATTCAGTTTGCCTTCGGTAGTGCTTGGAGCTCGGACCGCTTTCACACAGGTGATTGAGGACATAGTACGATCGTGGAAGGTCATTTTGGTGTAAGTTTGATACATTTACTATTGTGCTATTTTTTGCCGTAAAGCTCCTAGATTATCCTCCACACATGAGCTCTTGCTATATCGAGTACATATACCATGCTAGCCGGGTGTAAGATCATCATCTATTAAGTTTTGGATTTTATCCATCAAGCCCAAGGGGACGTGCATAACGTTTGCTCTGCTCACCAGGCGGGATAGGTTTTAGTTTGATTCTTTGTGTTTTTAAAATTGGTGTTTTATTACTATTAATTTATGGCCAATAGGATGGCAAAAAAAGGCGTTTGTGTGTTTGTACCTGCCTAGGTATAAAAGTCATGTACTTGCTGTTTAGTGCCATGGTCTGGTGGAGGGAGATGATTCAACCCCTCCCACTTGAAAAGACTTAGCACTCGGCTGCTGCCCTTTAAAAGCCTTGTCTATAGCTTCTGATAAATAAAAGCATTTAATCAAGACGTTGAAACTTTTTCGAAAGCGCACCATTTAAGAGTGTTAATACGATAGTCGCTGTGGCAAGTTTTAGATCTTTTGGTTAAGTTTTTGACCTTGTCCGAACACTATTATGTCTTCTAGCAGATAATGCCTCGTATTTCAAACAAGGAAAATCGCTAAAATTTTGTCAGCTGGTGCGTGTTCGTCTACTGTACCGTCGATGGCAATTTGGTAGTCACCTTAACGATGTCCCGTTGGTGTTTCGAGTTTTCTTTGATCCATTAATTTCCCGGTGGAACCTACGGTCAAAAATATTCAGAAGTTACTCTTAAAGTGACTATTGATCAAACCGGCAGTGGTTAAGAAATTAAACAATAAGCCGAGACCCTTTAAAAGGGATTTTGACCGTCGAAATCCGGCATCTCATACTCAATGCTTATTCGCGCAACAGTTGTTGTGACCTGCCATGCATGTGTGGGAGATCCGACCCTGTTGAGCTCTCAACCCGAATAGCCATAAACATGGACTTCGGTGCGGAGCCTTGGCTTGTCAACAAGTCAAAGTAAGCTGGGATTGCAATAAGCGCGAGTTTCGAAACTTTCTATAATGTTTAGGGTCTGGGTGCAAAGTTGGAAACTTTTAGAACATTGAATCAGGGAAGTTTTAGGGGTTGTAGACAGTCCCAGCAGCAGTGTGTACTCCTACATAGATAAAAAACTTCCGCGATTAATTATGAAATAACTGTTAGTACTGCAAGTCAGATGTTAATTTGCATGCTCAACAAATCTAAATAGATGTTGTTTAAGAATTCATTGAAATACTGAATTTTACAATTGCAGAATGACTCATCTTGATGCCATCATTCAAATATGATTGGTACTCTTGACGATTTGTCAAAAACATTACGATGTTAGTGGAATAGGTCAAAGCCGATTTCTTTTCATCTTCATGGTCGGACTTGATGTCTCATTTGGGGTCTCACGTGTGCCAATTGGTTGATTTTCTTCCATAACAGCACTTCCCAAACTGCGTCTTGGGTCAAACTTTCGTTTATTAGTGGTTTTGATCTCCATTAGCCACTATATACTGACTTCTTTTTGAAATTAGAATTTTTGCACTAATAAAGTTTCCAAAATATACGAGTTAGGATATTATTGCAAATCGCAAAACTCTACTCACAAAATTGACGCTAAGGAACCTTCACAAGAATCCACGGAAGCAAAGTGGCATTGTCAACTACTTGTCACTTAGGCATCCTACCGTCTAGAATATGGGATACGGAGCATTTCCCAGACGTCGGTTATTCCTATTTGCTAGGGCTGACAACTCAAACGCCTCTCAGATCAATTTGTGGATTTAACTACGAACAATTAAACCAATCGCTTTGAAATTGCCCCAAAAACAGTGTTTATCATTTTTAATTTATGTGTTCTGAGGATATTGTGCTCAAACACAGTCGTTTTGCGATTTGTGCAAATGAATTCTCTATTTTTCGAAGGGTTTGATGGGAATTCCCACCCACAACAACTTCACTGACCCGATTTGGTTAGTTTTGAACAACTAATGTGTCGTCTTCTTGACAACGCAACAGTCCATGGCTGATCCTATGGCCTTGGCAAACGGAAATTAACTGGCGTCTAAGCAAAGCTCTGTATTGTATATTCCAGGCAGTGGGACGCCTAAGTGACAAATAGACTTTGTATGGTAGTTCAACCGGAACTGTAAAAGTCTTAATTTTGATTCTGTGGACCAAAGCGGTATTGCAGTATAAATCAGGGTGGCAGGCCTCATAACTCGCTGCTCGTACACAATAACTACTAGTTATTTTATGCGGAAGAATTTTTTTTATAGGCGAAGGAAATGCAATTTATTATCCCTTCCTGATTCTCTGATACCATCAAGTGGTCTCATGATTTGAGTCGGAACTGGCGTTTATTCATCGAAAAGAAATTCTGGTTCATCTGCCACATTTTAATTTATTGATGATGCATGCAGCTCAATCTTTTTTTCAATAGAGGAAGGGACAGTCTTTTTGCAGGCCTGAATCAATTAAGTGAATCCATCACAAATTCATTGAGAATACAATCAAATTAACTGAAATTTTCTGTTTCGTATAGATGTATTCTCCTGGCAGCAATAGCCTCCTTCCTGTGGATTTTTTTCATGAGGATGTGCACCTGCGCTATGGTCGTCTTCACCCTTGTTGCTTTCGTCAGCATTTTTGGTCTTGGTAGGCGAAGAATTTCAGTAATTTTTTTTGTCAATTCTTATTTAGCAAAGTATTGCGTTAGTGTGCTGCGCATTTGCGTTTGCTGAGTAAAGACGATCGCTGATATTTTCACGTACCGCTGCTGGTTTACAAGGGTACCACGGCATGACAAATTGATCAGAATGTAGTTACAAACCTAAATGTTGGGAAGGGGTTTTTAACATTGTTTGAAAACTACGCTCTGTAATTACGATTGTTAAAAACCGTTCACATTACAAACGGGCTTTTTACCAAGCGACCAAAAGTGCTTTGCAAATGTTATCATCAACAGGAGTAACAATGAGTTCCTTACTTCGGGCTCCTGAATGCAGAAGTCTTAGTTGTTCGAAGCTGCTTTCATCGGATGCTCCGATTGAGGATGTTAATACACTTCCAGGTATGATTATTGATATCCGTATCGTAGCTATCCATGCGACGCAGTGAGTGCTTTGTCGTTATGGTCATGTTTGTGAAAAGCAATCTTTGAGACTATTGTCGGACCAAGAGTGGCAATCCGCTGACCTGCTATCAACTCTAGTACGGGATGTCATCTTAATTCCCTATTCGACAAGTATAAGGGTGTTTTTAGATGGTGGGTAGAAAGTCCAACTTCCACTACGAAAATTCAAGACGGCTGGACACTAGAAGTACAAAAAAGTTCATTTCGCTCGTCTTTAAATAATCACAACTTTGACGAGACTACATCATTACTGAAACGCATTTTTGGTTAGCAATCCGCTGTTTCATCAACGTTACAACTGTTTGAAGCTGATAAAGTGCATTTGTGAGAAATACGTGACCCATGCAGAAGCATCAAGCATCTCTGCAAGCTCTTCAAAGCGAAGGAGCTGGACGATGACCTGTTCAAGTACCCGACCGTCGTTGGCGGTTTGTACTTGTCAACCGACTCAGACATCCGCTGTCGTCTGCTAAGCAGGATCGAGCAGGGTCTCTGTCATCCTAAAACATCAAGGAGTGTCAATGCTTGATCAATCTCAAACATGCCATCACTTCGGTTCAGTCTAAGGATGAGGACAGGTCTTGGGTTCATGCTGTACGGCAACTCATCCAATCCACTTCACAGAAACCTGGTCCGTCAAAATCTTGTCGATATCCCAACAATCAAAACTTATGCCGAGGACAAAATAGTCCTTTTACCTACTGGCGCTGAGGGTCCTGACATCCTGTGAGGTTCTCCTTCTCCAGAAATCACCTACGATCCCAATGCGACGCTGTTGGTTACAAAAATGGGCACTGTCAATCTTGCTTACCCAGCTCTAATTCAGGCACCTGAAAGCATGGAAAGCCAGTAAAAACAGGACGAGGAAAACTCGTAGACTACCCAGTGTGATGAACACTTTCTAAGATGACGCACCAGGCCGACGAAGGCACACCAGCGTCTGTCTCAATGACTACCCAGCGCGGCTACAACTGGACACCGCCTCGACAATCACTATTATATCGGAAGAAATGTGGCTTCAGTTTGGCAACTCACCGATCCAGCGGTACAGGTATAGGCGATGGCCAACTAAAACCCTCTAGATAAATGCAATGATGCGATCTCTTCACGGCAAATCATTGACTGGAACGTGCCGTATTACGAAGGATAGCCTCAACCTACCTGGCCTTGACTGGTTTGACAAGCTGGGTATAGACCAGGTGCTGATCAAACCCACCTGCAACCAGACGCGTTCAAGTGGGACACTCCTTGAGTAATCGGCAGCAATCGTCAAATACGTTACATCAGCTTTCTGTTTTATCTATGATATCCGGATTCTTCAAATAACCACAACCGAAGCTGAAGCGTCAACAATGTCTCTTAGCGCTTGATACGGACGATGTGCTTCGTCAGGAATAAGTAGCCACTTTGTTTACCCAGAGATGAGGTTAAATCACCATTCCATCGCTGTGAAATATTAGGCACCCCCGGAAACGGCCTGGTGACCAGTGATCGTGTTTTATTGCCTAAACCACTATATCCAAGTTCATTGCGTCAGTTTCATACTGACCATTCTGGGGTCAGCAGCATGAAGCTCATTGGCTGAAGTCTCGCTTATTGGCTGCACGTGGATGAGGATATCCTCAATCTCATCAGAGGCTTTCGACACTGCCAACGAGCGCTAAAGTCTCAGAAATTCTTACCGCTACCTTAGCCCCAGCCAGAAGAGTCTTATGGTTGTGACTACCCCGATCCAATCGATGACGTCTCATACCACGTTCTGCGTCACCAAGACGCTACAAGTACTGCGCCATATCTGTGGTTGTCGGTATGGAGTCGTGGAGACGTTAGCTATGGACAATGAAACGCGGTTCATGTCGCAGGAGTTCGTGACTTTTGCTGCCAGCATGCCGTGTTTTCTTCTAATGGGCAAGCGTAGCGGTTTGTTTACGTTAAAGTATGCACGACTGAAGTCACGAGGGAAGATAAGGCTGCCAATACCTTACAAAGGTTTCTGCCGGTACATCGGTTAACACCGAATGGCTCAGGAAACCGACAATCACAGCCGAAGGGCTAACGGTATACAGAGTTTGCTCGACCAAGGCAACGCTAGTCCCAAGGCCACGAAACGACCTCATAGAGCGTGTAGAAGAAGCCTTAACAAAGTTCAAAACGGGTTGTGAAATCTACGCCGTCGTTGTGGGGATTTTACCCAATTACGGAAGTCCCATCCGACATCTGGATGAGGCATCTTGGCCAATTGTGCCTGCGACTAACTGAGGAACCAGTGATACCCTACCGGTGGATGGACTTGGACACCTTCCAAATACCCCTTTTCCCTGTGCAATCTGGTTTGCAGAATACCGTTGGGGGAAAAGACCCGGATTGGTCCGTCCTGTGTATCAAGGTGACGGTCTACTAGCCGAAGCCCCGTAACGGAACAACTATATTTTGTTCCTAGGACTCGTCGCTACTGTTTTTTTCTTTCCGAGAGGTGTTTTGGGTGCCTACAACCCTAGGCAAACGTTACGGTTCGATTCTACAGAAGTAACCATGTTCGTGGTTAATTTTTTTGAACAGTCCAGAAGCCGCGTTCTTGCTTCATCTCTTGACTCTTGAGGTCTTGTATAAGCGTGCCTTAAATGAGTTGACACTAATGTTGTCGAGGTCAGTCATTTACTTTAATTATACTTAAGGCTGCAGAGTGAATCAGGCAGTCTGGCGCATCCGCACCCACCCATATCCCCCTATCGTTTAGACATATACGCCAGCCGCATAAACATCTGTGCCGAAGTCTTTGTCTATTAATTATCTGCTTGTTGGCCCATCCGTTGCGTTTTCAAATAAGGTTCTCTACATGGCTTGATCCTCAATATTAAAGTCGCCTGTTAGAAAAGTTCTTCCCAAATTGACGCCTAAGTATGCAGTGTTTCTTTCATCAGCCACACATTCGACAGATAACTACTTTTCGTAATATTTTGGGACGAAGTTAGCATTTAAAAATGGCATGGAATTCATTCCATTCTATCCATGGGTTTACCTAACAATATTTTCAAACTGCAGTTCAGTCGGCTGTTAGCTGCAGACCAAGTAGTTCGTTAAAAATGGTATTTATTGGTCTTCGTGATTTTGTATTTTTGCGCTGTCTTGGTCAGAAAAGAAACATGTCTATTCTGATAGTATTGGAATCACCGAATTCAATGTACCAGCGGAGGCATCTGTTTTTGCCCATGAGCACGCATTGGGACGGCTCCGCTTTTGGTATTTTTTCTTGCGTCACTGCAATGTCACTCCTTCAGATGCTCCTGGGTAACATTTCTTCATTGCCTGTCTTTTAGCAACGGGATTTTGTTTCTGGCGTTACGTGGAGACCAAAAAGGTTAACGCAAATTCACCGCCCCTCTTCCTCACCCTCGACATAACGGTCTACTTTTGCTATTCCACCACTTGGCTCATCCTAGGTGGGTCGTCTTTTTTTCACAAGTTATAGAGAACATCCTTAATGGGTTGTCTTTCCTTTGAAATTCGCTTCTTTATTAACAGGGATCATCTCCGGATTAATTCTCTTTCTCGTTCTGCTAATCATAATCTTCATCCGTGAGAAGATCGTTCTAGCCTATCGTGTTATCGGCGAGGCAAGCAAGTAAGCTTGGGTTTTCTCCCCTGCTCATGGTGCATGCGCTCTCTTCCTACATTGTAATCGAAAGTTCTCATTACAAAAATCCGTCTACTCAATTGTGTTGAGTCGCCACGTTTGTATTATCACTTCAGAGCGATAGGATACCTGCCGATGACGCTGTTCTGGCCCATAATTCCGTTCATTCTTATCTTCGGTACAATTGCGCTATGGATTTTTGTGGACCTTAACCTCCGCTCCATTGCAGTCAGTGAGGGTGTCAACTATGCTAATTCCACAGTTGGCCTGAGGTACAAAAGCCCTGAGGAGTGGACCGCTTGGGCCCTTAACGCTTCCATGAAGTGTGATCCCACCGTAAGCTGGTCGTTATCGACATTGAATTAAACCGCATTTGTCCTCATCATTCAATATACCCTGTTTTATCCTTGTAATCCTATAGGCAAACAACACAGAGGGTCAGATTTGCCTCTTCGTGAAGCACATTACAACAGCGTAAGTACTTGCTGTAATGCTAAAGTTATCATTAAGCCTCCTTCTTTGTTTCCATCAGTTCTAAGTCCTTATTTCCAAAAAAGTATTCAATTAGTTGCTTCATTCTGTTCCATTTGGAATTCCTAAGTAGTTTTCTCGTATCTCTTTAGAATTTTATGTCTACATAAATAACTTGGTTTTCTTTTTTTTAAAGAAAAATTTATTTGTTGGTAGCTTTTGTTATGGACTGGGACATTTTTAATACTTTTGCAACCAGCGTCACACATATGTGACTTCGATTTTGCTCATCTACGTTCGACGTCACCGGCATTCAGCACCTAGATATTGGATTGATTGAATGCAAAGTACTAAACTGGATGCGTGGTATTTCCAGTCCAAGGATGGTTGCGTTTAGCTTTTGAACGTTATAAAATTGACAATTTGTGCTAAATCGGGCCAAAAAATATTGGCCTCTGACGGCTGTTTTCCCTCTGAGATAGATCTTTACGACATAATTTTTAAACCACTTTGTCTGGGAATTATCTACTGAGGTTGGCTGACCATTGGTTGGTTGACCATTAAGTATAGACTGGTCGAGACTCCTCTATCCCTTAGGTGCAATTTTTGTTTCCCACTTTCCCATTTGGGTAGACGGGAATGCTTGCGACCCTAGTCATGTTTGGAACAGGCTGTTGCTCTTCTAACACTCAACCATTTAGTGCACACGGTGTGGCTAGACACCAGTAATCCTACCAAATTGTATAAAGCGATTAAAAATTGTTGGAATGGTAATTGCTTCAAAATACCCTACCGTTTCATGAGTATCAGGTGACAGGAAATTCCATATCTCTTTCCATATTGGCTGCCGCAATAGCTTTTTGTGACTTGTGGGAAGTTGTGAAACACACGTGATCGTGCGGGTGAATTACAAGACATAAAAGTCCAATCTACATTTCCATGCATCTTTCATACTGTAATTTGAGCTTTTGCGCTTTACGCATCGAGTTTAAGTCGGTTACTCAAGACTTCAGGGGCTTCTCGTAACTTCTGTTGTGCAGCATTTGAAGAAAGCGCGGCAGTAAAACATGTTGTTCAGGGGTAATTTAAAATGCCTGCTTGATTTTGGTGTTCAAAAGGCCTCCTCTTTTTGATCCTGCAGAACTGTTTCGCTACTGACATTAAAGTAGTTGTGGGCGAAGTTGTCGGGAATAGCTTTCAATGGTATCTAACCCGAGTCATGTTGCAACAATTGGTTTAGATCAACATCAATTGGTGGTGATAGGAGCTACTTGGTTAGCGGTTAGGTGTCATGCTATTATGCAGCGGTGATTAAGCTTCATACTGTCAGTTTGTTGTCCTCCTTACATACATTTCAAGTGCGCCATGATTTTTCAGTTATTGGCTGTCTGGCCGGCTGTCTGACTTGAGATGAAAAATGGGTTTTGTACTTTTATATTCCAAGTTATTTAGACGAACAAACATCACAGCTTATCTCCGGACGATCGACGTACGATCCACGCATTACTTCATCCGTCAGCCTAAGATGATCGTGCTTTCATGTTTGCTTTGTGTACGTGATGTGCTAGAGAAAAAATTGTTTACCACGAGTTGTTTACTTGCCTAAGGTCAGGTAGAAATTGTGGTTGTGGTCTGTTTACTCCATGCAACTAAGTTGTGGAAGAAAACCTCTTTTTTAGAAGTGAGCAAGATTGATCAATCGGGTTAAATAAAGTCTTGTTCTCACTTCCGAAAGGCAACTCCAGATCTCCCACCTTACAAAGTTGAGAAACTTTCTCAACTCAGGATTGGCTACGAGGGAAGGAGATATTGTCCCAGAGATGAATAACAGAAATGGTACCTGAGAAATAAAACTGAGATGTAGACGGAGGTGGCTTTGGCTAGATCTTGGTTGTTTGCTTCGACAGTCAATTTGTTTTATGGAGGTGAAATTTAGATTAGTAATGATTATCTGAATGGTTGGGATACTTTAAGGTACTTTCTTTAGTTGTTAGTTTTTTTGTGGTAAAAATCGAGCGACATTAGCCTTCCTACAGATTTTGACAGACTGCGTCGGCCTTAAGGTCATGAATGTGCAACATGTTTTGCTCCGGTCTGTCCCTCACGTAACTAATGATTGGGTCATTCGCAGGGTTAAGGTTGCCCGCCACAGCGAGAATTATTTCCTCGAACTGTAATTTTGTCGTTCTTCTTAACCGGCTACGCTGTTACTTTTGTTCTACAGTCGAAATGATTTCCCTCCTGTTATAACACAGGTGTATAACTCAATCGGAGCCTAGGATAAGTATGTCTGGAAGCCCTGTTCCATTGACAACTTTTACATTTCAGTACAGATAATTAACATGAATGTTATAAACTGGCTGAAATGGTTGAATATTCCATGTCAAATTGTGACAGAAGAAATTGTGGATGTTCTCCAGCCAAACTCGTTTACAGATGGGGAAAGGAGCTAGAGTGAGAGTAATGTCTTTGAATTACAAGTATTTTTTTCATTTTAACTATATTTCTTATCGGAAGGAAGTCTTCACCTGGCAGAGTGTGTTCAGGTTTAACCAGAACTTGTGCTTACGTAATGAAGTGTCATATTTTTAGGAGCGTAAACTGCATTGATATCATGAATTAGGCCCTGGATATCATATTTATCCACATATCTCCACACCTGCGTGATATTAGGAAAGTTATGGCATCAGGGAGACATGCTGCTTCCTCTTTTTAGCACCCACACTTTATGCGCAGGGCATTAGTAATGGGCAGACTCTTGGTGCTGATTACTACCCTCAGTATTGTCAAGGTATCATCCTTCTTAATGTCTGTGGTATTAGACTCTGGCTTGATTTTAATAGCTTATATGAGAGACTCACAATTGTAAATCCTCTGGCCTTTTTCACGTCAACTTTTTCAGGTATACACCCTGGCTACAGGTGTACAACTTCTTCATGTGCGTCTGGCTCATAAACTTCTTCATCGCCATGGATCAGATAACCCTAGCGGGTGCCTTCGCCACCTTCTACTTCAACTCTCAAAGCCAGCGCCGCCGTCATACCATAGTGGGCTGCTGCGGCCTTTGGCTACTGTTCGGCACATGTGTCAGCGCTCTAGTCTACAACACGGGCTCCCTGGCCCTCGGCTCCATTCTTATCACCATCTTCTGGTTTTTGCGTGCATGTCTTCTCCGTCTTGAGCGACGACTCAAAACTGCCAACAACGAGCTTGCACAATTCTTTCTCCGATGTTTCTGCTGCTGTTTATGGTGCCTAGAAAAATTCTTGCGTTTTCTCAATAAGAATGCATACATTATGGTGCGTTTTCGTTGATTTTTTTCTCAATTTTTGAATTAACGCTAGAACGGGCGTTCCGATTGTGTCCTTTTCATGAGAATTTCACATTTTTTACCCCCTAATTCTCTTCCATTGTGTTGACTGCATGCTGTCCTTTTCCTGCTGCCCTTGGTCGGCAGAAATTTCAATGATATCAGCTTTTCCTAGGTGTTTTTAATTTATGTGAGGTTTTGGTTAATTTGGCAGTTTTAACTAGAATGATTTTGAGTTTTTCTCTGTCGTAATCACTTTGGAAATCAGTTCTTAATGTTTTATCCCTAGAAGCCTGCGGAACTTCCAAATGTATCCATTTGTTCTGCTTGGGCGACTTTTGATTTTTGTTGAATTGTGCCTGGAATATCGACTGTAGATCGGTAATAAAAATAAGCCCTCCAAATTCTTCGTTTCATGAATTTTTGTTGCCTTTGCTGTCTGAAAGTGCTCTTCCATCTCCTCAACAAAAATGCCCACTTTTTTGTGCATTTCTTACTCGCTAATTTCAAATTTAGTTTGAATTTTGATGCTGCAGCTTCGCATTAGTTCTGTTCTTTGTCACTTTAATTGTCATTTTTTTCTCCAATATACCCTCACTTTCTATTTCGTGCCGCCCTTTGACTTATCCTTGTCCCCCTTAAAAGCTACGTGAATTAAGTGCGTTTTTTTGACGCTTTTGAGCACTTTATCTCAAAATAATTTCTTGAGATTTTCAGCTGTGTAGTTTCCGTTTCTGAGCCTTTGATAACGTTTTCAGGTGTGAATTTTTCTAGGAAGAGGCCTTTGAAACGTCCTATCTTGACAAAATTCTTTCTAAAGTCAGTTTTTTACTGGTTGGTATCCTTTTTACACTGGTGATCTAGTTTTTTTTTCTGCGCCACCCGAGGGCCTCATTTTCATGCGAGCGTAACGAAATTCGGGTACTTTCAAAAGCAATTTTTGCTGTTCTGATTTCATCCCCTCTGAGTGCTCTTTCACTATTTTCGATTGTAAAGTTTATAGCGTATTGGTAGCCTAATTCCCTCGGATATTACTACTTTTGTCTCCACAAACTCAACATTCTTGAAGAAGATACAAACCTTGTTTCATTGGATACTTTCCAGCACTGCTTCCATGATTTGCTTCGACGGCTGAGCGGTTCATCATTTGCCAGTGCTCCCTTTGGCCTCCAAGAAGTAGTTAATTACCATTTTGTCGTGCATCTCTGATGGTTTCTAGGTTACGCACGTGTCACCTGGTCCTTAATATACTATCTCTGTCTTGTTGCTGTCCTATCGCCTCACTCTCTAGTTAATAATTCTGTGCACTTACGACAATTTCTTCCGCTGTCCGTACGTTCTTCGTTTCTTTAATCAGGACACTCAATGGGCTAACATTGCAAGAATAATCTCATCTACGTCCCTTTGGACTCGGAATTCATCGGTCTAGTTTTGCACGAAGAACTTTGTAAAGATTTTGCTTTTATCAAAATTGTTCTTTAGTCTCCCACATTTTTCAGATGCTTTTAAACCCTCTGATTGCATCTGTTATCAGCTAAAATTGACCACAGTCTCAGCATTGAGACTTTCGCTACCAGCGTTACACATATGTGATGCCAAAGTTTCTCTTATCCGAGTCTGGGGTTCCCATTGCCGTGACGTGTTCTTTGTCAGCACAGAGCAGGTACCTGGCACCAAATAGTGATTCAGCTGCATTAGTTACGTTTAGAATAATAAAGTGGAGATGGGGTGCTCATAGTAATTACCTCTTAGTTTTTTTGTGGCAATTGAATTTGCTATTTTCGCTAGTATAGGTGTTGATGGCATATTGAAGTAATCGAATATCTGGTTTGCGTTGATAAAATTTCCTAAGGCACTCGCGACGAACGTGTTGATAATTTATTCGTACATTCGAGTGCTATAACATGGCATTGTAGAGATATTCTAAGCACTTACAGTGGGTAATGCGTAGTCATCATCCATTTCTCCCTAGGTAGCTAAAAGTGGCACGAATTTCCATTTCCTCACCATTGCTTTACGGCCACTTGAAAAGTTCGTCAGCGTCGAAATCGAAAAGCACCTATTGGTTCTGAGGTTCCAGGTCACGTGAATTCAAATTTTATCCTTTTGCTGAGGGCTATTTTAAAAAGGCCTTGGTATTTTCTTCGCTAGAGGTGCCTAAAAAATTTTCAGTGGCTGTTTTAGTGTCTTCAAACCGCATACAAAACTGCGCTTATAATGGCATTACTTTCGAATGATTTACTTTCGATTCTCCAGGTGCTTCTCTTTTCGTGGCTAAATTCGGAGCGTTTCCGCTCCCCTTCAGTTCTCCTCTCTGGCCAATATTACGTACAGGCAGATATTAAATATGCTCATAGTCACTGTAAGGGCAGGACCACTCAAAATACCATAAGTACTCAAAAATGAATTTGTCTTGTGTCTTCGGTAGTCCGCCGCCTGTCGCGTAAGCATGCGCCATATCCAGCCTACTCATAATCGCCTGTCAACAACGATGTTTGCATTGAAGTCTTTGTCTCCTGACTACTTTGTCTTGGACCCCGACGGGATCCCAGCTCAACCAGTTAAACACTAGTTTATGCCATTTATAATTAGCTGTATCGGGAGCTTAAAACAGCGCACAACGTAGTCGGTTTTGAAGTGATTCCTGACATTATTCAGTTAAATTATTTCGACACGATTCATAGATTGTCTATCGTATTTTTTGTCAAATGTCATTCCAGTGGTGTCTAGCACTCATTATTCTCAAATCTCTGGAAAGCGTTACATCTTATAGGGCCAATTTCAGCTTGATGATACTATGTTTTGAGTACTGATTTCAACTGTGGCACAATTTTGAAACTGGTTTCACCGAATGCTTTAAAGTTTAATAGAGAGCAGTTTTAGTGCTGGTGACAATTGCTTAAGAAGCGAACTGTCCCTTCGAAATAAATGTTGAATATTTCCCGTCTCATTCTATATCCTATCATGGCTTGACCTACCAGACAATGTGTTCTCTTCATTCTATGATTTTGAAGGATTTGGTGTTCTTATGGGCTTTTTACCGTCTCCTGTCAGGGTGTTACGCCAACCATCACGTTCTTCGCCTTCTCTATGTGCTATATACTCCTATGCTGGACGCCATTCATTGTGATTTTCCTGTCCAATTTCGTTGATCTCAGTGCCAGTAATCGATGGCTTTTTTGCTGAATTCAGGGTATTTTCCGACTTCTCTAGTCTTATTGTTAACTATTCAAGCATTCAAACGCCATGGTTATGCTCCATCCCCCATTTTATGGGTATTTCTTTCCTTGTGTATGGTCTTTTACTATCTCCCTTTCACTGCCATCATTGCGAGTGGTCTTCGTGGGTATAGGTCAAAAACTATTAGTGAATTTGACCATACACTTAATATGAAGGAATAAGGTTTGTTCAAAAGTTGCCCCCTTTGTCAATTCGTTGCCTTTTTTTGAGCCTATATCTTGCGTAGGCGGTTTGATTTTTATGACCTCATATTTTTCATCGGAACTAGATCGCAATCTACGGACATGGGTTCTGCCGCTCTGCGAGGGATGCATTCCAGCTCATTGTGCGAAATGTAGTCAGGTGGGTCATGAGTCTTGTTCGAGTTTTTGAAGGACCCTTGTTACAGGTTCATTTAATATGCAACATTTTCCAACAATTTTCTATCGGATGGCAAAATGACTGGTGTCTGAACACACCGCGTGCACTAAATGCCCGTTAGAAGAGCGACACATGACTAGGGTCGCGAACATTCCCACCTACCCAAGTGGGAAAGTGGGAAACAAAAATTGCATCTAAGGGATAGAGGAGTCTTGACCATTCTAGGCTTAATGCGAATACGGCAACCAAACTCCCTAGGTGATTTCCAGGCAAGACATTTGCTTTTCTCTAATTCATAAGGTAATTATTCCCTAAGCTTCGGACATTGCATTCTAACCCGAGCCTCCGTGAAGATCCTTATAAGCTGTCGTGGGGATTACAACTTTTCAATGACAACGAATTCCAACCATAGCATTGGGAGAACTTTTTTGCTTTGCTTTGTTTCGGTCAGTTTACACTTTGGCATAGACGTTCTCAGATGAGATTAACTGGAAGTATGCTTTTTAGTTATTTTTATTGCAGTCAGAACAGTTATCTTTAAAATGAGGGTTTATATTGCTCTACGACTCCATGAAAACGTAGGAGCCATTACTAAAGTGCGGAAACAGAGGTTCACGACTTGTAATCCACACTGCTATCGGAGTGAAGGTGGTGATGAGACCACTGGTCATTGAAATTGAGGTGTGCGCTCTGACAATTGATAGAGTCGTGTGCATGGTACCAACACGTCACCTCTTCGAAAAGATTGATTCGTTTAAAAACTTTAAGAGCAAAATAACAGAACTTTCACTGCTAAGTGAACGAGTGCAAATCTTTACTGAATGGTGGAGTCAAGTATTTACTACGTATTGTTAGGACCTGCAAATAAAAAACCACATCACTAAATGATGTCAGGGATGGAATAGCTGAAACCAGGCTTCTACGACAACGAAATATGGTAAATGCGTCGGAGAATAAATTTGTTTATCTACTTTCCATTCTCTACCACTTTGTTTTAAATGTTTAGTATTTCTGGGGCGTCAAATACATCAAGTCCGTCCCTAGTTTGTTCGTTTTGTCAGTTCTCTTAAACCTACTCCTGGCTCATCCACACTACCCACCAAACTTGTCTTAGTTCAAGCTTCTCACGTGGCTAGCTCGTTTTAACGATTAAATTGCTTCCTAGATTGGCGAATTTCGCAACCTCTTTCTAGCTGCACTCACCTTAGCTACATAATTCATTTAGCTGCATTTTTAGCCGTGTTTTGTTGCACTAGTTTTCTGAAAGGCGACGTCATTGTTTATCACGTCTAGGTTTCACAAACACTTTTAGAAGCACCCTGGAAACTCGTTACCTGCCAACACTAGGGAAGGTGCTCAAATCACACGCTGGCAGCAAATTGAGAATCGGTAAACCGAAGTGTTGGGAGGATGTCAATTTCAATTTGGAACCTGCTTACAACTTTAAAAGTTGACTTGCGCAGACTTTAATTAATTCTTTCTCTGCTAATCCAGTCGTTTTTCTTGCCTTTTTAGAGTCTTCCTTGTTGAAAAGATAACTGACTATATCCTGGTCGTGGGAAAACTGGCTGTTAGTGCAGCTGCATGTACGTTAACAGTCATTTTTTTTATTTTGTATTATTTCCCACCTGGAAAGTTCGTGGTGCAATGCTACATAGGAATGTGTGATCTCTCTGCTATAATCATCGTCAACTAGTTCTCCAGTAATCTCACCTCTGCCCCAAGCATATGATTCGAGCTTTTCTGCTTTACGAGTCAAGTTTAACCCGATTCCCAGTAACGATTGCCATCTTTTCCTCTCATGATCAGATACAAAGTAGAATTAACAGTTGTAAGATAAGATTGAGACAGAAAAGTAGGTGGTTGGAAGTAGAGGTGGGCTGTTTACTTTGACGGGCAGTGTTTTATGGTACGCTGAGAAACAATTGGATGATGGATTGCGCTGGTACCTCTTTCAACGGGTAACATATTTTAGGAGGTTTCCTGCAGTTATTTAGCTTTTCCTGTTAAAATCGATTGTACTTATTTGGTGATTTTATACTCCCAGAGGTCTCAATATTCATTGATATAGACTTTGGAATTCTTTCTTTACCTAATTTTGCATTGTTCCTTGTCTCCTAGCTTGCCTTGCCTATTTTTACCTGGGCGGAGTCATCCCTGATAAACTGAACCTTGTGCCAGAGCAAAATCTCCAACTGAATTACATATTCGTGCCTATTTTGGTGAGTTGAGGCATCTCTCCCCCTTTGTATGCTAAGCTGAATTTAAAAAACTGACTAACTGGTGATAGCACGGCAAATTAGTAGTAACTTTTGTACAGAAAATGAGCTATCATGGTACTTGATGCTTACGGTGGGACGAGCTAGACTGCAAATTCTCTTGATATGACCTCTCATATGCCTTCTACTCATGGTTTTTTCCTTGAGATCGGGGTTAATGTTAACTCCATTTCGTCGTTTGGCAAACACATTCTAACTCAATTTTTGTCATTTATACTTACTCATTCTGGTTTACGCCCAGGACGAGCCGTATTCGAGGATTGCTTTCAAATTCAAAACGCAGCCTATAGGTACTGGCATTATTTTGGGATTCAATTTCACATTTTATTTGGATTTTGCAGTATTAAAGCTTGGAAGAATACCTTTCAACTTACATCTTAGGCTTAAATTTCACAGAAAAACTAAGCAGAATAGGATATTTGAGGAATTCTAGACCACACATATTCATACTTTGTTCCGGTAACGCTCTCTCTACTCTCGTGCTTGCTCTATTTTATTCAGTTTACCCGTTAATAACCTTTGATCTGCCCAGTTGTGCATTGCTGCGATTCTTCCCCGCATTTGTAATAAATCCAAGCAGTTTGAAAGGCGGACCTGGGAGATAATTTGCATGACCTGAAGGCGGCACGGCGGTGCAGACTAAAATCTGCGAAGACTGAAGTGTCTGGGCAGTTAAAAACAGTTAAGCAAAATGCCACATCACTACAATTGTGTCAAAAAAAGTGATACAAGCATCGCTCCTTTGTAGATACGTTACATATTTTTATATATTTCCTTATCATTGCCGTGTTGTCATTAATCCCCATGGCTTTTCACCCTCTAGGTCATCGCCATCGCTTCATATCTCGTTGCTAAGGCATTTTTCTCGGTGTACGAGATGGGTGTGGATACCATCTTTATTTGTGTTTGTAAGTCTTCCTTTTCATTCCTTCATTGCTTTTCAAGCACTTAAAGAGGGAGCGCGTCCCATTCTGCACAATTCTACTTCCCATGCATGTTCCCCTGACTGTTGATGATTTGCATTAGTGACGCTGCAGCATCAACACGCACAGACATTGGCGTCTCTTGATTTGGCGTTTTTTAGCACAGTTTTCGGGGCTGCGAATGCCTTTTGACGTTCACACTTCATTCCTTACAATTACGTGCTCTGCTCTCTAAACAATGCAGCCAGCGTCGAGAGATGTTTTGATGAGTGTCATTTGGGCGTCGATTATGAATCTTGAAAATGAAGCGCAGCACGTGGGATGTCTGAGTTGAGACTAGATCATGATGAGTCGACTAGTTCTATGCAAGTTTTTGATTATGGTTGGCACTCCTTATTACTCATCTGTGTGGCCTTTCAAATCCAGACTTTGAACTCCTGTTTAATATCGCTTTTCGTGAATTAGACAACCTCTAGGCCTCTTCAGTGCTCTCACAGTGTTACTCCTACAGACGTTTTAGGGCCTATGAGCATAGAAGTAGCTTTATTATTGGCGCATGAAAGGGCAGGGCAGATGTGAATGTATTGCGCATGCAATTCAAAAACATCCATTTCATTATTTAACGGACAATGTTTGATGGCTGAACTGTAGGCGAAGATCTGGAACGCAACGATGGAACCGCGGAGAAGCCCTACTTTATGAACAAATCGACGATGAAGATGCTGAAGAAACCTGACGCTGAAACTAGTCTCTCTTAATTACAGTGCCTTTTCCACTTCCTTTTATCGCTCCTTTTTATGACGATGATTTTGACTTGGATAGCGCTTTAAATTCTTTGGTAAAAATTAGCCTATTTATTTATTAATCATATTAGTGACATAACTTACCGTAATAATTGTTTAACACTTCAAATCTGGTGACGGATTGTAAAAAAGGCCATTTTTATAAACCTGTTTATCTTGTGATTTTGTGGAAGCGTTTAATTGTTATTTGGGTGGTCATATGACTTAAAATGAAAAAACTCATTGGCATTGCTGTTGCATCTACTTTGCGGCGAATTATTACCAAAAGCAGGGGTCATTGGTGTGGAGGAAGCTATTTCTTTTCAAGAAATTTTTTTAGGACAGGGTGGGGGTGTTGAAGTGTCGAAGAGAGTGCCACCGATCGGTGGCTGCTGAGGCTCACGATTGAGATCAGACTCATCCGGTAAGTCCTTTATTCCACCATGGTGTGGTTTTCAGACACTTCCCTCTTCTATGCGGAGGATGTGTAGTAAGCACTGAAATCTTTGCCTTAATTGACAGCCCTGACACTATCCTAGGCGTAGTCAGCGGCATTAAGTACACAGGGTTTGGACTTCAGAAACAGGTTCGTATTCACTAGGGTTGGTGGCTTGATAATGTGTCGTTAAATTTCGAATCAGCCCCGAAATGGAGCTCTAAGACGCCTAAGACTTGGCTGTGGTCAATAGGGGGCAGAACGTTGTTGAGGAGTAGTGCTTTGTGTCTCTTTGAAATCATCTGTGTCCCATTTGTAACTACCATTACTTTACATTGACAGTTGAAAGAGGATTTACTATCCCCGGTTGGTGGTGTCATTCGTTTTCAATTCACTCTTAGGGCTCCAGATCATCTCCCAAGCGCAAGGATTACTGTTGCGTGAAGTATAGCTTGACGACTGTGGATACGGAATGGATGTCACCGCACCATGGCAGCAGTCGAACTGTGAAGACTAAAAGATCCGCGTTGTTAACTGCTACATTTGCCACACATTTTAGGCAGGTCGATTTTTTGAATTCCTCACATTCCCCCGACACTTTCTCTTGATTACTTTCGATTTAGTCTTTCGTAGTTTATCCATACCTGCGTTAGCATTAGAGCGCAATCTTTTTTCTCAGGAAAGTTTGCCAAAGGACTTAGCTTTATTCGAGTCCATGCTTTAAATTCATAGGCGTAGAAGTGTACCAGCATTTTTATTCGTTAAAAAGCGGGGGGGCCACTTATGTGTTCTGACTAACTGTATGATATAATGTAATCCAAGTGGCAAGCATGTGATCGGTTCTTAAGTATAGCATACGCATGTCAATGATCCACTTGATGGTGCTGATCAATTTCTGTCCTATCTGACAGTGACTCGTCATTCCTTCTCCTCTGCCTGGTTGTCAATAATAGGAAATCCAAGTTTCCGCCTCGTGAATCTTGTTGGCAAACTTTAGGAAGGCCTATGATGTTCCGTCTTTTTAACTACCACAGCCCTTGCTTTCCTTAATCAAATAAGACAATTGGTAGTACGATGGTTACTTTTCGGTGTTATTACATTTGCATTCATAGCTTGGCTTTTTTTGCAAAAATAGGCACTCAAGGTGGGGTTTTATTCACGTTAACTTGCGGATGAGGGTCGATTGCTTTGACACCAAAATATAAATTTCGACATTTCCGTGGTTGTCAAATACGAATGCCCTTTTACAGTTATTTGGAAATATTCAAGCATGAGTCATTCGAATGCCCTCAAGAACGAAGTGGAGTTGAATCAGGAAGAACTGGTGTGAATGGTCGTGGCACCCGGAGAATGACGCAGGTAAGATCGTAAATTAAGGCATCCTCCCTCCAATGCCGAAGGTCATTACACATGACCTTGATCACTAACTGCTATTGGGGGTGGCTTGGAACTAAGAAAAACTAATCAAAGTTAGGATGAATTTTTTGTTTTGAGAACACGAGATCGTCATTTCTCATTCGAATGTCATGACTCTGCTCATATCTTCAACTAATCAGCCCTTTTGTACACCCATAACAGACCTCCTATGTTGGTGTCTTACCAAACCCACAGGTTTAACCCGGGTCGCAGTAAACGGTAGGCGATCGCCCCAATTTCATGGCATGTTTGCCAAGCCCAAGTGTCACAGAAGGAAAATATTTACCTTGAATGGCTAAAGTTTTAGAGACTTGCTGCAGAGGACTAAGTCACAAAGCTCGGTTTCTGAAAAATCGCCACCAATCGCGTTGGATCATACCTCTACAAATCGAAAGCAACCTTGAAGAAATGTTTGCTAAAAGTTTCTTCTCTTGGTGCTGTTCTCAAGCAAATGTTGCTACAAATAGTGATTGGTGTAGGGCGTATGCTCTTCCAACAACAACTTTTAATTCCACGCGATTTGGCTCGCAAGGGAGCTCCAAACAAATCTACAGCTTACACTGCCACTAATGGGCAGCATTCTTCTATTCCGTGAATCCACTAGGCCATAGTCTTTCCTGTATCCCTATTGCCTAGGATCTGTAGAAAGACTTGTTTTAATTATATGTTCTAACAAAGTGGCCCCTCCGAGGTTTCGATGCCATCCTTGGTGTCATAGCATTCTGCACCACTCCTTCTTTACGCAGATAGCGAACCTTCTTCCCAACTGAGTCGTCGTGTTGCGTCTTCAGAGATGGACAGTTCAACTGAATTTTATCAAATGCTACGCCGTTTGTTTAAAAGATGATGATAGCGATGTTTTTTTTTCAGCCCAATTCATTTCAAATGCTTAAACAGTAAAATGTAGCACATACGTAGATATCAACGTGAGAGGCGCCGATGTAGGCAATAGGAAGAAAATCAACGCTGGATAACAGACCAACGATAAAAATACAGTATAATTAGTTCCAGAGAACCCTAGTTTATTAAGAAGGTTGAGAAATTCTATGCATGAGGTACGTTAGAAGGGTTTCAGTGCTTGCGTCCCTTTAGGACCAAGCTGGTGGTTGTAACCACTTGAGCAAACGAAAATATCCGTTGAACTTTGGAAACATCAGACAAGTTAATCACATATAAAGTTGAAGGGAGCCATTCCCACTGATAAGATTCGGAAGTAGACAATTACCGGCCCATAATTAAACTGAATTTGCGCTTCCTCCAAACACCATTATTGCAAATATCTATGTTGGTGTCAATGTCAAAAAACGGTTTTCGAAGTCTATTGTCGACCTTTAAGGGGCCGTGGTTGACCACCTCTGAATTCAAATGTGATGTTAATGTGTTGATTGCATTTTGCGCGCCACGGCTTTTCTAACACCTAAGCCATAAACATCGCATGAACACACACGGATCTGTGCAAATCACCACCACGACGTTGCGTTAACACATGATGTGGTTTGAGGCGATTGGGCCTCGCCGCTCTCCGTGGTCGACTCATCTCTACGGGTGGGTGTTTTAAAGTATAAATGCGAGCAAGGTATCGCAAGCTGAATCGGGCTTATCAGCACCACCTATTCATCGGTCGGCTGACGAAGCAACAACGCGGACTATGAAGAACCTGGGGAAGTATTTCAAAAGCACTGGCACTCGTCAGGTAGAGCATGTATATAATGCCTACTTCTTTGGCCCTAATGGAAAGATCAGCTAGCCTTTAAATGCGTTTTCTACTTAACAAACACATTTTAATGCTGTCTATTTGTGACTATCTAAAGGCAAACCCACTGTTTATGCAACAATCAAATACGTGATGCATTTATTGCGTTTTTTGAATGATCCTGCTTAAATTAAAATTAATTTGGACTAATTTGAACGTCTTATAATTACTTGGTGGCATGTGCCCGTTAGCGCGAATCCTTCCTCCTCATCAAGCATGTATTTAGGAAGGGAAAGCAGGCTTCCCAGAACTAGACAAAACCTTTCTCTATCAGTTACGTGGCACTTCGTCTTTTTTAACTGGGCCTGCACCTCACACACATGTGTCGTGCTTTCTGCTGTGGGCTTTTGGCAACTGAATGTAAATGTAATGAAAATGTATATGGGATGTTTTCCACCTACAGGTAACTGCACTTCCCTACCGTTTTTGGAATAATAGCTGAATCAACCAAAAATGTGGCTGACAACTCCTGATATAGTGTAGCGATAGAACAAGTCTAGACGGTAGTAGTCGATTTTCCTTCAAGAATCTGAGTGTGAACTTGTCAAGTCCAAAATTGAGTTATCAACCAAATCAGTATATTACTGGTGAATGGAGTAATATTCAGTTACATACAGTACCCTCAACCTAAATGCTACACAAATTGCGATTGTCACATACTGTCGGATTTTCGAGTGTACCACATCGGGTTTAAAAATTCCATAAGACACTTAAATGTAATTCCATACCATTCGGCTTTATTTCAACCTTTTCCTGTAAAATTACTGCCGCCTTGCTCTTGGCAGAAGGAAGAAACAAATGGAAGAGTTTTCGCAGGCACTGATAAAATAGTCAATGTGGCAAAAAAGACCGAGGGAACCAATCTAGACGAAAAGGTGCGTACTCTGGAGGCTCAGCTGAAAGCAAAGGACGAGGAGCTAACGGAGAAGAACAACACGATCAAGTGCCTTCAAGAATTCAGTGCAGGCATTGGACTTAGATCCTCTGCCGTTGGTGAGCGTGCCTTTGTAACAAATTATTCATTTCTAGATGCCAACACGGATAAAGGACGTGATACCAACTCCTTGATAATTAAAGGATGTTTTGGTTTATAGTTTGGATGGAAATGAAAAATCGGCCGACATACTAGATTGTTAAATAAGTTGACTCAACATTTTTTACCAAATGCCAACTAGACGCCGAGCGATAGTAGGGTTGTTCCAGAAGGTGCTAGATTATTTTATTTACCGTAACGGTTTCGCAACAATATATTATTTTCCTAAGAGAATAAAATAAATCCATTTTTAGCTTAAGTATGGATTTATCTTCCCTGTTGCGGTGCTTAATTTTCACATTCCAAAAACCGTCTATCAGAAGGTGACGCTTCAAACGATTCATGCTTGTTGGTGTTTCAAATTGTTGTCCGCGATACTGCGGCGTAGATTAAAAGGGACAAAGAAGAACATCAGTGGGGTATCAACTTCAAAACTATGCCAAGTTTTTCTGATTGATTTCCCCACACAGACTTTTACCACGTCAAGGACAAGGCCTACAGACAGTTGATCGAGGACACGCAACAGTTGTATCGCGAGTTGGAGGATTTCGATAAACTAGTGAATTCCGATGACAAGAGCAGGTACGAGCCACCGATGCCGCCTCCAGGGACACTTTTGAGCTCGTCGAATGCAGTGAGCGCTAAAGATGCAATTGTGCCGCGTCACTATCAACGCAATGCCCGTAATTCCTCTGCCGGAGGCTCAGGCCCTGCTGGAGGTAACTCGAAATTAGCCAACATTCGAAGAAGCTGGGAGGAGCGTAATCTAAAGGTCAGTTGGAGCTTAACCAATTATCTAAGGTGGAATAAAACAGAAGCAATAAATCAAGAAAGTGGAGCTCATTTTTCTTCCTATGGAATTGTCTATGAGATACAATTTTGACACTAAAACTTACCTACCTAACTGAATTTTAGTACTACACAAGGAACTTGCGGCTTGTTTATCAGTGAACAGAAAACCGCAAAGTCCTTTGGAAATTCATTTGTATCTTACAGGTTTTAGTGAGGTAACAATAATGCACATCACTGTCTGGTTTAGAGAAATGCATGTAATCCTCGAAAATGACATTTTTTTAATTGTTGATGTTATTTTAAGTCTACTCATCCTGGTTTTCTCAAATTCTAAATTCTTGTAGCCTATCTCTGGGAAATTATTTCTGCGTTACGCAATAGAATTTAAAAGTAAATCGTTATAAAGTGTTTTTTGCTAGGGTCGCTCAACTTGAACGTGTTCTGATAGATTCTTGACCTAAACGACCGTTTGAAAGCTGCCTACGATCTGATCGCAAAACTAAGTAAGGCGAACTCAGCGGTGAGTACAGGGGATGCTAAAGGTCAGATCACCACGACTTTGGTGCCGAAGACACAAAAGGCACCGCAACGGGATGCCCCCCCAGAGCCGACCCTGTGGTACATACCAGAGAAGGGTGGAGTGAATGCCAAGCAGAAGAATTTGCTTCTGTCATTGGTTGGTGATGAGGCGAATGAGGAATCAGAGGAGGAAGACCGGAATCAAGCTCAGCCAGCCATGGGCCATGGATCCACAGTGAACGATTCTGCACCAACTTTGTTGGGCTCAAACTTCTACAACGACATGTACGACGATGGAGAAAAACCGGTAAGTTACTTTATATGTTATGGTTGGATTCTAGAGGCTGTCACATGCGCGTTTTAAATTGCATCACATAGTAGATGAAAAGGAAAGTGGATGTGAAAGATAATTAATCTGCTAGTAAACGGACATTTTACCCCACTGCCTCTTAAAAAGATCGTTTCCAGCAGTCTATTCAAAGATAACCCCGCGTCAAATAAACCTTCCGAAATAAAGTATGAAAAGGCAGGGTATTGTAGACTTGAGTTAAAAATTGTGTAGTTTGAAATATTTAAACCCGTGAAGGCAATGTAACATTGCGGCAAGTTTATTTTTAAACACCTACAGTGAGTGGATAAGTTTCCAATATATCCTGCTCCAAGATTTATGATTACCAAACTTGATTTTAGGAAAATTCTATCGCTTTGAAAGGTTATTTTTGTTCCTTTAACATCAAGGATGAAACTTATTTTTGCCTATCGTCTATCATTAAACTATACCTTACAAAATTTGCTTTGATGATATGAAATCCTAACTTATTCAACAAACAAAAGTAAGAAGAGAAGTTAAAAAAATTTTAAAGGTGAAAAAACTAAATAGAAAATTATTTTGAACTAATTTGGGCATGCGTTCAGGCTTAGTGGCACTTGGTTTGTTTTAAATGGGTGCTAAACAGCTCCTACTGCTTAAGGTTATTCGGCGTGATGAGAAGGGTTATTTGGGTTGCTGGCATCGCCGATGTTTGTTAGTCGAAACCTATTCTGAGTAATTTATTTAAAAGAAAATGAATTAACAAGAATATACTTTGGTTGGTCACGTTTTTTTAGGACCAATATACTACAGAAGGCGTGTTTTATCGCGAAAATTGTTTTTTAGAAATCTTCATGAAAGTAAAGGGAAGCAATTCATAACACTGGTTACCCTCAATATGGTGTAAAAAAGACGCAATTTAAGTTAGTAACGTTAGTAAAAAGGGGTTTTCTCATCATATACAAACTGAATTTTGCAGCTGGCTCTGACGTGGGCTCGTGAAAATTAGGCAAGTGCTGGGTGGTGATGATACGAGAGTCAAACATTTTACAAGGCACCGAGTTGATTTAACAAAAGCCACATGATCTGGAGCACTGTACCACACTATGTACAGTGGAGAGGGATGAGCGGAGCTTTTCTGCCATGAGTAGGTCTGTTGAGCACTCAGCGGTAAACCTGGGTGTAATTTAACAAAGAGGATTGCATTTACCTTGAAAACGTGTCGAAAAGGGTCGGTACATGTAGTTGCTTGATGAGTGAAGAATGATATTGTGTGTTTTTGCGTGGGAGAGTGGACAGGCGATTTAGCATTCTGAGTGCAAAATTAGATACGAGAGTTTTCGAGAGTTTAATGCCTGTTATAATAAACGTTATTGACATACCTTACCGTGAGAAGCACAATAAATCTACGGTGGGAAAATTCTATCGCCTTGTTGGATTTGAAAATATGTTTTTGTTTTTCTCACCAATTACTTGGTGTCCCACTGATGGTGCCTTACGCCCATTCCGAGTTAGGCATCTATACGTTGAAAAAAGCGTGCTTTTGTTTTACTAACTTAGCAAGATTGGAGGTGTTTTAAGTAACTGCTACTCATAAGGTGAGAAGTGTGTTCATTGCACAAATGCAGATTTTGGATTGATGGTTTAAAGTTCGCCCTAGCCTCTAGGTTAGGCAAAATAGAAGTTGTTTTCAACACTTTTTGCCTAAAGAGGTGCACGGACGGGGACCACTTATCAGTACCTTTAATGCACAGATCGAGTTTAGTCTTCGTCATTTTCAACCACGAGGTAGATATAAAAAGGTATCCCGTGATCAGGTCATTATAACTGTGTCTACCATCACTTCTATATAAGTTCATGATTATTACCTTAGGAGGATCGACAGGATGTAAGCAGCTTCTGACCTAATCTCCCCTTCTATGGTGCTTTTTTATGCCCCACTGATTAAGCGAAAGATAAAAGTGCAACCTTATTTTGATTACTCTCATGATCGTCAGAACCCCTCTTACTTTACTATGCAAAGCAATGCAATTGGCTATGTGGTGCATCCAACTTTAGGAATGGTTGAATGAAATTGGCGAAATCGAAATAGTCCCTGTGCAAGCGGCGCTTCTCTACTCACTTGAGCGGAAGTCTGCAGAAGTGGGAAAAAACAAAGACCATCAGGGTTCAGTAAGTGAGGTGAGTCGTCATGCCCTTCCGAAGATGATAAAAAAGGGAACCAACTCGCATGCTGAACTAGAAATAAAATATTCCTCCAGAGCACTGTAATATGTGTAATTTTTAGCAAGTTCACAGTTCTGTAGGCTCCGAAATCTGTTCTTTGTATTGCAGTGGATTCAACTTGAAGTGAACAGACCAGAAAAATAACTTTATAATAAAATCAGAATCACTGCCTCAAACCAGTACTATTAACAACGGGGATGGCAGTTTAATGATGCCGCCAAAATTACCTAACTACTAAAGATCCATTGTTAATGCGTAAAGTTAGTGGAAATAATTTTTAATCAAACAGGCGGTGAAGGAGGCAACGGCATTCCCCAATACTCCACCCTCCTCTTCTAAGCCTCAGGAGATGCGTTACGCTTCAGAAAAGATGCCATCTCAAAGATCCATCAGATCGAACGGTTACGATTCTGATGTGAGTTTGAAAGTTCATTCGTAGGCGATTAAAACAGTTGCCAAATATTTAGAATATTTTTCTTTAAGACGATGTGAACTTCATGTAACCCAATTTCGATTTCACTGCAGTTTCACTAATTCTACCTTAAATTTTTTGCTGGAAAACCATTTCTCTTCATGATTTCTCAGGTGTCAGATGATGAAAAAATGAAGTCGAATACGGGCGCTAGTGATAGACACAATCCGAGCTATCAAGACCAAACGACAGCAAATGAATCTTCAAAACCGGTGATATCTAGCACACACCAGCTCTACGTAAGTCCGACAGAGTTCCCAGTCTTGTGCTATATGCATTAACGGCATTGAAGTGTACCCACTATACAGTAAAGTTACTATTCTTGCTTATTAAATTGGATCCAACTTTAATTTGAAGTGTTTAAGTGATGCTGCCAGGAAGTATTCACCATTGACATGAATATAACTAGCGTTTTGCTTCTTTCCTCCTGCACTGTTTGTCCATGATATAACGTCTTTCTCGGTTGTTCATAAATTAACCACAAGATTGTATTGTTGACTTCGATTCCTCCAGATGTCAGGAGGAAAGTGGAGCAGTCACGAGACTGCTGGAAGCTATCAAAAGGAACCAATCTCTCAGGTTCAACCAAGGTCCTCCGCGAGACCCGTTCACCAACAATCATATGGCTACAATTCCGATGTTGATTGAGTCCATCAAGTGAAAACCCTCACAATGAGTACTGCATTTCATCCACAAACGTAAACTCATTTGAATTAATGTGAGAGAATAAGAAGAAAATCATGAGACTAATTTAAATTTTGTCATTTTCGTATTAGAAATATATACCAGTCTCAATAAGAGTTACACACATCTGGGATACTCATAAGGTAAGGGTGAGAGGGGTAATTTGACTACTATGTGGTCCAGAGAAAACTCGAATGAAGTACAGCAACTCATCTAACGAGACGATGAATGAAAAAGTTCTTATGAAAACCCTGATGAATACTGCTCAACTGCGCAACTTAAGTTCCCAGTAAAAAAGAACAAGAATTAAGTGTCTTTCAGGCAGCTATGTTATGACAAGGGGTCAAAAAGGTTGTTGATGAAGAACATTACCAAACTAACCAGGCCTCAATATCTTACTTAATACAGGAAAGAGAAACCGGAACTGCAAGTTCTTTTCATTCGTCAGTACGTACAAAACGTCCAAATTATCAAATATTCCTGAACTTGGAGCAAAGGACAACTTGGCTATATGCTAAAACCGATCTCGTCTTAGATTGGCAACGCATATTGAACTGAAACTATGCCATAGGCATCAAAGCAACCGAATAATGTAGAGCTGACCATCTCCAAGTATACTTAAAACTCAGCTAAAAGCTGACATGTGCAAAAGCTTTGACCGACATACTGTACTGCAAACGGATCCAGCGAGCTTGTAAATAATAGCGAGAATGAAAGTGCTGGGAGCCAAATTACGATTGCCCTTAAAATGTGTCACAGAGCCGTACGGTGGGATTGAATCAAATTTATTAAAACGTCTACCTAACTTCGCGGCTTTTGCAAGCGCTGTGGTGAACATCCAAACATGGAAATTGCCTCCTAGTGTTTTATGCGTAAGTATTGGTCTTCGAAAAGTGACCAGTGGGGCTAAAATAACACTAAATTGCAAATAAGGGTCAGTGTTTATATTATTAGAAGGGGATAGGGGGTTTCCAATAAGGGCGGCTCAAACTTATTTTGGCTTTGGGTTGAGCAACGAACAAACCAAGTAGCTTTTGAAGCCAAGTGAAGCTTTCAATCCGTGTTTTTGTCAGAATAAGTAACTTAATGCACGGATAGGGTACTGGATTAGCAATTATAAGTTATATCACAGTATAAAATTTAGCTCCGCAAATAAAAATTGTTTTTGCGCAAAAAAATTTTAATTGTGCGCTTTCAAATACAGTTTTATGCACTCGTTATGGGTCTTCTGCAAATTCTCAAAAAGTTGTTTAAGTCGTCTCAACTCTGCGTGAGCATTTCGGTCCTTTGCACGGCTCGCTTCTCCGTGTTAGTCGTTTCGTGTAATGGGAGAAGATTTCAGAACCGGTGAGGTTGGGTCTCGTTCGAGAAATCTTCTTATGAGAAGCAACACACACTCAGATCTTCTCAAATTCAAGGGAGCTAAGCAAGATTTACAAAAGATTTTTGCTGAAATCGAGGATTACGTGAATGACTGCAAACAGTTTTTCAAAGAAAAACTATCAGAGGAGGCTGGCAAGCGACTCTCTCCGGCCCTTGAAGAATCCTCTAAAACTGATTTGGAGCCATATTTTGAAAGAGTGAAACAAATACAGTCAATTATTTCGCGTAATCAAATGAAATGTGCCTTTTTCGGGCGGTACGTCTACATAGCCGGCATGTTGCTTGTGTTTTATCAACTTCTAGTGATTTTGGATGTATGCATGCTGCAAACTTATGCTAAACACGCCTTTTGTATGGTTTCACCAATTTTGTTATTTGGTCTTCCATTGTGTTTTAACTGGGTTCGCCCACTTCTTCTGCCATAGACCTTATGAGATTGTAAAATCTACTTATTATACACGTCTCCAACTCTAGATTAAATTACGTATGAATATTTTTTTACCTTTCTACTCTGAGATTACTCATTTTCACGCGATGTAGAACATCGAACGGCAAAAGTACAGTCATAAATGCAATGCTTGGCTCGCGAATTCTGCCTTCCGGTATCGGGCACACAACAAGCTGTTTTGTTCAAGTACAAGGAACTAACCAAAGTCAGGGCTTTTTACAACAGGAATGTATTTCCGACTTTGGTTCAGGTGAAGAGACTCAAACTTTATCAGAAGTATGCCCTCACCTTTATGGTACTAATTTTATCACTTGGTTATCGAAGGGCTTGAGGTTTGTTCTCTCGTTTTAGCCTCGACCGATAGAATCGGTTAGTCACTTGGCCCATTCGTTGAGCTCGGCCAAGATGGCCAGTGATTCCCTCATATACCTCTTCTGGCCAAGCTCCAGCTGTCATCTTCTGCGAGAGGACGTGGTCTTACTAGACAGCCCTGGAGTAAATGTCGATCCTGACATGGATGCATGGATCGATAGGCACTGTCTTGATGCTGACGTCTTTATCCTCGTTGCTAATGCCGAGTCAACTCTAATGCAGGCAGTATGTTTTAAGCTATTTGACTGATGAATGATAGGTTTTTAAAAACGTCTGGCAATTGCTGTTGCTATCACATTCTGTCACATTTGATCGCTCTGTAAAAATTATAGACGAACGCTTGGTTTGAAGTTATTTTTTTCCACTCGCCATGGCTGCGTGTAAGCATATTCACTGTTGCGATTCAGATCAAAATAGTCAAGAAATAAAGATTTTTCTTCAAGTTGATAGTAAAAACATCTGTTTTGAAGTCTACTCCTTAAGCATTCGGATTGGAATCTCGACAGTGACCGTGACCATTCACCGCAGCTCGCAACAACCGTTCGTCGTAATTTACTACACATTCTTTTAATTATTTTCGTACTCATTATGGGTATAAATTTCTGCCCTAATCATCTTATTTGCCTTACTCATGTTAGTATTCAATCACGATAATTATTTTCGCCACAATTTTTAATTCTACCCAGCAGTTACTTCAAAGTATCAGCTCGGAATTTTCACTTGTTCCGATTTTTATTGTATACACAATGAAATTTGACTGAGCTAAGTCATTGGTGGTGAATTTTCGGTTTTTGGAGGAAGTTTACTCTAAGGTTTTGTCCTTGCTTGATACTAAATAACCATATTCTGAATTCGGTAGCGCTGTGGATCTGGGTGAATGAAGAGTGGATTATTACATTACCCTCCATAGTTTTTTTGGGGAACCCCATTAAATGCAAGTTTTTGGCTCTAACTTAGGAAAAAGACTTCTTCTATCGCGTCAGCAGCAGAATCTCCAAGCCGAACATCTTCATTCTCAACAACCGATGGGATGCCTCGGCTGGTGAAGCGGAATTAGCCGATCAGGTACTTCTTTTTGCCTGCTTATTGTTGGTGAAGTCATTCGTTGCCCAGGGTCTCTTTCTATTTTTTCATTTAAATATCTCATGCGCAAAATTTGTTATTGATACGCATATTTTTTGTCGGAGCAATGAATGTATGTTCTTGTAACCGATGATCGGCTCTGTTTCTAAGATTGTCGTCTACCGAAATGTTTGTTCTATTGTGATTGAAAATAAATGGAGCATAATTAGTTGAAGCATGCAGCTATCGTCCTAATTTAATTGCATTTTCGATGAACAAATTTTGTGGAATACCTAGTTTCGGAGCTTTTGCTTGCACTTTTCTACCTCTTTCCTGGATGCCTGTGACGGTTTTAAAAACTCATTACTTTGTTTAACGGCAAAGACCGTTTTTTACGATTTTTCTCTTTTCCACTCATTCGTCCAATCCATCAAACTATCCTGTTTCCTTAGCTTACCAGTTACTTTCAGTCAGATGTTTTCCTATCAGTAACTTCATGCTTTTTCTCATTTATTTAGCTTCCTTGTAGTTTGACATGTACCTATTTTCCGTCCAGTTTGTCATCCGCCCCACTTAGTTTAGGCTTACTGCATGATTGACCTTTTGTAGATTAGATTCCCCCACCAGAATGTCACTTGTCAGGCTGTTGTGCATTTAGTAGCTAATCTCCACCTCGCTTTATCAACAATTTTACGACGAAACTCGTGGTTATTTTATCGCTTCATAAAGAAACTGCTCTGGGAAGGATATTGTAGCAGATAATCTCATGATAGATATTGAGTTTAGATTACTGGTTTTGTATCTTTATGGTGAGAAAACAGCCCTTAATGTGAATTATTGATAATTCTATTGTTTTAGAAAACCGTACACTTTTTACTTAGGAATTTGGTAGGTCTAACTGATTTCTGTGCTCCACTAGATTTCGCAATTCTCACTTCCTACTCGTTGTCGGCGATTCGGTATTTCATGCGCATCTAGTGGGCCAAACATTTTTCAACTGCTCTCTAACTGTGTCCATACATATAGTCGCCTAGTTAGTGTAAAATTGCGTCATTCAAAGGGAGACGCTGGGCTCATTTCAATTCTACACCTGACTGACTTGTTTCAGCTTCATTTTGAGTCTGAGTGGATGTTCTACTCTGGGTTATCTCACTCCGTGCTCATGCGCAGTTTGGCACCTTGCAAAATTCACATTTCACTGTGTTAGTTCTCAGGTACCGCTAATGCACAGTTGCTCTCACATGCATTTAAATATGCAACTATGGCTCTTAGGCATCGTCTTGTTTATTAAAAAAGCATAATAACCGCAAATTCCACATTTTTTATCTATCCCCTTGGCTGATCTCATTACTTTTAATGCCCATTTGCAATCTTACAAGTAATTACTTTAGGCATAATGCGTTGCAGTCATTGTGGAGATTTGGCGCGTTTTTGGCGTTGGGACCGCAGTCGTGATCGTGCTATCACTCTTACTCGAATTCGCAATAATTTGGCGCTGTGAGGCGTGACTCTATCGTACTCTCGATCATTTTGGATTTAAACTCCTGAACTTATGTGGAAAATTTCCTCAATTTTTTTTGAATGTTTTTTTCAATATTTAGTAACAGGCAAAACTTTGTAATATTTATGAAAAAATGGCCAAGTCATTTAGTTGCTATATCCCTCTGCCTTACCTTTTTGTGAATATTTCCATCCTTATTCTCCATATACCCTACATTATCGCACAAGTTAGGTTTTTGTAGATGCAGAAAGAGCTACTTACCACTTTCACTTTTGATCTGTGAAAAATTTCGTTTTTTCTTTCTCCATTGAACCTATTTTTTGGTGCTAAGACCATTGTTTTAATATCCTTCATCCAAATTAACATGTATGCGTTTGTTGGAAACTGCTTTGTGATACAGTTGGATAAGACTGCTTATTACAATATTAATTTTTTGTGGGTTTCTGATGCCTAAATTATGTCGACTTTAAAGAAGTTTCATACCACAGTTCTGCAAGTACCCTATAAACCTGTTGGAGGGCCGAAAGACTGCTAGTTTGGATGCCATGACTAGTTTAATCATCAATATAATTCTTTCTCAATTCTTCATTTAAGACAAAAATTTCAAGTGGATAGTAGAACACTTACTTTTTAAAAGAATTTGTACATAAAAGTAAGCCACAGCTTTATTCATTGGCCTGATTCTGTTTGATAACACTGGCTGCTTCGGCTACAAAGACTCGTCATTCAACCCTTCGGCAATTGGGGAGGAGCACCCATAGCTGATTGTTCGACCATTAGCTCTTCTTGTGTGTGCATGCAGGTAAAGGAACAACATATGCAGAGGTGTGTTTCCTTCTTGACGGATGAGTTAAAAGTGTGTGGACACGACGAAGCAATGGAGCGCGTCTTTTTTGTCTCCGCCCGCGAGGTCCTCACCATCCGAGCCAGGTCTCTCAACGGCGGCGCTCCACCTGGTTCTGCGCCCAACATTGGCTCTCCCTCCGCTGGCGGTATGTTCTTTCTTCATCGATTGCTCGCATCATCGGCCGCTCCCATTTGCGCCTTTTGGTGTTTAGTCTCTGCCTGACTTCCTGAGTTATAGAAATCTCAGCCTTTCTAGGCACTGACCAGAACAAGTCGGCATTTCCGGTAGTGCACGTTCTCTAGAAATGCGAATGGATATCGCCAATCCATAATACTCTGCTGTTCATCTCTAACTGCTGGGATTACCACCACTCTTTGGGCCTCTTGTGCCTCCATTCCCGTTTTTCTTTTAAACAACGTAATTGTTTTTCTCCGTACTGGGGCTAGCACAACAGGGCATCTTGGCAGTGTTTTGCCACATTTGCTAATGAATGTCATCGGATGTCGCTGATATTGCTGTTACTGCTGCTTCTCATTTCAATTCCTTTAGTTTTTTCGCACTTGGTAATCGCTTTCAGCAGTTAAAGTACTTGGTCTTTCCAAAGTGGCAACAAAATTGGATGGAGCTGTGGTATCAAGCAATCATAATGCTTTAAGTGGGAATATTACTGCTTTCTGAGCACTTATTTCATCGAATTCATTGTAAATCTTCTCGGTCTTCTTTGTGTCCCCGGGTAATAAAAAAACATGTCTATTTTTATGTGATACAATGAATGGGCACACAGCAGCTAATCCCATTTGCCAACTCACCTTATATCATATCTGTTTTTTGCCCTTCTAGAAAGCCCATTTCTCTTAAAGCTTCCTCGATTTGTCGAACAGCTGAAAATTAAGCGCTGATAAACCTGATTGTAAACCGATTTTCTTTTCTTCAAGGGTAAATCGTGAGTTTCAATCCACTCAGGAATTTTTCATTTCACTCAAAGACCACTCCAAGATAAAATTACGTCCGCAGTACACCTAGCTACTATGAAATACAAAGTATGACACTAGACAGTTTTGCAGTTTCCCCACTGGCAAAAGAATTTATAATTGAGAGGCGAAGCCATTCGGCTTGTCATCGGCAAGTGCTTTCATTACGCGCTCCAACACATTCTAGTTAATATATTAGCTGCATGTCTTTGCAAATTCCATGATGTTCATCTCATTGCGTTTTTTGCCTCATAAAGGCTATCCACTGGCTGACGGATGGCAGGCTCGTTTGATGGAATTCTCCACCTTTGAGAAAGTTTTCGAGGTAATTTCCTTGTTCATCTGCACTTATTAATAATCGAGTCTATCAATGTCCTTGTTTATGCGAAGGAAAAACTGCTTGTAGTAAATTTGACCACGTCCATGAAAGCACAAGTTACAGCTCTCGCATTGCCTGGATCACTTCCTCTACTTAAATAAATGCTTTTTTTGTTACCTGAATAATGAACCGTTGAAATTCTTTATATTGGGATGTTCGGTTCGGCTACGCCTATGATCGGTTGGTATCGAAAATGATTCACTTAAAGCACGCATTCCAATTAGCAAATCAAATTTCGTTTTAATCTCTCAAATTAATATTCCCCTTCAGGAACGAACGGCAACTATGCCTAAAAAGAGGCTTCGAGTTTCAGCCAAATTCCATGAACCGAAAAGGAACTTTAAGTTGGGTGTGATCCTTTTTTTGGTGTAGAGCCCATAATTTGTGTTGTTGGAAATCACACTTTGTGATGTGCCTCATTTTGTTAAGCGCGAAACCTGTGGGAAGATTGCCGAGATCCCGGTAACCCTTTTCTTTTGATCGTAGAGTATCGTTTCTACTATATTCTTGCATCTGTAGACGCATGATTGAGTGCTGGCTTTCCGCTCAGTTACACTTTAAATCCCCAAAAAATATTCACGCGTCAGTTTCTTAAAGTCAGGCGAAAGCAAGTTATTACTGGAAGTGGTCGAAAAATCATACCTTAGTAGAAAATAGTGAATGATTAAAAAAGTGATTTTATCACAGCGGTTGGGGCTCAGGAGTGTCATTTGGCACTAGGCAGAAAAACGTGCTTCTTTGAATACCAGTGCATCTTGTTCGTTCTGCTGATGAGTCGAAAGCTTCGTCCACTGACTTAAAGAAGAGGCGACCAATGCAGTAAGGCATACAGGATTCAAATAGATCAGTCAAATCTTAGTTTAACTGCCGTACTCATTTTAAGCTCGGAGGAGATGGTAAATGTAAATTGCAATTCCTGATTTAACTGCTTGGAGCGAGCAGACAAAAGAGTACTTAATCTAAATTTGATTTATGATTGAATTGAGCAAAACGGAGAAATAGGGTGTTGTCAGTGAGGGCTTAATCGTGGTACAAATTTCGCGGCTCATCCTGTTGTGAGTCTTTCTCCCAAATATCGAATATCTGACAAGGGGTTCATATTAGGCGCGTTTTTTTTTATTTTTTCGTGGTCTCTTCACATAACAATCACTGTATTTTTATTTCTAGTGTAATGAACCATCAATTGCTTGTCTGTTATTTGATTCCATTCCTAATTTTGGAGGCATTGATGCATTAGTGGAAATATATCGCTACTAGGGACTATCGAAAATTACTTTAACTCTGAAGGGGGTACATGAAAGTGCTGGGGATGCCTGTAACCCTGGGAAACTTCCCCTTTCTTGTTTCAGGGTTACTAGGCGCATTCTGGAGATTAGCGCTTCGGCTTATCTCCTCTTGATTGGCTTACATCAAGCGTGGCCGTAGTTCAAGTGTACTGACAATCCCTTGAAGGCCAATATTAATTAGTTACTATAATTATGCGTAACTAAAATCGTAGACTCGGACTCAGACTCAGTCGATCTCCGCCACCTAGCCCATAAAGGTGTGTGTGATCATTGTGCTTTTCTTCGCTTGCTCATACGTTGGTCAATAAAGGCCTCAGGACTGAAGTCTGGTTGGGAGCTCAATGGGATCCAGGCCACTCGCACATAATCCTCAGATCGTGACGATTGGCGATTTCGTACCTTTTCACTACAACACTGAAGAGGACGATTTTTCTACGTGGTCTCTCAAGCATATCTTATTTAGCTGAATCCTTAGTCCAAGACAATAGGGCACTGGTTTTATCCTGGTAAATCAAGTCGATTACAGGCACTTTATCTACGAACCGTGTTCTCCATGTCTCTATCCCTCTGCTGATTGAAAGCAATTCGAATCACCAAGGAATATGCTTGCCTTCTTGTTACGAACAAGTGATCAGCATTTGATAGATGTGTTTTTGCAGAAAATCCTCTCTGACTCGGCCACTCGTACAAAGTTTGCCTCCCATGCGGAGCAGGGCAAAGAACTGGCCGCCTACTTCCGCCAACTCATGGAGACAACCTACGAGGCTGCCCTAGAGGAGAAGTATGTCCATCTATGCTTTGTTTTCTCTATAGCATGTTACATCTTTTACGTTTCTTCCAGGCAGATATTTGGAGTTATCGCTTATGTAGTTTGCTTCCTACTTAATTTCATCGGAGAAATATTTGTAAATAATTTGATTTCAAATTAAAAATTTGTGTTTATGCGTTCTTGTACTTATCTCACATGCACTATCGTACACCCATCCATGACGCTTCCTTTTATTCATCGGTGACACTTGGCTCTTGGTGAGTACCACGTCTGAAAGGTGAGTTTTTTTTCTCCTCTGCAACTTTAATAAATTTAGGCAGATATTCGATATTGCCAAGTATTTTCATTAACGGAATCTACTTCTGTTGAGTTCTCAAGCGTTGAACCTTGAAGTTTGGACCTGCAAGTGTTCACTTTCATCACCATTTATGACACTTATTCATATTCATCGTTGCAATGTGTTTTTATTGGATCACTATATATAAAGTGCCTGATTTCAAACTACAAGTTAGTTTTGCGCGCTGATTTCCTGTCTAATGCGCATGTGGTGCCGCTGCCTTACCGTTTTCTACCCAGTCTGATGGACGGCAGGTCACGTGTCATCGCATACTTTGGTGCTGTTTGCTAATATTGGATTTGGAATTCTTATTGTCAATTTGAACTACTGTTTGTTTTTACAGGTGCTTTTTTCCACTTGCCTCTCCCAAACGTGGTACCGTCCACTTTTTGTCTTCCGTCTTTGTTGAGACACATTACCAGGGTCATTTGTATTCCTTATGTTGCTGGTATCTATTCCTCCTGCGTCATGTGGTTGTCGATTTTTAAATTGGGTACTTGTGTAACCTGTATATTTCATAGTTACCGATCCAGTACTTTTCCCTACCATGCTTTAATGCCTTCTTTCTCCGATCTGATCTGAAATGTTTGCTTGTGTAATCAAACAAATGAGGTTATCATTTGTGGCATTCTTTATTTCATTCGTGCTGAATTTAAACTCGACAGGAGAGTTCAAAACATATCGTTTTCTAACATCTTGAGCTCGGATTAGAGAATTAGAGAGGATATACTAGTTTGCAAAGGGATATCTGTCCGCTTTTATATTGCGAAGTTGATTAGCGCAGTGTCTCGTGTTTAGCATCAAAATTGGTCTAGTAGAGTGTACTCTTCTTAGTATTCTTTTGTCAAAAATTTGGTAAAAGCTAGATTTAAACTTTACGACACGATTATTGGCATCTGGTATTAAGGAACGGCTGGTAACAATCTTGAGCACTGCCCTGCCGGTTGTTTGACATTACTCTAAATTTAATCTACATAATGCAGTTGGTGCATGAGAATCCGAAATTTTAAGAGGTAAGCAATACAAGCAGATGCTTCAGGCCAGTCTCCTCGAGTTTGAATGCTGATTTCCTGCCTTACTTAAAGGGACGCAGGTATCCGTTACCGACGTCTGTCACAGGCGAGACTTGAAGAGTTGCGCGCAAAGTTGCAGAATGCTGCTAGGACCATCAACGACCTCATTGCCAAGTGCCTACTGGACGTGGAGGCTCAGGTGGCCAACGCACTCTGCAACGAGATTCGACGACTGGGCGAACTGGTAGATAGCTTCAGTGGGCACGCTTTCGCAGCGGACGATGAGGCGACACTACGCACCTATCGTCACGAGCTCAACGCTTATATTGAGCGCGAACTGGGCAAGAAACTGGCCGCTGCGTGTGCCGGTGATATTCATTCGCAGGTGGTCCGTGCTGAACAAATTATGGCTAGTGAGGGCTGGTTCAATTTATCTTTCAAGCCCTGTGTTTGGCGGAAGAGTTATGAAATTGGTACCGTGTCGTCGATATAGGGAAAAGATTTGTAAAATTTGATATGTAGTTGAAACAGATATTGTTTCGTCACAGTTACCGCCCTTTTTGAAGGTCGTCACGAGGAGTGGAACTACTTCGTTGCTGTATTTATGACAACCTTATTCGGGTGAATTAGAATGAATCAGGCAGCATAATCCATAGACCAAGCAATTGGTTTTTGATAAGGTTTTCGAATTCACTTCTAATTGGTCTGCCTGTCGTATTCCGTTTGAGAAACGGTGCTTAAGGCTAGTCGATGCTTACTAGCACCCCTCCTCAAAAGGGCATAACATGAATTTTTAGACTGGAATGCCGCAGGTATTTTAAACCCTCAAACTCCTGAGTCACTCACAAAAGTTGGGGATTTCGTAATCAAAATACCGAAATGTTAGTGACGCGTCCATTTAACCAAGGGGAAGGTGCATAATCACCTGACCTGAAAAGTCGGAGCTTACAGACTAGCTAATTCAATGGCACTATTATAAAGTTCAAATTAAAAGATGTTCATAGTTAAAGTTGCCATTCATCAAACCATAAATGAGAAGAGTTGAATGCTCTAGCGATTTTGGTTTCTTATTAGAGGCAATAGGGTGTTTCGAATGTTATAACATCGTTTTATTCGATTCTGTGTTGGCAGGCATCTACGAAGGTCTGGTGGAGGCGGATGAGTCGGCAAAGAGTAGGATAATGCAGAGCGTTCTATCGAGTTCCTTCGAACCAGAGTTCCATGTCGACTGTCGCAATATCTGCGCGGAGTTCAGGGAGGACTTACGTTTTCGTTTCTCTCTTGGACTCTCCTCTCTAGCCGAGCGGCTGCTCCACCACCAACGCCACGGTGGTTTTTATTCCTCCGGCTCTACTGCCAATACGTGGACAGGTGGCTACGTAAGTGTCTCATCTATTTCAAGTGAATCGGATACAAGGTGTTAAGACTATCGTTCAAGTCAAATCGAGACTTCTAAGCTCACATTTAACATGAACACTTTTCAAAGGTGGGAACTGCATTTATTTTTTTTTTTTTTTCCTATATAATCATCTAGTGTGTTTATACACCCATCCAAGTGGTTTGGAACGACTTGTCCGTGCACTTGAACAATGCTTTGCTTTGTCGTCGCTGCAAAAATGCTGATCCCTGTGCGATGGTCTTTTAGAGATCTATTTCGTAGAAAGATTGGTCCCTTGTGCATAACGGGTTTGTCGTCGATAAAGTTTTCCGCACTTATGCCGAATGTTTATGAGAATGTTTTTGAAACGTTAATCATGTCCAAGTGTCTTACTGCTGAGTAGCTGTGTCAAATTACAGTATCATTATTGTGCCTAAAGTCTATTGTGTACACGAGTCCCTCCAGCTTCGAGCTTACGCCTCCGTTCACATATACTTATTTTGATCAACTGTCCCAACTGATCTACTGCGTGTGTGCTGTTCATTACAAGTATTACCGAGCCAAGCATGCCACTTAATAGCATGGGTAGTGCCGTCACGGTAGTACCCATATTGGAATCGTAAAACAGAATGCCCCGGTCTAAGTTGAATACGTCAAATAGTGGCCTCTCTTAGTGTGGTGCTGAGGTAGTAGCAAAGGCTGATGAGCACTGATTGTCACTCACTTCCTGTTGTCTTTTTTAGGCCGGGTCGCAAGGGATGCCGGAGTACTCACCGGTTCTGCCGCTTTTCCTCTCATCCCTTCCAGCTCTACTCAGCCGAAACACCGTTGGACTACTTGTAGTTGGTGGAATTGTACGTCCTTTGCCTTCATTAATGAAATACTCTAAAGTTTTTTAACCCATTTGACTGTTGACATCTACCAAATCCTCACTTCTCGACAGATCTAGGCTCTCTAGGGATATTACGAGACATTTAGGCGTGTATACATGTTTAGACTTTGCGTGGAAGGTCTGAACGACTGATGGCGTGGGTTATGGTTAATCCAGGGGAAGTTGAATATAATCGCGTCATCGTGTACATAAATAAAATAAGTTCCTTACACAGCCTTCCCATTATTTCAAGCTTTGTTTTTGCTACTCACTGAGATCACTTTTCTTCATTGGCCACTACAAGTAAATTGAAATCATTTATAAAGCTGGAATGGCTATTACACGATAATTTTCTGTGCAACGAAGAACCTCAGGGTTTAGCAATAGTGGTACTTCTCGTAGGTTTGTGTTATTTATATCCATTAATGCCGTCAATTTCCAAACTCCACGTCCAAGATAGAATAGTCTTCGCAGTAATTCGTATGATGCGCACAAATTGTTTATTTGTGGATTCTTTCAGCACTCCGTATTCATTGAATTAAATTCTTCTTGCTATGAACTGACGCTCGTGTGTGAGCTTGGGTCCTGTAGAGTTACTAAGTAGAGTAATCAGTGGACAAGGACGTCGATTCAGACGTTTCTGCTTACCGGAGGGTATGGGGAAACAGTAGGCCATAGCTATGGTGACCGATTGCCTTGGCAAAAAAACTCGGAATCTGGGGGCGGTCTTAGTCTCCCGCGTTTGCAGTATTTAATTGGCTTTGACCAATAAAGGAGATTGACCTCGAGCCCAACGTTCTAGAGTGTTCAAGAATCAGCCATAAAAATGGGAATTTTTGGAAATTCGACTCCACCCTCGTGAACACTAAGTCTTGGGACATTGAGAAGGCCTGTCTAGTACTGTGTGTAAGTGTTTTCGGTTGTAATTCTGGGCATTTGGGCTGGTAAATTAATAGTGTATATTAATTATACTTGTTTTAGTGTATTAGCTTTCGTATTGCCTCTGAAGGGGTTAGGAGGCATAATTGGGCTGGGAAACTAGTAGCCCATGTAGTTTGAATAGAAATCCATATTTTAGCTTCTAAAGAATCCATTCTAAAGTAATGTCCTCCCTTCCCGAGTCTTTGCAAACCCAATTTTTGTATATTTTTGAGGCAGTGGTGTAAATAGATGCATACTTCGTAAGAAGCAAAAGATGTTGGCCATGCCCTCTGACGCTACCAGCAGACTTTATAAAGCCTATGATATGCGGAGCAGGATGGGTCAAGCTTCACGCCATCGATGCAGAAGGCTATTAAAAAGATCCGTGTAATGTTGTAGTGAGTAGCGCTTTGGGTTGGCGATACGAATGACAAATGGCTGGAACAACAGGCACCTGAATTTACCGCAAACAGTTATGAAAAGAGCACTAAAAACTAATTAAAACGATTCAGAAACTCCCGGCGTTCACGGCATTCCTTATGATCGTTCTCTGGTACTCCAAAAAATGGCAACTAAGACCACTGTTGAGGATATGCTTCCCTCCTTACAGGTGCTGAAAGCGACGGGATGGCGTATGATAATGGTTTTGGGCGGACTTTATGCGGGCCTCTATGCCTACGAGCGCCTGGCGTGGACGAACAGGGCGCGCGAAGCCGCCTTTAAGTCCCAGTACGTCAATTACGCCTCACATAAGCTCCGCCTCATTGTTGACCTCACTGGCACCAACGCACGACACCAGGTAGGACTCGCCCGCTGTCTCTTTTCTGCAGTTTCAACCGCCCCTGTCATAATGCTTATGCTACTCAGTAATTTCCCTAGGCACTCCCTAAGGTTCTCAATTCTTCGTCTGCATAATCTTACTATCTTTTCAATCTGTGATCGCTTGTGCTGCTAGCGATTAGCTTGTAATCCCAGTGCTCACTCTCTGCTCACAACCCGTAAATTATGGTGAAACAATGTTATTTCCTCTTTGTTGAAATGCGTAACCTGTAATCGTAATCACTCCAAAGTGACTGCTTTTGCTAGCAAACAGTGTGAGTAATTGGCGCGTCAAAAGGAAGTGACCCATTGACGCCTGGAAGCGACCAAAACTTGCGAAATACACATTTTTGCTTTGTCAAAGGAGACATTCAATTCTAACATGCGAATATTGTCTCAATAATGAACCTATCAATCAAACATACGACGACTCATCCAGAGTTCCACGAAAACTATGCCCGGAAAGGCAAGCTGAAAGACACTTTCGGTTAACATAGTGTGGATATTTGAAATACTGCAGTCAGTTTGGAATATCAGAAATGTTAACATTAATAAGAATTGAACAATTATGCCCTGTTGTGTAGCTTTCAGGCACTGGTTTTAACGATACTGGGACATCAATCTTAGGGTGAATAATCCTACCACATCTTGGTAATGATTTCATTTGTTTCTCTCTCGGCTGCATAAATCATTTTACTTTTTGTGTTGACAACTTGTAGCGCTGCTTTAGGCAGTTAAGGTGGTCCACTTTACATCCACACTCTATTGGTATTAATTTGCTCTTTAATTTATTCACCTTAACTTTGTTTACCAATGTAGGCGGTATTTCTAGCTTTGCTGTCACTAGTAGCGAAACCTAATTGAATAGATTTTGCACCTTCAAAGACGCAAACACGTTTGTTAACATTTTTTTCGTAATACCTTGGGGACGCATTATGAATTTATTCGTTAATTTTTTCTAAGCACACTTTTTTTGCCACGATGAAAGGAATATGTCCTTTTTACGTCCGGAAAGCGTGCACTACTCGTGGAATGGTCAGGATTAAGTGTCAAATGGAACATGGACTCCCGAGCTGTGTAACATGATGCGTGTTTGTTTCAAGCTGGGACTTTTGGGTTTACCACTAATGGATGAGAACTAATTTTGGCAAGCAAAAAGTGTTTGTCTTTTCCTCATAGTCGTATTTTCCGAAAGATATGTTCAGCAAGGCCGAACCATTCGGTGATGGCCTGCTTAACTTCGTCAGTCGGGGCCTTGTTGTCCAACATGGACGGACTTTTGAAATTTGTGGGTGTCCGCGTTTGTCATTGGTTGCGTTGTATCCACTGTTCTAATAGAAGGAATGAGTGGACTTGTTGTGCATTGAACTGCTCACAGCGCTGGATGTTTGTCAGGGCTGTAGGCTGAGAATCTACATGACCGGTAATTCTACTGGCAGAAGCCTTCCGTGTAATTATTAGGGATCCGGCATTTTACACTGAATGTTCACATAAATGACTCCTGCTTTGTTAGGTGGGAGTCGAACCACCACACCTGGAATCTTAACTGGCAGATCCGAGCACCTCCATCTTTGAAATGCTTATACTATACCCTTTTTATATGGAACTACTGAGCGGCTGGGCATCTCATCACCTCATTGTAATGCGTTTTGTGGCTTTTTTCGTAGGTTTGCACTTACGCCTTTGATGAATGTGAATAGATCACACTTGTTACTTACCTTTACGTGCCTCACCAGTAATGCTGGTTTGACCCAAACGCTTTTCCCATTTAGAAGAATTGGATATTTTACCATTGGTCTCCTAATGGACCACTTTTATTCATGGGTACTCTTCATTACAAAACATGAAGCATCAGTCACTTTCGTTGCTGCTGCTGTCAACTGGTGCTTGCTTCTGAGACATTTTTGCCATGATAAGATGTGCGTCGACTTTGTTTCGCAGGTGAAGCGCGAGTTGCATCAGATGCAAAAGCGTCTCGGAAACGAGGGTGAGGGCGCAGCAAAGGTTCTTTCCGACGAATTGGTCCAGTTGGACAAAGACCTTGTCACCCTCGACAACATTACCACCTCCGCTAAGACACTCAAGTGAGTCTCTACGTCTCGTGAACAATTTGCTTAGAATTCATGTTTGAACAGAGTTAGCTGAATGAACCGCTATTCACTGCCTAACAATGAATCACCTCTTTTACAGGAACGGTGCTATCTACCTGGACGGCTGTCTGGACAAATTTCACAAGGAATACATAAGCTCAGCGTGGAATTAGCCTTCTTCCCACTTTGTATCTTTACCCTCCAATTTTTTAGCAGTCTCTTAGAGTTATACAACCATTTGTAGCCGCATGCATCTTTGTCAGTTGCTTGTGTTCGCGCCTCCTGGCGTTTTACTTGTTTGTCAAATTGGAACCATGTGGACGTTACTGTTTGTTGAGGTCTATCTACTTTTTATTCAATAATAGCAAAGTTGCACTACTTTTAGCCTACTGAACAAGAGGTTTAAACCAGAACCAAGCTCTATTTGAGTGGCACAAAAGGTATGTTTTTCCCCCATTTAATCTAACGTCAGATGTGCAGATAGAAGTGTGGTGAGTTTCTGTGGTACAAAAGAGCGATTAATTCGACAACTTTGGATTGTCAGCGTTTGAATATATACGCACAGGCCAGCCTTGCTGACAACTGCACGACGAGTGTATATGCCTGTTGACTATGCCCTTAGGGCAGATAATGAGGATGGTAGAGACTAGTAAATGAACACAGGAAGCTAGACGACGGGGCTGTCTATCTGCTTGTGCAGACAGGATCTGATAGATTCCTGCCCCCCGGGTGATCACATTCATTAGTTCGCATGTGGATTGGCTACAACCAAGGGACGTCTGGCCATATTTGTATCGTCTGTGTGGGGGAGGGAGTGTAGTGTCGTTTATGTCGGTAGCTTTGACTTTATCATGTCGGTTTAGGATTGGTCGGGAATGGCAAGTTCTGGGGTGCTGGTAATCCTACGCATTAGTTTTCAACAGATCTCGTGTTTCTGCTCGTAGTGGATTGGTTTAGGGGCCTCGCGGAACAGTTTCTTTTGTAGTAGGGTCCCATTTCATTTCAAATGTCGATGGAGGGCATTTAGTGCCAAAAATATCCAGCAATGGCTGCACTTATTTCCTAATCTATTAGACGGGCATTTCTGATGCGTAAACGGCAATATCCCTACTGTTCCCATTTAGCTGACGGTCAACTTTATAACGCAGTGACGAAGTACTCTTTTGTGATGGTGAGAGCTAGTTCAGGGTGAATAAATTTACGCCAACCATATTGAGCCGGTAGATTATGACTATACCGCTTGGTACGTAGTACAGAATATCGCGTTCAATGTTCACTGAAAGGACGTCTGCGTTTTGAATGACGCGTTTTTGACAACCTAGTAAATAACTTAAATGGTGTAAGGGATTTAATGAAAGTACGTACTGAGGATCAGACATCGCAGCGTCAACTGCTGCCAATGTGCCAAGTGTCACTGTGCCGCTACTGCCCCAGGTGACCATGTCCATATTGCCAGCATTTGAATCGTCCAGCCGCTATTATTGCCAGCGCAGAAATGCCGCTGTAGGACATTCGAGGCGGAGCTGAAATCACTGGCAGAGGAGGGGATGCGGAGCAGTGTGTACATCTGCAGCAGAAGTGAAACGTAGCAGCAATTTCATCACCTCGGTGGATGCAGCAATGCGATGAATGCGACCAAAGACCAACATTATACCCACAAGATGATGACGAGGCTAGAAGGGGAGACAGTGGTTCCCATCTCAATGAGCTTAAAGAGGGTGGACTATACAAAAAAGGCTGTGAAAGAACTAAATGGGGACTTGTTTTCTGTTATTCGGAACAATATGGAGGCACTATTCTGCTATTTTAACTGTGTGAGGTGTCGGAAAGGCAAATAAGAAAAAGGAGGGTCAGAATGTTAGCTAATTACAACTGAGAAATCGAATGAATGGAAGGAGAATCTTTTCCTTCTTCTTTGTCGTCTGTCGATGCAGATTAAGATTCATTTGGATGTTCGTTAAAGTGCTCTCTTTGTTCCATGACATTTCCCAAACTCGATGCCTATCCTACGCGAAATGTGAATTGGACGCATCACGATTATCTTTTTTGATAAGGCAATTCATCTAACTATGGTAAACATCAGGAAGTTATTGGATTAAATCTGCTTATTGTAGTCTATCCTGTAGTAAATTTACGTTAATTATAGGGATTTTTGAGGGAAAAAGGCGAAGTAAATTTTGAATGAGGATAGAAAAACTACTTCTCCGATCCATGAACTGAAGGTAGTAGTCTTTAAGGCATAATTCTTCTTTTTAGTACAAAGCTATATTTGACCCAAAAGAAGTGCCTATCTTGTCCCCGTCAGGAAAAATTCAACAGGTTTATATTTTTGAGTGATTTTCGAGTAATTTCTGGTCTATTTGGTGAAATAAGAATTAACTTATTTCGCCTATTTGAAGCGAGTTTTTGACTAATGATTGCGGCATGGGCTTGGGTTATGATAACACCTTCTCAGCTCTTCTGCACCACTTTGGCGTGTTAAAACTTTAGGGAAAACTAGGGGCGCCACGTAAGACGTCGCCTTGAGGTCATTATAGTACCAATAAGGTGCACAGGCAAGGTGGCTCAAATGGAGTAAGGGTCAACTTTATTGGATGACACTACAAGGGAAGTCGAAACAGTTGAGAGAAGGAAATCGTGGAAGAAAAACAGGCGTCTTGGAGAATCTTCGTGGTGTTGTGCGTTTAGTTTAGTTGCTGATCTGGCGATTCATGGGGTCAACCGAATCACACGTTATTACGCACTTTAAAACACTATTTTCTCTCGAAGCCATTCAACTCCATGATAGTAAACGTCTGTTCGGGCTCCTGTCTGATCTTCGAAGCAATTGCACTGTAACTCCCTTCAGTGTGTTTAGTGGCATCTGAGACAAAGCAGCGGCAGATAGATGAAAACTAGTGTGCAGGTAAGTAGGACTAAGGCATGCGGTGTCGGAAGATAGGCACAGACACTTAACCTCTGATTTCTATTTTAAAAAGCGACGGGATTTCTGTCTCTATTGTGGCAGATTTATGCTGCCAGAAGTTTAATAAGAATGGTAAGTTGTAGAATAGGTAAGTAAAGTATGGGTGATCTTTGATCGCTTATTTTTTGGTCCCCCACCTGACAAAGTCGACTTTGAATACATTTTACTCACCACGTCGACCGTGAATCGTTGGCTTGCAGCTTTTAAGATGGACCAAAGTAATGTCATTTCTTCAGTTGTTAGTTCTCGTCACCTTTCCTCTTCTTTAAGGTACGTTTTCTAGAGTATTTAGACATTGCAAGCTGTGGAACGCAGACCATGCAAGTCAACTGAGTGATAAGTAAACCCATTTTCATTCGTTTACTGAGCGCCTCGATGATGCTTCATGGCGTCATTTACTTCAGTCATCATGATAACAGTCGACACAATTGTAACAGGCAAGTAGTAGATAAGCATCTAGGGCCAAAATCGTGCTTTAAGTTATAAGTAATGCTCCTATCAATCCTCCATTCCCAAATGGTATGTGGTTCTGTCGTTGTCGACTGATGTTGTTGAAAAGCCTCTTTCTCCTTAATTATACTACTAAGTTAACTCTTGTCCATCTGGTGGAGGTCATAAAACGACACTAAGCCATGGAAATCGGCCACCATCCAATGGTTGTTTTACTAGTGAGTTTTAACCACAGAATTTTGAGGTAAGTGATAAGAAAGTAAACCCAACAATGTTCAGCCAAACTCGCCAGAATTTCGTGTAATCTCGTTTTTCAACTTCTTGAACTAATCTTGGCCTGATTTTACGTCTTGCTATTAACCTCCTACATTCTGCTGGCATGGCATACCCACAGCAGGATGGATAGGTCAGATCATACTTTCGGAATGTTGATTCTGCTATATTCTGCTGACAATCGTCTGTTGAATGGGATACTACCTTCCAGTCGTGACCATCAAACAGCCCAAAAACTATCTTGCTACTGAAACCCACCCCCGGTTAATGTAGTGCCTGATATGGCGAGCAAAGCAACGCATCCACTGTAACTTAGGTGACAACTCGAATTATGACGCAACGGTTTACAAATTTCTCACCACGTTGAGAGTTACTGGATGTTGTTCAGCCAAAAAAACAACTTAAACCACAATGTGAGTAAAGGAAGTGGAAACAAATCAAGAAACCTTCAAGCTCACTGTCATCTGCTAAGGCACCTGGAATCCAATGCTTTAATTTCCATGACTCTCCATCCCCTACGTGTAAACAACTGCTTCAACAAACATGTTGAATAACACTGAACTGTGCTCTTGACACAGTAACTTCGAATTGACCTGCCAGTCGCAACACTCAATCCATCTTTTGCGTCCTTGGATGATCCATTACCAAAGTCAGTATTTTTAAACCATTTCTGGATGATTCGTTCTGATACTGCGTAACACTTCTTCAAATGTTACGAGAGAGGTTCAACGGGAATTGAGAACAAGAGGGGATAGCAGAGCAAAGTAGAGCACCTTACCAGTGGATTGAGGCACTTGTGCAAACTGATAAATAGTGGTTAGCAAATGTAGATGTAATAAGAAATCTTTTCGTCGGCTTCTACCGAAACAGACACATGAAACACCCTTAATTCTGATAGTGCAGATTCTCCATTTTGTTGGAATTAGAGCTAGCAGCGGGTACCTCTCGTACCCATTAGCGCAAGATCAGTTCCCGTCTTCAATAATATGCGCAGAGAGAAAACAGTCGCTCGGGATAAAAGCCACCTCACTACTAGCCCTGTGGGGGTACCTTTACCAGGTCGCCGCGAAACTGCAGTAGTTAGTACGAAAGCATTCCAACTTTCCTTCCATTAATCGTTGCTCACGTGTCTAACGACGAAATGATAGGAAAGCATAGACAAAAAAACATCATGCACAAAAACACTATTTCTTGAATTCAGAATTTTAGAAATAGGTATGGTAAACAAGCAGTTGGCACATCACATTAAACCACCACCTCGCCTTCTTTCAATAAAAACGACTGCTTTGTCATATGTCTGTGCATTTGATGAAACAGGAATGGACGGAATGAGTTCACATATCACACGAACCCCGCCATCTAAGAAATTGGTGTCTCCTCTTGTCCCCTTTCTTCCTCTTCTTCCTTCTCCTCTACCGCGGCCTTTTGCCGCTTTCGTTTGGCTTGATGACGTTGGTGCCGCTCTTTGATGCGTTTGTGTGTCTCCTCCTTGCCTTTCTCATAGGCGGCAACACCGCTCATATTGACGAAGCTCTTTCCCGTTTCCATCAGCAACTGTAGTCTTGGGAATTGACCTTAAAGAGGTCAAAAAAACGTGGTCAACTTAACGAAGAAGGTCGTAATAAATTAGACAAATGGGACTAAAAAGTTGTACCTTTATCTTAAAAGGGAACGGACTATCACCCAACCGTTACTTTCTCTTGCCAATGAACCTCAAATGGGAAAAACAATAAAAATCACAATTTAAGCCGTAATAATCGTAATTCTTCCATAACCCTTGATTACATCATGGACCCGATTTAAGGATATACTAACTCTGAGAGATGACCATCACTTACATTTGTTACTAATAGAGCAGTAATGAACAACGAGAACTCTGAGCTTCAGAAGCCTGACTCCACCTTTCAAAAAAGCTAAGCTGGCGACGTTAGTTGAATAGCTTGAGGAAATTGTTACATTCCTGTGTGATAACGATTAAGCCTCTGTTGCTACGAAAACAACCAGAGAAGTGTAAGTGACAATAAAACTAAAAATACCTAGAGGAAGAAACGGAAAAACATCCAATTTGGAAATAAATGTAGGTGATGATTATGACGGCAAATTGTTGAAGAAACACGCGAGATATTTAAAAATGACGATACAAACAGCAATTCACTACCTAGTCAAAGGTCACTGCAGACTGACAAAAAGTCGGCATCCGTCAACAATTACAGTCAAAACAACGTCCAGATAGTAATTTTGGCAATTTAAAGTTGGATGACTGGAGTGCCTTAAACTTGTGGTCGGCTAGTTTTTAAATTGAGACCCTCACACTCACGCCCGGGAAATTCAACGCACCAAGCAAGTATTTGCGGCGCTTGGTGAGAAGACGACTGGTAACCTAATTAATCCCTTAGAAATTTCACCTTCCCGTCGAAAGAGCGATCTTACAGATTCTAAGGTACTAACAGGTTGTAATACCTATTAGGTTCTGGTCGTCCAAATTCGCAAAGCAGAACACAAGTCATCCATGCTCCATCCCGCAAAGCGTGGTCGACTCTGAGCAAGTCTTCGTACTGCCTGAACTATGAATCAACCATCACGCCATCTGCTGGATCTTAGTGAAATACCAATGTGCTATCAGCTGATGGCGCGGGAATCGCAGCAATTGCCTCTGTGTTAATGCCTTCAACTTCATCTACCGCTCGAATAGCAACTCTAGGTCTAGCGTATACATAACGACCATACCTGAGTCGCCTGAATCTGTATGAACAGGTACTATGTATAGTCTACTAGCAATGTCCCTCGGGATGGGACACTCCCATTATCCCGGCTCACGGCCCAGAACGCAGTCACAACTTTTGTGTATATTGAGTGATCACGAAGACCACTGAGAGTACTAACACACATAAAGGGAGCCAACACAGAACCTAATCAACTAGAAAGGGCAAACTGAGAAGCACAAAATGCAGGTTTACGAAAAAAACGGTGATTTTGGTGCAAAAAAAATCTAGGTCGCCAAAAAACAATGTCCAAGGCGTTTAGATAAAAGGTTCCACAAAATTTTGAACATCTCTAGCGAAGATGAAAGACTTGAAGGTTTATGATGAAAATTGTATTGTAGCTGTCGAAATACGCTGTTAAAATCTGTAAATATCTTACCATTCTCAGCTTTTAATTCGGAAGGCAAAGCATCCCATTCCTTCATCTGAAATTAATAATCAAAAGTACAAAGGTAACTGCTGAATAGTTTTATACAAAGTAGAATGTAACGCGCTGCAAACCTGACTCCATTCCAAGGCAGAATCTTTACAGTACGCAAAGGTCCAAGACACAAATCTTGAAAGAGGTTCCGTCATGCAAACAACCTCAAAGTCCTTTTCAGTGATTCTGTGGTTGATCACACAACAGTCGACAAAACGCTCATTTTTGGGGCAGAGAACTCCACTAATCACTGCGTCGTTACTATCATCTCTTACGAAAGCAGAGAAGTCATTAGAGAGCTTCACAGCGATTACACAATCATGTCTGCAAAGGGAAATGGTAATTTAATGTGCGGACAGATAGACACAACGTACGATCGAACGCCAAGTACAGCTGTACATCCGATAATAATCAAACGTGAAGTAAGAAAATCTTGGGTCTCATTATCGGTTCCACAACCTTGAATCTTATTTAAATGCGGAGCCAGTTCGATTTCATCTAACTCAACTCCCTCGAGAGCATTCCAAAGACGAATAAACCCATCCTACAACAGAAAAAAATAGGGACGATTAATCTGATCATGTGCGGAAGGAGATAGAGCTGGATAAAAAAAAACTTGCGCCAGCGACGGATATAAGGTGATTGTCGTCAGGAAAAGCGATGTCAAAAATCGACCTACAGAGAAGAAATAAAACACAAAAAAAAACAACTTCGTATGTCCAAGGCAAAATGACTCGATAACATGAGGCTGAGAGGAGCGACCAATACGGATCTTTTCATCTCGATCGCATGTGCCGATAAGTCGACCGTCTTTATTTAAAACCTAGAAATGAAGGTGAGCATTACCATGGAAAATACAAATGGCACTGAAGCGTGGGGTTAACTCACGACGCTTGTAAGAAGTGAAAGATGTCCAAGAAATGCATCCTCACCGCCGATTTGGAATAAGCCCGAATTATTCCCATCAATAGAAACGCAGATAACGTAACCCGACTTTTCGCCGAGGAGAAGTGATCGCTCATCAGGCGTGAAAGTAAGACAACCGACCTTCTTTTTGAGCTTTCTAGTTGTACAAACTTAGTTAAGGAAATACACAATTACTGTTCCCTCAACAAACTCCAGGAACCTCCGGCAAACTCAAATACTCTTAAAATTTTATTTGTGTCACAAGCCGCAAAAAGGCGTCCAGAATTGGAAAGACAGCTGCATAAGGCACCCCTTTGACTTTCTAAGTTAGAAGTGCTCCTAGGTACCCAAGCTAATTAATCATTTCGCGAAGTATTACACATTATCCCCAGGGCCAGTTCTCAGAATTGAATACGATGAACTAAAGAGTAAAATGCGTTTTCTGCCTTACTTTTGGTCTAGGCATGCAATAGCATCCCCGACGGCGGCCAGGATCCTCGAGCCCTCAGGCCGAGATGCGAGCATGTTCTACTGACAGCGTAAAGCGCGCTAAACGCCTTCAACCTTGCCATGAACTTAATAATTGTGCGTATTAGATCACTTAGCCTAAAAATGATTAAACAGGATGACAGATCAGTTTTGGATAAATAATTTATTAAGGTCAAATAAACGTAAGGATAAATAGGTGTTTAACTTTTGGTTAGAGCTTACAAGCTTATGAGATTCTTTTTAGATAACTAATTCAGAACTTTCTTATAAAAAATTAATGCGCAAAGAGTGAGGCAGACTAGGTACTACCCTTAATCTACATAAAAACTAATAGGAATACGCATTTTTCGAAAATAATATCAAAAGACTCCCTAAATGCTCACTTTACTAATCAGGTTACAATTGCTTTTTGCAGTCACTTGGTTACATCTGAGAGGACAACAGTATTTTTTTGCATCCTAATCCGAACGGCCAAGCCACTGTAAACGTTACTATGATATGCGAGGGATGGTATCCAGATGCCGTTTTATTAGTTTTTATATAATTAATATAGGTTAGCCTTGTCTGACACCTTTTTCTCTTAATTCCAAGGTCGAAGCCCTTGCGCCTTTTCCAATTTGCTTGGTGGTTCTTGAGGCGTGTGGGTTTTCGGTGCGTTTTGCTTCTTTTTTACAATGCATGTTTGGTTCTCCGTATATATCAAGAATTAATCCAATCACTGTTTTGGGCAGTTTTGCTATTTTTTCTGTATTGCTGGATACCTAGAGGCTGTTGCTCAAAACTTTAGGTCATGATGCTTACGGGACACAGTATAACACCTCTTCGACCCTTCGGGCAGAGTTTATCTAATTTCCCTAATGATGATTGAGACACGTCAGGCCTAAAATACCAGGCTCACTTTATGAGTAATTTTATAATCAACAGAATAATTTGATGCTTAACCGTATTAACCAGTGCACATTTTATGCTCCGATCATACTTACTTAGTTGGTTCACTGTCAACAATGATCGTTTTCTATTCAGTTCCAGTGGGAACCAACTCTTTTGATTCTGGTTAGCCGTTTCTCTCAAATCTATTTGGTTTCCATTACACCTCAAGTACGCATTAGTTGCTTCTCATTCATAGAATTGTTTATTTTAACTTTTATCACACGTCTCTGAGGGATTTTCACGAGTCAGAACCTTAAGCAAAACCTCAAAAAATGTTCCACGTTAGCTATATCTTTTCTACTAGTCACAAGTTTCTCCTAATTGGGTCACCTGTTCCCACTTGCGAATGCTATGGAAATGTTTTTGTGAACTTATTTCTGCCTCCACCTTTTCCGATTGTTTTAACTAAAAGGTATCTCTTTTAGATATGATAGAAGATCACGACTTGTCCTTTGATCTCTTTGAGGCGACACATCAGGTATCATCTTCCTTTAAATGTCATTCTTCCCCCAAAAACAGGTCATGTCCTCGGCTGCCTCTTCCCGCCTTCCCGTTGATCTGCAAGCGAGGTATGCGAATCTTACTTTGTGGTCCCCGAGCCCAAACTGACGACAGTGAAACCTTACACAAGGTTTTGTGGGTTGTTGGTATAAATGATAGAGTAGTATATTCTGACATCGATATTGAAAACTTCTTGTAAAGACCCCACCAGTCTATCCAAATGTCTTCTTGTTGCATAGTGTCAGCCATAACAACATAGTTGGTGTCTCAAAAATTGCCCACAAACCACGACTTTTTTTGTCAAACCACTTATCTTTATTCAATTCAGCCACTCGGTGCGTAGATAAAGCAGTATTTGTACAACACACCCTTTCATAAGCATCATAAAGACTCTAAGACGAACATTTTCAGATCAAGTTACGAGTTTTTCGCCATCTCATTTATTTATTGCTCTATTACAATACACGAGATCGGGCGATTGACGAAGAGAGTTTGGCTTCCATAGCACTTCCTTCGCGGCTCTTGGCAGGTTCAGCCATCCATATAATCTGTTTTGGAGTACGCTTTTTTTCTCATTTTCTCAGTCTTCGATCCATGACTGCCACCAATATGGCGGCTGGCTCACCTCTGACGAGGTTATAGGATTATGGTCCTCGTGACCTATTAACAGCAAATGCGATATCATCATAGTGAAGCAAAACCAAAGGAAATTATGAGCCTCTACTTCTACGCGCATTACTGACATCATACTGCCTAATCTGTTTGCCCTCAACTACAGACATCCCTTCCGAGGTCAGTACGACTTCCGTCTGGATTTTGATGGCAAAGAGACCGCGAGGGATTGCAAATTTTATGCTGATAAGACAGGACGTCGGATCATCTTCGTCAACAGAGACCGGCCCTTTGTCATGAGGGCCCTCTTCCGACTGCCGCTCACTCCACTCAACCTCTACATTCGTATTGTGCCCCTCTACATTGCTCATGCTAGACGTAATGAAGTGGTTTGCAGGTGAGTTTTTGGATTAGGATGAACTGACTGCTCATAGGGTCTATCTTTTTCTCATTTGGAACGATTCAATTGGTGTGCAGGGTATTTGTTCTTCACTTTCTCTTTCACCCTCCTCTCCATGTAAGCGTAGAAAATTGTCGTTTTTAACTTTTTCCGTGACACCCCTTTAGGAAGACGCGTTACATCTTATGCTATAACTTCAAGAAAAACATTGCGAGATCAAATTGAATCTTTATTGACGCACAGTACCAATAGACGTATAATCGTCTTCTTTACCTTGATTTATTAGTCGATGCGGAAGGGAGGAAGATGAACCAGTAAGAGTACAGATCATTAAGTGTTTGTTTTATGAATCGGTTTCAATAGAGCTAGCCATTCTACCCCCAAAGCTCACCTCTTTGGATGGAGCGTATTTGAATGATGTCAACATATCATCCCAATTTTCTTGCGCTGGGTGACATTCACATTCTCGCATATTTTGTGTAGGGTAAATGCTGTTTCAGACTGAATTTTTTGTTTTGTCTATTTGCTAATTATTTCAGATAACCAAAAGAGTCCCTCCCTTTTTCGGTATATCTTACTCTAATGACCTTGCCATTCGTCGGACCTCATGAAATGCTTGTGATTGTTTATACGGGGTTAGTCCCTCGTCACGGTACTCTTTATCGTATTCTAGTATTTTTCTGACACTTTGGTACTGATATAATTTATACTTGTTTGCTATGGGAGCCGAGTTTACCCTGATTCTAAAGTTCCAGCAGCTCCTCGTAATGCCTGTTGCATTGCACTTGGAGAGGGTGCGATATGTGATACCAAAATGAGCCACCCAGTAATGATTTTGAACTTCTGGTTCTGGTAATAACACCCAAAGATTCATCATGTTCAGGAAGATTCCCTATAGCTGACGGTGAAGAAGCGCGCTTTGCTATCAACAGGTCAGTTTAGGGTTCATGTGTCAAGAACAACTTTCAGTAATGCTTAACGTGTGATGAAACGTTTGGCTTGAACCTGCGTCAATTGCAGAGGGATAATCATGTAGCTAAGAGGATATGCAAATTAATGCCACTAGTATATCATACAATGATCGATGACATTGAGCTTGAAAGCCTGTCAGTTTTCCATTTGTTTCATTTACGTTGTAAAACTGCGGTCAGCATTTATGATTATTCGCTAGCTGACTGACTGACCAACTTGTGATAGTAAATCGCTCTGTATTCCAACATTCGTTATGCAAAAGACAATATCACGTATCCTCAAACGATCCCCCACCTGTCCTACACTTCTGAGGCACGTACCACTTCATCCGCCATCCTCAGAGGACCACACCTGCTTTGTGTACGTGTGATGCACCACAGATGGAACTGTTCACTTGCTGGGGCCAAACGTTTGCAGCCGAGATCCGTTTTTTCAATACAGCTCAAAGGTGTGCAAGAAAGGCTTTCCTTTCAGAAGCACACAGAACCAGTTAATCGGTGGGAATGACTTATTTTTCGACTTACAGGGCAGTAACTCATACACCACACCAGTGCATTTCGGTTATAGTGGAAAACACGATGGGAGGGAGGCATCGCTTTATCTCATCCTTCACGTTCCTTTGATCCATGTTTCTTCGATATTCAAGTGATTATCACTTTTCTGCCATTAGGGTACTTAATGATCTCATAAAATCTTAGCGCTACAAACTTGGCTTCCTTGGGCATTCTTGCAGTTGGTTCAAGTCTCGTATTTACACAAGAGGGCTTTCCACGGCAAAGCCTATCCTCAAAGGTAAATATTCGTGAAATCCTATTTGTCCGCACGATTTAAAAGGCGTAGTTGTGCTACTATGCTCTTCTAACGGGCGAAGTGTTATGGGTCCTCAAATTTTATATTGTTTTTGAAAAAAATTGGGTATTTCAATCCTACTGATACGATAATATTGTAGTTTAAACAACCTGAATAGCTCCCAAACTTGGTAGCCTTTTAATTCAATACGATTTAAAAAGACTTAGTATTTCTTGTTTAATGATCGGATAAATTCTAAGGATTGCCATCTTCATTCATCCTTCCCCTCGTCTTTTCAAATCCAACGATCAGGTGCCCTAATCATGCGCACCAGTTAGTGACACCGGAATCGGGCGTGTCTGCAACAGCACTATCAGAGATGGAGGCCGCAGAGACGTTGCGCAGTTTCATCATGATTCAATCACCACTGGCACGCTATTGTCGTCTGCAGGGCCACCTTACAGTCCTTCTGCCCATCGACCGGCTGCAAATGGCACTAAATCTTGGTCCCCCTCCCGACCACCGAGCCCACCGCCACCACAGGGAGCGAAAGCAGTCGGAGAGAGAAGAAAGACTAGGTGGTGGGGTATCTGTGCTAACCTCAACACCACCATCGCATTCTCAGTCAGTTCCTTCTTCCTCTTCCAGCTATCCTATGGGTGTAGCTGCTGAGAATCTTGTCTGTCGTATTGGATGCTACACAAGCTGTTTGGGTGGTCAGACACGTGGTGCTGTGGAATTGGTGGTGCGATTGGAAGAAATGCCCAGGTATTGTTCTTCTCATATGGTTACCTATCAGATTGCGATTTTTTCAAGTCTATGATATGCTCTCTCGCATAACGACTTGACAACTTAATTCTGTCTGGTTGAGTTCCTGCATCCGATGACCCGATAAACTAGTGGTGCTTCAAAACTGGCTGTTTCACTGAAAGATGCGTATATTTATGCGTAGATGCCTGTGCTCTTCTATCCACAATTAATATTTCCCCTTTGATAAAGTTATCTGTCATGCAAAGAGTAGCTTACTTAAACATACAATACGGAAATAAAATTAATGTTATGAGATGATATCCTAAGCGGTGTACATTTGTAGTCGCATTGGATAGCCATTGAGACGAACGGTGATGTCTTCGGTGGGTAGGTGCGTTGTTTTGCTAAACTTCTACCACTCTGGGTGCATTGTAGGCTTTCTTTGGTTTGTTATGGCTGAATGAGTTTGATTGATAGCACACATATTCATGACCCGCAGTGTTGCACTAGCGACACCAGTGATTTCTGTGTGGAGAGAACTTGCCAAGATGCCAGAGCCTGCAGTGTCTGCAGGGAGAAGGGGGCATTCTCTTGTTTTTGGTATTAGTGTGTTAGTTGTTGAGACATCGGCTAAATTTGGATAGGCTGAGTCTCTGTGGTATGGAATGGTTGGGTAAACGAAATTAGAACTGCCTCCGCTCTTAGACTTAACCAAATTGGTGTTATCCTTGGGCCTAACTAAAGCGTTGGTACTGCTGTTCGTTGAGTCATAGAGGGACCTTGCTCGGTTATGGGCAGCAGACAAGTGTAGATTTCTGGGTCGGTTGACGAATAGTAACCACCGACGATGGTGGGTAATTTGAACTGGTTGTAAGTTTTTCATACAAACAATTGACACCTTGTTTACACGTTTCCTGCGTAGGTTACGTAAACCCAACCTCCACACTTTCTCAACTTCAGGCAGTTGTAGTCCAGACTAAACGGCAAAGACCCCTCGTCAGATGTGTATTTTAGCATTTCATGTAAATCAGGCGTTTATTCGTTCCGAATTTCCTTAGTAGAAGTAGAACTTTCTACCTATCACCATCAAACTCAAATCTGAAGACATCCTCATACCTACTGAACCAGAAATCAAATGTAGGGCGGAAATCTGAATTGTGATGAAACTCCATGTTACTGTTGATAGCAGAATCAACGGGTTGGCACCTGACGATGGTGTAGTTTGGACCTTGAAGTTCCATACCAATCTTCAATAATTTGAGTTGAATTGACTGAAGTTTTGTGTTGTAGAATTTCGTTCGCTTCATCGACGGAGAGGGACAACATCGAGTTCTTTGAAGGATACTGTGTCGCTAGTTGTTATGGGTTGGTGTTTATTTATGTGAGCACGGGCACTATCATGATTTCGCTTCGAGAAAATGAGGTCTTTGCTGTTGACAATGTAGATGCAACTCGAACTCGCTATCCTTGTGCCTGTCCGCTGGCTGGAGCACTGGGCCTTGAAGTGACAATCAGTACATTCAGTCTATCTGTATATTGACCGATCGGGAGAACTGGGTAAGGCGCCATTTCTGAGACATTCCTTAATGTCCGGGAACTAGTTGCTGAAGTGGGAACTTCTGGAGAAAATAGTTACGGACGTTCTCAGCATTTAATATGATTTACTCTACAAGGCGGTTAACTCTGATTTGTAAGAATTATCCATATGACAAGGTTATTGCTAAATATACCTGCTTGGAACTAATAGAAACTATTGTTTGGTTTTCTGGCTTTGGTTTTGATAATAAATGAAGCATCTCTTACCATTAGTAATGCTGGTAATTAATAGATCTTTGCAGCGATTTTTTTCTTACTTGGCTGTTTAATGCGTTTCGCCTCATGTGTAGGCAATCAAGGTGAAATTGGTGTGCTCTTTTTAATTTCTTCACCCTAACACCGTCTTTTCGGTTTGTGTCATTCCTGGATTCGCTGCCACTAGTGGTGAAGCTTAATTGAATAGGGTTTGCACCATAAAAGACATCAGCATAAGTCAACATTTCACCTACAATACGTTGGAAGCGCATTATAAATGTATCAATTGGTTTTTTCTAAGTACAATTTGTTGCCTCGATGAAAGAATTTTGTGTCCTTTTTAAAATCTGAGATGCGTGCACAAGTTGCAGAATGGTTGGAGTCAAGTGTCAAATAAACACGGATTCGCAAGCTGTGACTTGGGTGTTTACTACTAATGGGTAAGAACTAATTTTGGCAAGCAAAAGTGTTTGTTTTTTCCTCATAGTTCCATGGTCCGAAAGGCATGTTCACCAGAGAAAGGTTTGTTAGCGAGGCCAAACCATTCGGGGATGGCCTGCTTTACTTCATCAATCGGCGCCTTGTTGTCCAACGTGGACGAACTTTTGAAATTTGTGGATGTCCGTGCATGTTATTGGTTACGTTGTGCCCACTGTTCCAATAGAAAGGATGAGCTGACTTGTTGTGCATCGAGCTGGCGTTTCGAGTGTTAAATGTTCACGGCGCTGGCTTCCTGCCGAAGCTGTGCGCTGAGTTCCATCATGGCCGGCAATGTCACCGATAGAGGTTAAGTGGATCTTGAAACCTTTACACCATTCCTATCACCCTTGTTTCTTGGTAATCTTCTGTATGAGTCGTGCGTCTTCGTTTGCAAGAAATTGCCCAGCGTCACACGCTAGTCCGTACACACACCACTACTGTTCCCCATCAGTGTCTAAACTGGACTGACCCACAACCTGTGTTCCGGCTACTAGTTACACACAGTTACTACTGTGTGTAGTTTCGCCATAGTAGTACTCAATTTTAAACTCGTGAAATTAAACATCGCTATTTGCTTTAAAGACAAAGTACTTGCTAATCGTTCTTCCACTCTCTCCTTTCCCCTTTTCAACCAAAAGTGACCCCCTCCAACCGCCCTCGGTACTGGGTCTCGACTCAGTGGAGGTGCATTGTTCCTCCACTCCAGCTCGCGACATCCGCATCCATATCGAGAACGCAGCCTCCTCTTCTGCCCGCTTTAAGTCCTCTAACGCTGTCAGCGGCCGTGGTACTGGCAACAGGAGCAGCGGTGTTCGCCGCCATGGCCGCCGCGGTCTCTCTGAGCCCTCCATCTCTACCCGCACCAAACGGCGTCTCACACTGGTTGGCACCAATGCCTGCACAGCGACTGACGTCGGCATTAGTGGACTTGATAGTCCAGTGAATTCCACTGAAGTCATCTCCGCTTCCTTCTCCTCCTCCAACGCTTCCTCCGTTTCTAGTTCCGCTTTTATTGATGTGCCGATGGGAGGAAGTGGTGGTGGACCAAAGCAGCGTTTTTATCTGGTAGCAACCAAGTCGAAGGAGAGGGCAGGTCAGTTGCGATTGATGGATGATGCCTGGGCGGCATTTGATGGGGTGCGAATGAGCTCCAGCAAATTTATGGCGTACCGGAAGGACTGTCTATTGGCGCAGTCTATTGCGTGAGTTTATAATCCTTTACCTTTGAAATCTTCTGTCTTTACGCTCCTTGGAGTGTATGTGTTTGTTGCTTGTTTTGAGATGTGAGCCGAGCTTCTAGGCGAAAACATGATACGACACGATTTTCTGCATCCTGACTTCTGTTGTTACATGCACTCGTGGCAGTTAATCGTGAAATTCGAACTATAATCTGGATACTGATGTGTTTATTATGAATTGTAATGCCGAAATTCAACTTCAAGTTAGGTAAGCAATGGTCTTCGTTCTGAATTCTTGGAATTTATAAGCTCACTTTTCCAAAGTAGTCTCGGATAAGTCCGTTTTAAGGTAAAACATGTAGCACTACGTTCTCCTTACTGTGTCGGATTCATGCTGTCACCTCAATTGACATCTTCATTTTTAAATTTCTAAGCATCTTCTCATAGCAGCTGATGAGCAGATTGCCGTTACTGTGGTCGCTATGGGCATTGGTGGACATCTCTCAACCCTCACTAGCTCCATCTTTCCCAACTCCTCTACTTTCCTCATGCCCCCATGTTCCAGGTTCAGTGAATGTTTCAGGGGTGTCTTAGTTACTCTCCCTCTCAGACGAAAAGTTCCCTGTCTTGCGTATAAGCTTTATGACTTAGTTTGTTTATCCCCATGACTAACGCCAAGTCAGCAATAAATTCCCGGTTTCCCTTTCTCCTTTTTAGTGCTGAGGCTCATTCTGCGAGTACCGAAAATTGTGAACCGCCTTGAGACGTATCTCCCTTTTCTATGGATCATTTGCGTTACTTTCTACTCAGTGGGATGTTTAGTTCGGGTGCCCTATTCTGCGCCTTGGTAATTTAAAGCGCCTTTTTTTATATTCTTGGCCTTTTTGTACAGTTTGATACAAAGGGAAAACATACAAGATTGGTTTGACTTTGCCTCTTTTCTCTAAGGTTAGAATCTTAAACCGATTTATATCATCGCTACAGTTTTGCCTTTTAAAATCATGCCATTTTTCGCACTGAAGGGGCGCTGTCACTTTATGATGCTTGAAAAACATCTGAAGACATTAGAAGCCTGGCAGTGACATTATTATAAGCATGCAGAAGGATTTGAACGGATCCTCGTGCTGCCAACATAAGGGCCGAATTGTAGCCAGCTGGGTATATCACCGTCTTTCCTGATCAAAGTGTCAATTCTACAAAGCATCCCCATTGGGTTGTGTTCCTAATTCCAACTTAACTGTCAGTTCGTCTATCTGGATCTGTTTCATTTTCTTGGGATATGGAAAGAGGCTTACCCATTAGGTAGTGCTTTAAACCATGGTGAGCAATTCTTCTAGAAGCATTTAAATACCCTGATTGTAGCCGCGTTTCGTTGATGATCACAGTGGAAAACTCGAGATTTGGGTGATTTCCGGAAGTCGACACCATTCACCCTCCTTCCGTGGCATCTATCCAGCGAGAATGGGATTTATGATCTTTTGTAGCTGCACAGCTCCAAGCTCTACTACTGCCTCATAGGTGAGGCCTATGTCATCGGGGCAGAGGCGGGAATTGAGAGTGACTAGATGGACTTCCGCTTTTACCTGTAGAATTGAAATAAATGGTATTTGACTGCAATTTTTTCAGTGATCGTGAGTTAAAAGAACGCGTTCTTTGAGGAACGCTGACTCTTTCCGATGACATTGTGAATTTTTTTTAGTATAACTTGACCAGAAAATTTCGTGCTGTCCTCGGTGTTGCTGGAATAGCTTGTTGTGACTTGTAGAGACGCATCAGATGCATGCGGTTGTACACATACGTAAGGCACAAGTGGATGTGTATCAGTCTCTCAGTGCAGTGCTTTCTATCGTTCTCTCCGATATTTGTCCGTCATCTCGAATCTGCATCAAATGTCTTTTAAATCCAATGGAACTGAGTTCGCTTCGATCCAAAGGCTGCAGAAAGTCCTCACAATATTCACCTCTCACTGCCGCACAATTCAAAGGTACACGTCATTCATCGGCAAGATCGTACTCACCTTGAGTGTGTGTGCGTGTGTGGTGCAATGCAGACAGAGTTGTTTACTTGCTGCAGGCTGCAAAAATACGTCTGGGATTTACCTACTCGATACGCTACAAGTCGGGTGTGTGCAGAAATTGTTTTCTCTTCAAAATCACTCAGGACTAATTAATCAACGGAAAGGCCGTTCCACAAAACAGCACAAGACCTCATGCACCTCGCCATCGCTAAACTCACCCCTTTTTGATGTGGAGAAAGATATACCGCTTTCTCCCCATCTCTGTACTCCTCCAAGTAGTTGTCACCTCGGCTTGGCACTGGAAATGAGATGTGAAATGGGATAGTCACTTGGACAGAAGACGGGGTGCCTGGGGTCAGGTTTTGTGGTTCCACTGCCAGAGACAAAGCAGTTGCCTTGTTTCGCGTTGGTGATTATTCTAACGAATGGAACAGGTTGAGCAGCTATTGACAGTTATTTTGTTGTTATAACAACCACACCGAATTATTTGCCTGTCTGTCCCCCAAAAAAGTGGATGAATGTGATTCTCAAACTGTCTTGCGTGTTCCCGAGTTTGTGTGCTATGTCAACGAGGTGCCGAGGCATTTCACGAGGCTTGTGTATCAAGGCTACCGTTCTGCTTTTTTTCCGTCAAGTCGCTATTCAATTTGCTCAACGTGTCGTGCAATGAACTCGTCACTTTGAGAAGCTGAAGCAGCCTAGAGCCCAGTCCAGAGGTCTGGTTTTGTTAAGTGTGGGGTGGTGGCTGCTACCTGCAGGGTGGAGGATGAAAGCACGAGTATCTTCATATCCAGGACCCTGGTCTAGCAGGCGTCGTGATGATTTGTCAGCCAACGTGGCAGGGGTGACTCATGCCCCGGCGGGTGTGGATGCTCATAACAGTCGTAGAAAACGCTGAAAGCAATAACCTCCTTCAATTTGGCGTGGCAATATCGACGTGGAGTGAGTCTAAATTCCAACAGCATTAGTAATTTTGAATTGTGGCTGACAAGAACGTGCCTTTGGGATTCGGGTGAAGCCTTCAAGGCTTGATGTGTGGAAGTTATACCAGTTAAAGGTGGGCGATTCGTGCTACTCCGAAAGATCAATCAACAAACTATGCGTAGTTGCTTGTATCTCTCAAATTCCGAACGCCAGCAGTGCATCCTTAAGATTAGGTTAGACTAAAGGGAAAATTCCTGTTCGTATCGCTCATTGCTGAATTATTTACGTGTCAGTGTTTAAATTTGTGTTTTTTGTTTTAATTCCCTGCTTCATTGGCACCAGTTCGATTAAGTTTGAATAATGTGTTCGCATCGGCGTAGCGCAGCCCAGTCTTCCTTGAAGTCGAAAGAAAACATAATATTTGGGCAGAATGTGTATTGCCGACGTACGGAATGGCCGGGAGTCACTGGCGCAGCTCGAAACTATACCGCCTAGCAGAAGCCTCAGGTGCCTGCGAAACCAAGGCGAGAAATTAAACAAATAATTAAAGTATTGCATTAAAGTATCCTTATAGGTTCTTCTCATACCCATAACTATGAGATGATAGAACAGGTGAGTTTGTCCACCATTAACTCATTATTTTTCGTCCACCCTGATTCGCTCTTTTCTTCCGGAATGAAACTTTCAAATTGATGTCATTTAGCTATAGTGAAGTCATGATTGCATTTGGGAAAGACCGCATACGAGGCGTTAACCTAGCGGCGGAATATAAAGTTGGCGTCACCAGTTGCCTCTGGGGTGTGTTGACATTTAGGCAAACGGGTGACTCCGTTGAGGCGGTTTCTCTGCATGGAATTGTGGTAAAACGCGTTAAAGCGCTTACATGTGCAAACAACTTTTTGGTATTTTATTAAAATACCTCCACCAAAATTCGGACAACCTAATGGTGAAAGTCAGTATTTTGAAATTGAGAGAAGCCAAGTCAACTACAGATCCCGCATTGAGTTGGTTCAGTCCTGGTTGTGATTTCCATAGTAAGAAATCGTAGTTAGCACTAACTGTAAAGACGAAATTGCTCGAATTAAATGCACCAAAAGCAATTCTCACTCTATTTGAAGAGAAAATACAGATACAGTAAATAGTCGTTTCAATCCCTGCATATCTAGAGGAGCAAACATGCTAAGAGATCCACACTTATCATTAGTTCTGAGTTTAGCGAGGAGGATCGCCACTGCTCTGGCATTCTGCTGTTTCGAATGCTTGAATACGTCAAGACGTCAATGATTTGCTATAGATTTATAAATCAAAGGGAGATTACAATACCAAAGTGCGACTGTACTTTAAGGTGTCTTAAATTATGCAGTCGGTGTGGTGTTATTGAGACGATGACCACTGTAGCGCTCCCAAATTTTTCAGAAGTTTGAAGTTTGATATTAGCCTCCTGAAGGGGTGGCAGTGTAGGCATAGTCGGAGAGCCGTAGCTCTGATATCAAGCAGCTTAAAACCCTGGAACAAATGTCGGGCCAATACAAACATGTTGGCTCATCGAGAGGCTTTAGAATAGAACCTACTTTCTGAGCACGAAAGAAGTCCATAGATTTTCACGCATTTTTAAAGCAAAAAAAACGAGATATGACCCAGAAATTAAAAAAAAATTACAAACTTTCTTAGAAAAACTCACAATTGTCCTCAGAAAGTGTCAATGCAAGATGGCATGTCTCAATAGATATAAATGAGTGTAGGGGCAGACGTGTATTCAACAGCTCCGGATGGCCGTAGATGCCATGCAAAGAACAACTACACCAAGTCCAGCAATTATAAGGGCTCTAGTTCTAAGCAGAATTGGACAGTGGTGGAGATAGGTGAACAATATATCGGTGACCTCTGGGTCATGCCGGTAGCATCACAGCCCCTTGCATGTGAGTAATACGTTTCCTGCTGCAGTACTGCGACTCTTTGTGGCTTCCTGAAAGACTCGGGAAACTGAGTTTGTAGTAGCAGCAATCGAACCCGATCCTAAAGTTTAACTACCTTGCTTTCTGTCATTGAATGCTGAAACATATCGTCATTAAAGAAAAACATACTGCAGACGGGAGAATCCGTCATGATCCCCAATAGAAGGGTTGACAGTAATGCATACATTCGGCAATTAACCCACTCCCGTGTTAGGCAGGAATCCTTTTAACGCATGAAGAGAGCAATACTAACCACAAACCGTCAAGAAAGGTTTATTATGGAGCTGTCTACTGTACCCGTCTGAAGATGTCGATGAAGTGAACACCGGATACTCCCTCCACCTGTCTACCGGCTTGATTGAACTCAGGCAGATATGGCTGGGGAGCACCGAGGTGAGAGCAAAGTGACTAGGAGAAATAAATGCGAAACCTTAACCGGAAAAACTACTTAAACCCCGTACTTTATTAAAATGGCTTCGCTTTTAGGCCAATGTTCTAACGATTACCCTGGGTACATATGTGATGGCCTGCATGTTCCTCCTTCCCCCGATGCAGTTCCCAAACAGGACGCAATGCCAGATACAGAGGAATTGCCAAGAGTGTACAGTGGGGTTGCTACCAAGTTTTTTCTCGGTTCAATGATTGATGCGGCTGTTTCTTGCTTGTTTCCCCTTACAGCACTGACAATGTCGTAATGGTCGACGTGAGGCGCGTCGAGGGAGATGCCCAAAAGAAGAGAGAGATTATGCAACACTTTGGTGGATTTTTAACTCTCCAGTCGGTTAAGCAAGTGTAGAAGTCTGCGCAGATTGTACCTCCGCTTGGTAACATGATTCCCGAGTCATGCTAGTACCCTCTCAGCCCTCCCGTACACTAGCAAATCGCTTTCTGCCTTAGCGCTAAGACTTGTTACGACTTTAGGGCAGATCGGGAAGCCGCAATGATAATGGCTCCGGATTACTTCAAAGAGGCCTGTGCTATGGGCGTAATTTTTACTACCGTCAACGCTCCAGCTATCCACGCACATTGTCGCATACGAAGCTAACACCTGAGTCGCAAAAATCAATATCACTAGGGCGTGTGATCCACACCATCTTCCAAGGCACCACGTTCATTGGCTCATCGCGCGATGCCGACCCAAATACAGACTACTGGGACAATTCATCCATCAACCGTTGAGGAACAATTATTCAGACTAAGCATTTGAAATTCTCAGTAACGTAACCACTGTAAGCCAACATTTTGTGCAGACATCTCTGGTGGCTTTTTACTACCCCTTAAGGAACCAAATTTATTTTAAAATTCACTTTATAGTTGGTAGCGATTATTTGGGTTCGTAATGAAGACTTAATCGACAACGCACTTACATCACATGGGTTGAACACTTTTCGGTGTCCTACCTCAATAAAACGAAAGCGAAAAATCACATATTTCTTCAATAATTACTACTCCTCTTTACCCCAAAGTAAATGCTATTTAGGATGATTATATATATTGTGAAGAAAAAGGCTTAGCAAACCAAAATGAGACACTAAAGCTCCTTCTTTTTATATTTACAGCTCGGAGTCTCTGTTGAAGTCGAAGGAAGTCATACTACTACGACGTGAAGAGCGAGAGGCTACAGGCTTGGCATGGAAGTCCAGTAGCGGAACCAAAAATGCTCGCGTAATCGAAGTGCCGAGTTAAACACAAAACCTTGGGGAAACAAGCGTAAAAATGTCATGTTTATGGCCGCATGGTTGTTAAAACGTTTTGATACAGACAAGTACCCAACAACACCGAGTACTTTTAACGGCTTCCATTAAACTGACCTTTTGATGACAACTGCCAAGTACGCATTGTTGCTTAAGTGCAAAATCAAGGCCGCATTCGTTTAATGCACTGGTTGATTCTGTATTGAATCACAGACCTACCTGCATTTGTTTATACATTCGAAAAGGTCCAGAGTGCTACGCGTCTGGCAAAAGCGACCATGAGAAATATCAATGAAAGAAGATCCCATCACAGTATGCAAGTAAATTCTAATCTTTTTTGTAAGGATTTGCTCTTCCCAAACTATCATCTGTTTTGAAATTAAATAACAGGATTGGACCCGACTGATTTGGCACCTCTCGAATTTCGGACAGGGATAAATTTCACCTTGTTTAAGCCGGGATAAAAAGGGCACTCTGAGTTACAAGGAATTTCTTGGCCGAGATTAAATATCTTTTGTGAGGTAATAGCATTGAAGCTCAGTTGCCAACCTCCCAGTGCATAAATTTCATTAAGCAACCTGCTGGACACAACAATTTGCAGAAGCCAGATCCCCAAGCTAAGGGATCAAACCGAATAAGTTCCCACAAATTTCCCACCACTTTTGGGGTTTCAAATCACCCAATGAATACCCTTTCACACTACTTGCGATGATCAGGTATGCTGGAGCTGTGGAACCACTTTAGCCTCATTCTGCCAAAAACAGCTGTCAAAACTGTGCTATTAGGTAGTCTTGAATGCTTAAATCTCCGGGATGATAAACAATTAAGGAACATTCCAAGCTGGCAGATTCACCGCATTCACGACATCAGGAGCAATGACTAAGTCCACTCTGGTAACAAAAATGGGCTGCAAACAGAGTGGCAGTGGAAAACACGCGCAATCGTCAGCGAGATGGACCGTTTAACCAGGGTGTTCTAAATTTATTGACAGATGTCCGATGCCCGTATGATTGAATATAGTTAAACAAAGAAAGGGACTGCACAATTAGACATCAGCGGTCATGTTTTTCGAGAGACCCTATTCCATTCAATTCAAAACCCAGACTGTGCACTTCTTCATCTACATTTATTTGCTGCCAAAAGTATAGTATAAACCAAATGCACTTAAGACAAAGGAAACTGCATATATAAAGCTATACAAGGACATTTGTAATTTACACTGGGGAAGATTAACATTACAGACAAACTGATTGAATAACTCTACGAAGTTAAATTAGTGGCAGGGCCAGAGTCCTGTGGCCGAAGGACGGTAGCATCGCGAGGAAGTCGACAGCGGGCGAATTGGACGTAAGGTGCGGCCGCAAGCTCCGCGGAGTCCGGTGTCGGCAGGCCGAAGAGTTCGGCAGCGCATGTAACGAGGGTGTTCATGCGTGAGACAAAGTGCGCCTCCAGAGCCACACTCAGCTCTGCTGAGGGGGCCAGCAGTAGATGATCACCTGCATGGAGCATAATAGCGTAAACGCACATTAACCTCCTTACATGTATCATCCAAGGCACGAATGCATACATCACCGTATAGTGATGAATGGTGTACTACTAAAAACACTTGTCAGCATCCCGGGCTACCCAAGAATGAGTTAATATTATCTTAGTAAAGACAAGACACTTTTATTGGCTAAGATAGTCACTACTAAGGTGCATAGCACTCAAGAAAGCAGTAATGAGGGATCTTGGGAAACTGGAAGAAGGCTCACCAAGGCATATCACAGGTTCTGGTTTCGAGAAGATGGTACACCTTTTGCTGTATACCACACGAGTGACCCGAATCACTTTGGTGTCGTGCAAGAGCTGTCAGAAAGAGAGACACGAGCAATATTGTCTCCGTAAAATAAATACTAATACAGTTAAATGACGTGATATTAAGCGCAAACTCCTTTTATATGGAAAAGTTGAAACACCTGCTTTAAATGGTTGTTTCATCCCTACCTCCAAAACACAGACACCAGTCATAGTGGGTTCTGCTGGACTAAAAACTATAATTCATGAATTAAATTAAACTAAGCCTTTTTTCAACGTACATCCCTCTCCTCATGCATCTCATATCACATGCAAATCCAATAATTAACAACGGAAATTAAATAAAGACTAGTGAGCATGTTAAATCTGTTTGATATTTCAGAAACAATCTTAACCTTCCTTCAGCCACCATCGATTCGAACACCTCTCGAGAAGATGGTGCAAAGGGAGTGTGGCAGGAGTGAATAAACTGGTGAATTTTTCGAGTTACTTACATGGCAAAGGAGTCGAAATGAGACTGGAGATAGGATGTGACGGTACTGAGTAGCAAGGACATCCATAGGGGCACCTGAGAACCGCGAGATCATGGAACAGATGGAGAGGAGGAGGTGGATGAAGAAGCACGGTTTTATGCTGCCGGATTCGCAGATCCATGGCTGGGGGATGAAGAAGTAATCCGTGCGCTCGGATGTAGTCTGGTCCAAAGGAGCTTTTCTAAAGGGGAGTTAACAGTTAAAGTTTAGTATCTCTAATCAATTCCTGTCGGTACTAATTTCCTATGCGCCTGCGTCGGTATTAGTGACTCGGGCACAATGAGATATACATGGGGATGCTAAAAGCGACCAAGGAACATGATGCACCAAGTGAGTTACGAAAGCGTCTCCACTGTCTGACTCATTGACCAATGCGACCTTTGGAAAAAATAATTTAATCCAAGGAAGCAGAATTTCAGCAGAATAATTATGGTGTTATGCGACTATTTATTCCTGACAAGTTGGGTGTCCCCTATAATTTAACGCTCGCAAAGTTGAACGGAGAACACCCTTTCGTTGACCGGAAAGTGTGAACAAAGCACAAATTCGTGCCCTTCGGGATGTGCTCTAAGCGTTGAGTTGCCTAGGAGTGGATTTAAAAGGTTGAAAATAATTACACCAGCGTAGCAGCCACGACCACGGTTGCAAAGAAACGCCAGTTGAAGAGTGTGTAGGAAACTGGAACATGAGTGTTGAGTTACTTATTTTCTGTAAGAAAGCACTGCTACAACAAAACCACCCTTCTGAGTGAAAATGGGGATAGTTGATTAAACGAAGAAACTCCTTTTAATTAAATAGCCCCAGCAAATCATTTTCCAAAGCAAAACCAACTTTAATTTCAACGTGCACGGATGTAGAATGATAGCCTTCTTTAGTTACCAATCTTGCGGGAGAAGAGAGTACTAAAATGAAATTAGTTTTCTGAGGAAAACGATTGATTGATGCCAATCCAAAATAACTTACTTTTGACCAGCTTAGAAATCCCCACTAAATGGTCTTCAAAAGCGGAGAGATTCGAATTCAGCGCACAAGAAGGATTCACAAAATCGAAAGCAAGATTATCAAAGTGAATTACCAGGTATACTGATGAAACAAAACCATCCACTTGGAAGAAACCAGAAATGTAAGTACATCGGAACCAAAATTTGTTCAATTTGTTCAAAATCGAAGTAGGAAGAAGTGGTGCTACTCGTCAACAAGACTGCCGAAATTCCTGATGCTGTCGGCTGCAGACTACCAATCATAAGAACACAACAGACAAATACACTCAAAAGAACAATAGACTCGCGACATTGCCACAAGAAATCGCCATTCTGAGTGAACTTAAGGCACCATAGTAAACAGTCGAAAGTACAAAATTAAGAAGATGAATGATTCGCAAAAGGCAGGAAGAAGGAAAGGTTCCCACCCAGCCATAAAATCGTCAAACTCCAATTATGGATCGCACAGGATTACAAATTATATAGAAAAGCAAAAAAAGACAATTCAATGTAACAGTAGGCACCTGGGAGGTACCAGTTCAGCAAAGCGAAGTCCGAGGAAGTACCAGTGCATGAGATAATGGAATTGCGTGGGATCAGAAAATCTGAAGCTGTGAAAAACTACCCATCTGAATTGATCCAGCACATCAATAGCCAAATAAGAAATGCTAGCTAAGCGAAATCTATTTTGAATAAGTCAGTAGCTACTTACTCAGTAGCAGCGTCGGTGCAACTGTTGGAAATAATGGGCAACGGAGACTCCGACGACCGCTCAAGAGCCTCCAGAGAGACAGAATTGACAGCTAAGGTAAGGCGTCTCCGCCTCGGTCCCTCCTCTTCCCCTTTTGATGGTGTCATAATCTTTGAATCCGAACTGTTGCGATCTTGCTGCTGTTGCTGTTGGTTACAACTTTGCTGGTGGTGACTCTTGGGGTCCTTCACGTGCACCAACCAGAGACGCAAATGAGCCCAGTGGACGTAGCGCGGCTCCGCCAGACCCAGCATGAATATCTGATGATAGAACCAAACTGTTAGCTTCCTTTTAGCACAACTGATTCCACAACAGACTCATACAAGGATTTCAATAAGTCAAAACAGTCTCACCATGAAAAAGAAACGTAAACCGCATGAGTTCATCAATGAAATTGAAAATGGGGATTAAAGTGGAGATGAAAGACGATGTAACCTAATCACCATATCCTCAAACATGAGCAAAATAGAGTAGAAGAGTTGATGTAGACTACCAAATCACCATACGTAAAAACGAAACGAGCGGTCTTTAGCTGGAAAGTTCTCTTCACCTGCTGCAGCATTAGTTTGAATTTATGCAAAAAATTGCAAAAAAACGGCCTCTTAGATGATAACTTAGGTTGAAAAATTTAGTAAAACTGTTTAGCTACACACTTTCCCCTCATTAAATGCATTTTTTTCGATTTGAGGCATGAATTAATCTACCCATGCCACAACCATCGTGGGCACATTTCGTCGGATTGCTTCCCCCCACGCATCCAGTAAAGACCGCTTTCGCGATAACTTGGAAACACTTTAACCAGTGATTGTGAATAAGACGAAGAAGAGAGAAGTTTACGACCGTTAGGGTCACTTTTAAAAGCGACAATATCAACAAGTTACGGGCATAAAAAGAGTGAGTGAATGAAATAAGGCGTCATTATAGTAACAACTGCAGCAAAAGAACGTGACTGAATCATCCTTGGGTAAAAGTAGAGCGATGAGTGAGTAGCAAGATGCAAGGTGAGCAACAAGTCTCGTGTGATTTTCGGCACATATCACTGCAATCACTTGCTGTAGCCTGCAAGCACTTGCAAAAAGAAGGCAATTGTTTGCGCGCATGCATCATAAAGCATCATGACAGGCGTCAGCTTATTGATACATTAGGTCGCACTCTGTTCACTACCATTTCCTACTTGCTTGAAATCATTGTATCATGAAGCATAGGTTAAACCTAGAGGGTGTGATTTCAGTCCGTCTACAGCCCGGCTTTAACTCAAATTTGGCAACGATTATTGTCTATCCAGCTGAAGATGCAACATGCAGTAGCAGAAAGAACCACCGAGAAATCGCTTAAACATCTGGATCCTGATGATGAGTCACTTGAAGGTAATTTCTTTGCGTCAAGGAAGATCCTTTTTTATGACAATGAAGAACCGCTCATCATGATTGCTTAAAACAATTTGAGATTAAGGTAAGAAGAGCAAATCACAGTGGTGCTTAAAGTGGGTGATGAAACAGGCTGAATCTAAATCAAACACGAGGCAAACCCTTGACGGAGGCTAAGTAGGAGTCCCACATGCCACACTAATAGACAATAGTAGGCTTCAAAGACTATTAACCAATTCTTCACTTCCTTTACGTGCAGTACCAAACTGTGCAATGCATGTAGGGTGTTTGTTGAATGGGCACCTGATTGACTTGTTGTGGGAAACAGGTTTTTTTTTCTTCCAACGATCGTTAAGCAGGAAGGCAGGCCAGTGATTATCCCCTGACGAGGTATACGCAACTTCTGTTCCAAATGACTACACTTGCTTAGTGTGTGTGGTCAAGTGCAGACGGAATTCTTCACTTCCTGAAGACCCAACAACGATTGCAATATAACTCAAAGGTGTGCAAGAAAGCCCTCCTCTCCAGGGACAGTCAGGAATGGTAAATCAGTGAAAAGAATACCCCATTCTTAGTCTCCCCTCAAAACTTGCTCATGAAGAGACTTGATCTCTAGCTAAAATGAGAGGGAGATGCTGCCTTGCCTCATCTCTCGCATTCTCTTGGTGGCATTTTCCTAATTGCTTACCGCCTTATCCAGGCGGTGGTCAATCGTATGATTACGTGGAAAATAGAATAGACATTGTAAAAATAGAGAACAGAAACTTAAGTGGTCATACTCTTTGTTTGTGATCCGTTGTTAAAGAATTACAAATGGGTCATATTACGAAATCAACCTGATTAACACGATAATTGTGAAGAAAGTAAGGTATTTGAATAGACGGCTACCTCATTTGGGTAGATTACACTTCAAATGCACGTTTATATAGCCGAGATGAAATGCATCAGTTATGCAGTCCAGGCAACAGGACTTGGAATTGAATCAAGAAAAGTGAGATACACCCTCCACTTTACATAGAGCGAACCAAAGCAAATTGCTATTAAGCTTAACTCAGTAAAAGTAAGTTTGAAATTAACTTTCACAAGAACAAGGAAATCTAATGCTAAATTCAAATATAGATTGATTTATGAGGAACTAAGTAATCCAAGCAACCAACTGAACAACGGGGAGATCTCACCTCCGCATGAGCTTGATATGACAAAAAACTGCGATTTCTCACGAACAAACCACAAAAATTGGTGTAATGCAAGAATGATTTTAAACTAAATGATGTACGTGCAAACAAAGGGAGTAAAATTACCTTCTGCTCATCCATAAGTCGGTGCAAAACATGACTCGTCGCCTTAGAGTCCGAGAATCTATCCTAAAATCACAAAAAAAAACTATTTGAGAAACTCCTCGTTGGCCTATTCATAAAAAAACTTTTAGAATCAAACCTTCCCGTTTTGCCGTAGAATACATCTCTACAAATTACACTTGAAACAAGAAGGTTTAACGTGTCTAATTGCTGATGATAAGAATTGTATCGAAATCAAGGCAAAGGGTATTTGATAGAATATCATAATTTCATTTCAATGGATTTTAGAACATAGTGGATATGATCTCTAATTTTCGTTCAGCAAACGAAATTTTTGATGTACCTGCATTTGATCAAATGTTCTGCCAAGATCCCCCGCGACAAAGATGAATTCCAGCACCCGACTAGACCTATCATCAGCGGTGGCAGGAGCATTATCAGTAGATTTGGAGGTAAATGATTCACTAGTTATCTTCCTTGCGGAGGCCGCATCCCAGTTTAACGGTGCTGTAAACTTCGCCAGAGCACGACGACATATCTTCTTGTGTTCTGGCTCCCCTGTCAAAGCGAAAAAATATATGGTTTAACCAATTGATGGAAACGAAAGGGAAGACGTAGGTAACATACCATCAACCACAGTGATATGAGTCTGTGTGGACGGCGCCACTGCTTCGACTGATCCCCCGTTGAGCGAAAGACGAATATCGATGCGTGGAGTCTTACCCTTTACCGTCCGTTCACCCACCCCACCAACACCCTCCAGAAGGATATCCATCAGGGAATCGGTGATGGTTGATGCGGCATTGGAGCCATCCACACCCTCTAGTAGAGCCACTGTCATGCCGATATGCGTCGATTCGCCAAAGTGCGGTGGAGTGCCCTTGCGCACCAGCTTGGGAGCAAGGGACTTGCGCTCCTCTTCGCTGCCACTTTGTAAGTGCCTTTTGCGATCCTCTGAAATAACAGAAATAAAACACGGTTGTTTATAGTTTATAAGTAAGCGTTTTGTACAGTGAACGGAAAGTGAACTTACCAAGTGACATGCAGGGCTTCCGCAGAATGCTGATGCAGCTCATATCGAATCTCACTCGCAGCTTAACTTGCTGCAATGAAAAAAGCAGTCATTTGAGTTTCCAGCTAAAGAATTTAATGTCTTTAGTAAGGACAAAAAACAGTGCTCAACTGAAGGCAAAGCTGATCATTAACAGTGGGATGTTCCGCATGGTTAGGTGATATTCGAAAAATGGTTAAACTATGGGGCGATTTCTACACGAAACGGTTTGTAGCAATAACGAACCTTAGAATTGTGCAAATTTCATAGGAATACACAAAGATTATAGCAATTGCCGGACCGCTAAGTGGAAAAAGTTAAATTTCAAGATGCAAGTTTTGCCTCGTTTTTTTAACAGCTTTCCTAAAACTGTGGATAAGTACATCGAAAATATGCGCGGTGCAGAAAGATACAAGCAGGAAGTCTTGAATAACGGAAGAGGGACTACTACACAAAGAAGAGCACATCGATGCAAAAATTGACAAAATTTTACAAAGCTCCAGCTCTCCAGGCTTCTTCGCTAAGAGCCGGCAAATACAAACCAGTATGGAGTAAAATTTAGTGAATCTATTTTCTATACTGCACAGTTATCCATGGTGTTCGATTAATTTTCGGACTATTCATTTTAAATTAGATGACCATGCTACCCTGACCAACTTACTGATTTGCTGTAGAGCAGTTCAACAAAAGTTGCCACTAGTCCACCCGATGTGGGTTCCGAGAATTCGTGTTTCGCCACCAGCCATTCACTCAGTAGTGGTTGCTGCGGCGATGATGGTGGCGCTTCCAACTGCTTCACCTTCTGACGTCGCTGACGCCCGCGAAGACGCCTCGCCGCCTCAGAGAACTGCTTGTACAACTTCCACGCCTCCATGAAGAAGCGAATGTAGATAAACATCTGTACATTACACCAAGAAGAGAGCCTAGAGAAGGCAAAAAAGGAAAGATTACTTGGATTTTGGGTAGACAAACTCAATTAACTCCGTTGGCTAATTCCTGGTTGCAATTGTGCATCTGTTGAATTTCCGTTCTAAGTGCGTTTTGCGGTTCGGTTGGTCTTTAATTCAATACTAGATCGCTAAGCGTAAAATATGAGGTGTTTCCGGGTATGGAATTTGCAAACCAATATTATGACCAATGTTTTGAGCAATTTTGATGGGAATGCCGACCGAGAACCACAAAATATTTGATTGATGGCCCGCAATGAGTAGGCATGGACCAATAGCACAAAAACCCGCAAGTGAAAAATAATATGAGATCCGATATATTAGTAAAATATATTCTCTAGAATGGGCGAGGAGTAGAAACTGCTTCATAAATACTCACCGCAAAGTGGTCTTGACACGAAACTGGCCAGCGATGTTGAGATCGCAGTCCTGAAGAGCACAAAAAAACGTCAGTCAATTAGAAAGTCCTACATACTAACTATACAGCAGTAGAGTGACCATTTGAAAGCATTTTTCATGTTATACTAACTTCAGAGCTCTTGTGCTTGCGGAGCGAATCGGTGGAGGCAAGGCACTTCACCGCCCCGCTCATCTGCTCGTAGGGATACTGTTTGAGGATGCGGTTGAAGAGCACCGAGTCATGAGGCCGTTGCGCTTCGGGTCGGAAGCGGATGGAGCCCTGATGAGAAGGGAGAAAGATAATCGACCTTCAACTGGACTAACGGTTATTTGAGCTGATTTATAGATAGCTGTTGCTGAAAAGAAGTGTTGTGTATGCTCAAAATCAGAAAGGCTGCTTATTTATCCCATAACCAATTCCCACTTTTCTTTTACACCAAAAGTTGAATACACTGTCTCTGGAGAGGAAGCCTTTCTTGCACACTTTTGAGTTGTATCGCAATCGTTATTCGGTCTTCAGGTGAAGAATTCCGTTTACACTTGAATTGGCGTGTACCATGGAAGTATGGATAGTGTAGAGATAACAAAACGATGTGCCGCCTTGTTTAACACACTTTGAAATACAAAAGCGCAAAAGCTATTTCTACCAAAACGTGAATCAGGTGCCCAGTCAGCAAACCGTTAAAAATGCCCAGTGCACTTTTACAGTGTAGGAAAGAAATCAGAAAGAAATCAACACCCTTTGGAGCATACGAATGAGAGTCATATTCTTAGCTTTCACAATGACCTTCCAAATGGATGGAGGAAAATTTTGAGCGTCTTTACCACGCCAATTACTTATTACTTTACCAATAATTAGAGAAATGAATAAACAAACTACTTAACGATAATAAAGATGTGATATGAGGCAACTCACAAGAAAAAGGTTTCTCAAAGTCTCCACCACAATGGCAGGTCTGCTTTGCCCAATATCTGGGAGACCTTGATCGTTGTGTATAGAGGCAAGAAGAATAAAGTCATAGCGAGCGCGAAGAGCCTCCCGCGGATGCAGAAGCAACTTGCGGACAGAGGAGAGACGCAGGGATGTTCGTGCTTCCGCGTCCTCGCTTTCAGCTACTCCCGCTGTCGCTATGATAGAGAAAAAGATAATAGAGCGAAATGGCTGACAAAGGTTGCTGACCATGATTTCAAGTCGAAACTACACGAGCATAGCCAAGATTTTTTAACTTAGTGAAAAATGAACTTGGCTAGTAAAACACTAGGTTCTGTCTTCTAAACTAAGGCATCGATGACACCCACGTTTTGGCTCCAGCTTTCAGGCTTATCTCAAAGAGAAGGGAGAGTATCAGATTCATTTGAGACAAACCCGTGATGCTTTCATTGGTGCTAATGGTCCTGACCTCGAATAAAATGGCAAGGTGGTAGGATTTAATTGAATTGAATTAGAAATGCGGAATCGCAGGTCAGAAAAAGGTTTACATAAACCTGAATATTTCCACGTGCATTGGAAGAGGATCAGCCAATCTGAAAACGGTGTGCCGACATTATTTGAACAAATCATTTATGTATTCGTCACAAAAAGAACCAATTGTTGAGAGAGACGGATTTCATTCGACTGTTTTTGATATTTTGAGAATAGCTGCATTCTTATAGCACAAACCTTTTTCGGCTCATCCACAACTAACCAATTCAGTAGTTTTCAACGGCAAGGAATCGTATTAGATTGGACTTATCTCCAAGACACAAACTCATAATACCTTCATCGTCAATGCTGTTCCTTAGCTCTCATAGAGGGTCAAGAAGTGAAACATCCAGCTAAACCAAAAATGAAGGTTTCCAAACAGGAAAAAGACTCTCACACACACAAACACGTATTAAGGGAATAGAAAAAAGGCTAATACTGCAAATCTACGACAGGAGAATTACTAGTAAGAACCAATTAAAGGTGGCAAGCTAACCTGAATTGAACAAATCACGTGATTTGGCTGTAAGGCGAGCAAAATGAAGTAATCAGTAAAAAAGACACTGTATCAACGTTCCCATCCGCCCATGTAACAGAGATTTATGGCGAACAATCATTCCATTTTGGAATGGTGAAGCTCCAGCCTTCCAGCATAAGGCACCAACAATACATCTGATGGTTTTACGTATTCAATCCAACTCCATTGGGCAAATAGGAACTCCCTCCCTTATACACTCACTCACTCCGTTAGCTATGAAGTTGAAATTTTGTCCGTTGTGACTCCCGATGTCACAATCAGATGATTTTTTTCTGCTGAACAAACACAAACGTACAAAGTAGAAGCAGACCTTTACAACTTTTTCGTATCATTTTGAAAAGGTATCGAAACCCTAAATCATGATATACATTAGTTTTCTATTGGTTTAAATCTAACCGCACTCTATTAGGATGACATTGGCAAAAGATTCCGGCGCTATAAGCTAAAAAAGGCAGAGGTAGACGGATATTCCCTAAAGTTAAAAGATGAAGGAAGAATATTCGCTCTTCAACCAACTTACGTATCACAAGAGATTTGTTGACAACGTGAGCACATCGGTTGCATAGGTCGGGAACAAAATTCCTTATAATGAGACGCACTAGATCCTTGAACAACTGATGCGCTTGCCTTGCATCACGGTTGTAGAGGTGTATCCAAGCCGTCTTTCCGATGTTGTACTGAACACAATACAAAAGCAAATAAGAGCAAGAAAAAGTTGGCGAGAAAGAACAGTTGGGACCAAACTACCATAATCATTTCTAATAGTACTACGAAATCACGCAACATAAACAGACACATCACCTTGCCTTCTGTCAGCATGTCGATTACACTGCGCCACTGTAGGAGAAATAGTAAATTGTAGATGCGGCTTTGAAGCAGATAAGTAGTATAAGCATAGTTAGAGTTCGTCAGCTTTTCTATGGTGGTAAACTGACCCGCAAAAGAAGTAACAAAAAATCCAGTAAAAGGCAATCTTAAAACACGTCTCAAAGATTGGGACAATGTTTGACTTAATGGCGCATTTAAATAATAATTCTACCCTCCTGTAATTTTACCCCCACGATATTGGCGAAAGGCTTTGGGTAAGTTGCACTTACGCTAGTAATCTCCCATACCTTCCAAATACTTGTAGTAAAACTGCCTCTAAATTCGTGTGCCTCATAGAGGCCTCCAGAAGCTACTTGAACATTACATTAGTAGCGGCGTTTACAGGCGAATTCCAAAAATGATTTCGATTAAATGTGATGAAGAAGAATCCAAGCATGAGAGCGATTAAATGGTGTCAAATAAACACAAGAATAGTGGTAATCAAACTATCACAACCATGACTCCTGCTGTTAATACGGAATCGCACTTGACACAGACGCACCCATCTCTTGGAGCAATCGCCAAGCCTACTGTCATTGTAGGGGAAAAATAAACGTGTATGTGACATTGCAAGGGAAACGGGTGGGACAAATTTATTCGAAGAAAACTTATTTCGTTGCTTATTATAAACTCACATTAGGTAAGTGTATTTGTGGCAGAGCGACATCTATTTTATCTGCATACAGGAATCTATGCCCATGCCTTTTCAAATTGTTGACAAAATCACTTTTACAGTGGTAAGTTATGCCACATCTTCAGGTATAGGAGCACAGGAGTAAAGCATTCATCAAAGGTGACTGAATCGGTGGAGCCGAACAACAGAAAGAAAAAAAAACGAAATCACGTTTACTCTAGAAAAAATATTAAATAAGTGAGTTCCATTTAATGGCCGATAATGAAGGGCAGAATTTGTACGTACTGAGTGGGCCCGTAGAACTGCAGTCAGTATTTTATGGAATTATTGAACCATTAGCGCCTTTCAAAGATAAGATACATCCCAATAATGCAAGAAACTGAGAATCGCTTACAAGTAGGGGGCTAAGCACCGTCGATTTGGCGCCTTATACTCTTTGAAAGGTAGGGACGAAGGTAAAACCGCTCCATAAAGTTAGCTAAATGGACACGCACTAACCGTAGCAGGTCGCCCAACACAGAGGATTCACGAAAATCTATAACGTACGCCACCATATCCGGTTCTCGTCTTGGTGGAAAATCAAGGAAAGGAACTTGCGGGTGGTTTCAGTATAATCGACTACTCGACTATGACTGAACCGGAAGAGTGACCACTAACAGCGGTCAAGGCGACAGCCAAAAGAATGAAGAGTAAACAAGGTAACCGTACGATACCTCTTAAAAAAACATTGGACTATGTGGACTTTTATGGTCTCACGCGATCCGGAAACTGAGCTAGTGGCATAGAGTTCTGCTAATAACCTCCCAGTCCTTCTGTGGATTCATTGTAAATCTACCCCATAAGGCCTCTTTGAAGCGGCACGACACTACAGAACCACGATTTTGATTACTGCTATCAAGACTGCATATTGTATTGAAAGAACACAATCTTCCGTTGGAATACACAGTATGACGGAGGGAAGGGAAGAGGGGTGGAGATAAACCCACCTTGGTCAGAAGTTCAGGATCACTGGAGACTTTGGTGAGCAGAATGTCTGTCCGCGTGCGCTCATCGTTGCGCAGCATAAGGAGGAATTTTAGGCGCCGAGCGCATGCCAAGCTCGTCTTATCGTGGCTCTCCTGTAGAGAATAAAAAGGGGAAATGAAGAGGGTGATGTAGCAGCAATATGGAGGCTTTGTAGAATATTCTTCAGCCTATCTGTGCTGATCACATACTGTAACACCATATCGCGGAGTGATCGTATGTTAACGAACCGACTGAAAGCAACCAAAAATTCGCTATGATTGCTAGCAAAAAAACACGAGGTCCTAATGTACCTCTAACCAAGAGCACGGGTTGGAAAAAAAGCTCGTAAGTTGATTTCGAAGCGCGATAGTGACTAAGTCCACCACCTCGGAAATGCTTAGAGGAAGGGAAACTAATGAACAATCCCACGATTTGCAGGATTTTTTGTTTACGATACTTATTTAGCACGAGAAAAGTCAATAGATCCTGCAATCGTGGAAAGTAGACCAGGTAAAAGCTTCAAATGAAGAAAGCAGTAAATTGATAGAAGCATTCATAGAGTAATACTATTCATTCGTGTAGGGAGATAACGCAACAGAAGCATTATGGAAACAAGGCACGTTTCCACGATGCTTGACAGCCAGTCTTGCAATATAAGTATACAACGACACATGACCCAATTTCAATTAACCAACCAGGTATTATGCAACTTCTTAAGACTGAGGTGCTTATATTCTAAGCAATTAAGTGGAGGCTTCAAATCTTTGCATATCCAGGAAACTAATCCATTAGCATACGAGTTACAAAATCAGGTGTCAGCAATCTAACATAGCTATAATTATGGTTCTTCTAAAAGACCTTGAATATACTTATAAATAATGCAATATGATCATGTATGTGACAGGTTAAGTTAAAAACCGATTTTGGCTTGGAATATAGGCCAATTTTACCTCATAATAATGCCTAGAAGGCAATGGGAATAGCAAATCATAGTTGTTTAGTAAGTTAACATATTGTCGTCGCTGGATTTCATGGGCAAACATATTGGAAAGGGGTTTAGCATGAAAGGGACCAACTGTTAAGGGAACCAGGTGTAAACAACTACCATCTGCGACCTATTTCAGACACATGAAGTGGTAGAAACTGGCTGAAAATGGTAGGAAAGTGTTGGAGAAAATATTAATTGGGGATTCTTGATAGTTTGCAGCTATCAAAAATAAACCACATTGGTTATCCCATTGACTTTAGCTTTTAAAGTAAACAATATAATGTGACAATCTAGCCTCAATTAGTCCACAAGGAAAGAAATTACTCTTAATGGCATATAAATAGTTGAATTTCAAGAAAATGAACTGCACCTTCATATCATCCCACTAAACAGTACATTGGATACAAACTACACCTACGCAAATTCAAAAATTAATGAACGGAGAAGTACAAACATTGGAAGAAATAGGTAAAATTCTTCATTTGGGTAGCATCTGGGGGACTTGATATTTCAACTCACCAGAGGGAAGTATTCGTGGAGAATGTCGCGAACAATGACGTAGGGAATACAGACATACTCCCTTGTGTGACCAACCAAAAAGAGTGACGCCACACGACAAGTGAGCAGCTAAAGAGGAAAGACAAGAGATCGTTCTCACAAAAGTGTAGAAAAAATGGAGACGGAAATTCAAGAATTGAAGGAATTACCACTTGATCCTCCAGTTTATTCCAACTTGCACGCTTAGCATGCAGACTGTTTCGTATCTCTACGTCTCGCTCATCCACTAAAATGAAAGCAGGGAAGAAGCATGTTATGCTGAAACATAACGCAACTCAGTAGGAAGGAAATTAACAAATGATCTCCATCTGTGGGAAAAAAATTCAACACAAAATTTTTAAGAAATACCAATGAGAAGATGATAGCATTCCGATTAGGAGGATAAGTCACGGTTTAAAATACAATATCATTAAAATTATTTAAGATCGGAGCAGCCGTGGGTCTAATAACGATTCAAGAACTTCGACATAGTTCGACAGGTGAAGGTGAATCCCTTTAAAAATCGCAAAAAATTTGCAAGCCCCATTAAGAGCACATCCATAATCTTAAAGCCAAATCGCTCAGACTCACGCGCTCGCTTGTCGCTCGAGATTATACGTCGACTGACTAAACAAAAGAGGCAAGACAAAAAGTAAAGACAGAGATTAAAAATCATGCCCCATTGTCAAAAACCATCTTAACCTGGGACACCTACAAGCACTACGATGGATGTGTGGTATGGTGGTTTTCTTCTGCAAACGTCGTTTCCTCGACCGAGTGATCGGCTGGAGTTCCTCAAAAGGCGAACTCTGCAAATTGTCCTCGAAGGAGGAGGAAGAGGAGGTAGATGATCTGGATGTAGCACTGTGATCAGAAGAGGAAGTGGCCGAAGGGGAGGAAGACTTGGAGGTGCTTCGAGTCACTCGACGTCGTTTCCTGTGCCGACGACGTGGTGCCTTCCCGTGGTGTCGATCCTTCGAGCCGGGGCCCGGCCTACTACCCGTCTGGTCGATGTGGAAGGGGAATCGACGCGCGCGTGTGGAGAAGAGCCAGGCCGGCAATAGAGGCGGTGGCTGGAGCTCTATTACTGGCTTTACATCTGTGGGGAAGAGAAATGAACCGCGATATTACTACAGAGTATGAAAATCACAATCTACCGCAGACGTCCGAGTTACTTCTGATGTCGTCATGAGGCACTTGAGCCTTAGGCATGGGGGAATCGTAGCACAAGCGGTCTGGACAGAGTTCTCTAGTCGGTGAAGTCGAAAAAAATGGGAGAGGTAACTTGAGATGAGGATAATAGGCAATGATGACCCGTAAGTAATTCCAGTATCAGCGGATACACAGGCGCCCAAATTATGCACAAATGAGCAGCAGGATTGGAATAAATTTACTATTTTGACAAATGAAAACCGTTCCAAGTAAATAGCACATACGCGCGTACTATAGACGAGGCATGTGGGCAAATCGCCCCTCCACCTCTTTCATTGTTGAATGACTAGAGGAGGGATAATGTCAAGCCTGTGTATTTTGAAAGTAGTTTCAAAAATCGCAATTGAGAGTACGCATAAACTAACACAGCATCACCCAAATTACCAACGTCAGCAAATTATATGACTGCTTTCATCACTATTATTAAAATTCTATGTTCAACTCCTCACAAAAATGAACTCCGTTTTAGAAGGTATCTACCGCACTCACCGAAAAACATTTGCACCGTCCAGGGCCAAAAAGCTCCATCCCCCACGGTCCGTATCCCCGGCTCAAACGCCCCCAAAATGGCCTTCAACTCAGGACCTCGCATCACTGGTTGCAACTGGAGGTTGGGTGAGGGATATTGGGGTGTGTACTGGGTGCACTGACCTTGATCCGTCGTTCCATAGCCTATCTCTTCAAAAGGAGCCTTGAAGAGGTACAGCGAGGCGTGAAGGCCACCCACTCCACGGAGGATAAACTGCGTTGGCTTCGATTCGTCCATGTCGACGGCACGGAGAACCGCGGTGACGGCAGAGGAGTTCGTCACCATCGCTGGCATTTTGAGAGTGGTGGGGATGAGAGTGGGCAAGCTGGGTGGTTCGGTGGTGTTCTCGTCGGTGGGCAGGACATCACGCAAACGAGAGACGGAGAGTATGGGAGCTCTGGTGTCCATGAACTGGGTGATGCTGGGGTCGGCAAAGCGAGTGAAGCCGTAGGGAGTGAAGAGGAGGATGGCCCGGAGATTCAACCAGTAGCCGTCCACATCAGCCATTGTCCGAAACTCGTAGGTGAGGGGAGGTGGACAAGCCGAGATATCGGAGAGGATATGATGTGCAGGAGAGGCGAAACGGGTGTCCAGGAGGGCCGCTCGGTGATGTAGGTAAATATTAGCCTGGAAGAGCCATATGCCACCTTAGTTGGAGATCGGAACTCGCTCCAAAGATACATGGTTTGATCCACAACTATCGTTATTCAAATTGTTCCCTTTTGAAGCAGTTTTTGTCCAACCGTAAAAAATAAAAACTGGATGAGATGCCAGTAAAGCGTCTGAGTGACTAGCAAATGCATTTTACACTGGTGAGACGGAATTGAAAATTGCACTATGGTAGATGATTTCGCTACTAAAAATGGACCAGTCGCAGAGGGGAACCAATCACCACGGCTCAGATGCTTTATTGTTCTAATACGCGACCAAGTAACATTAATTTCCCTGGCCGATTTAAGGGCAGCTCAAAACTAACAGAAAGTGCAATTATTGTCAGATTAAGGAAATCCTGTACCTATTTTACTGATGCAGAATAAACCAACGGGTTCCAGTGTGATTTGATGCGATCCGTTACCATAGCCTGGAAAAAAGCACTTTACACTATGCTGTTTAACTCAGACAATGACTTCAGAGGGCCACTGAGGTATTCAGTATAATTAACAGATAAGTTCATCTCAAATCTCACGTGAAATAGTCATTCCAACGCTAGTAGACTGATTTTCACAAGTCGGTAAAACAAAAAGATTAAGAGAATATTTTACCAGTTCATTTAGGTAAACTCGACCTTGCAGCACGAGTGATTACACACCATATAGCTAATTCCATTGAAATAGTTCCTTTTCCAAAGCTTAACAGCACTGGGTAAGTGCAGTGAAAGTTTGAAATCGACGTTACTACAATTCGAAAAAGTGGAACATGAGACTGCTAAGGTTATATCTGCTTTAAGTATGGTACTGGCCCTTCTTCCCGTCTTTAAAGAATTCACTTCCAGTCTGTTTGGTCATAGGTTCTACTTGTGACAGCAATGTCAAAATTCTATTAAGCAATTAATCACATTAAATGCTTCAGAAGAAAATAACTACTATAGGTTGCCTGAAAGCAAGTTAACTTTTAGCAACTACTCCAAAGTCCACATGCAAATGGACTGAGGTAAGGTGAGAATAAACAGCTAGACAGCACCAAAATAGCAAAATGGTGGGAAAAAGGAATGGAAATAAGACAATATGTTTAGCCACACATTTTATTAGACTGATTCTCTTTGGGCCAACGTTCCTACGAGGAGCGATTACCACACAGAATTCGATCATCGTGGAGCAACACCAGCTTCCGGTAATACCTCTCAAACCATTCCCGCCTCAACGCAGTTTGACCGATAGAAGAAGTCTATTTAAATTCTCAAATACAGTTGTCAATTTTAAAATAATAAGCCCTCTAAATGTAATGCAAATAAAGCACATTTTTCCTGTCTCAGTTCATTACAGTTCCCAGAGCCACTCGTAAAGGACAAGACAGGAGGAAGACAACGAGGAGCACCGAGGCTAACGCTCAAAAGAAAGGGAAAATTACGTATTGGAGCGACAACTTCAATTGCACATTCGACTGTATGGTCCATCTTAGCCCTTTGGAAATCGGTCCCAGCTAAACCGTTTTAAAACTGCTAAATACACAAAATAATGCCACATTCAGGCTAATAACCTAATAACGTCTTCAGGGGTAACTCGGGCGATAAGGCATCAATTCTTAATCAAAAATTGGTCCTAGTATCGATAAGATGCACCGAAGTCTCACCATAGGCAAGTGGCCCTGTGTAGACTGTCCATTGAGAGTGACTAGCCCGTGTCCAGAAAGCTGTTCCACCACTGCATATATTCTCGTTACGTTGTAGCGGCTCATGAGCCAGGTATAAAGACCCCCACTGTATCCCCCAGGCACTGGACAAGTCCTCATGGGCGTACGCAGCAGCTCAAATCGTCGTAAAGCATCCGGTGTAACGGAAGCCTTCCCCCGGTAAGGCGAGAATCCTTCAGCTTGTTCAACCTGCCGACTGATCAGTCTCTTGATCACAGCTCGCAGATTAGATTCCCCATCCTTCAAGACGGAGAGCCATTGGAGAAGGAGACGGGGTGCGGTGATAGGTGCTGCTAGAGCCAGAAAGAGGCCTAGTGGCATGGCTTGAATCACGTCGTGGAAAGTTATCCAACCCGGCACTGGGAAGAGGTAGAACAAAAGAACTTCAACAGCAGATAGGATTAAGAGTCACCTTCAAATCTCATCGGTTGGCTGGACCATGAAACGCCCATGATAATGTTTAGTTGATGCTAAATCAAGGTCAATCATTATCAATCTATTATCCATCTAGAGGGGAAATCATTAACAAAATAACCACTGTTATGGCAAGACCGCAAATTATCAGCCCTGAGTGGGGGGTTAGCAAGGCGAGTAATGAAAAATGAGAAAGCATTATTTTGTAAGATTTAGATTAGCAAAACAAAAAGGCAACAAAAGACGCAGTGTGCAGCAATGAACCACGAAAGTGCGGTCCTATCTCCTACTGATTTTGAATGCTGCCAGCAAAGTGAGCAGAACAAGGAGGAACCAAAGGGGAACCGTATCACTGAATTTAGCATTTCGATAATTTGTAAAAAAAACATGCATCCAAGTCCTCTGTAGATTAAAGCGACTTTGAGGATGCAAAAAGTGACTGTTGTCTTTATGTTTTTAAATAAAATTGACCAATCAGACACAGGAAAAGCACGGAACGTGCTAACACAACTATTCATCCGTTCGAGAAAAAGAAGTTATTACCGGCGGTATTTCGAGGAACAGGTGGCACATAGCGATACATGACAGATTCCACACTGTAAACTCGAGCCCAAGGTTCAGGCTAGATAAAAGGAATACAATTACAATTCTACAGAAAAAAAGGTATAGTTGTTAAAAGTAAGAAATCGAACTGACCGAAGTGGGAATCGCCTGTGCGTTAGCCGGCAGATCGTTAAGGAGGTAAAAAATAAACCTGTGTAAAAGGCATCGTCTCCGCAGTTTTGAGACGTTTCGGTCTGGTAGGCGGATGAGCTCCAGATCCTGGAGGACCCAAATGGAAGAAATACGGTCACCACCATCCCCATTATCAAGTGCAAATAAAAAGGGGGCCAAGGGGAACAAACCCTTTTGGTGAGTGCCAGATCGAGAGAGATGTTGGCGGTGGTGGCAACGGAGGGGGTTTCCTGATTTTCATCGTCGTCGACAGTGGCAAGGGCCTCCTCAGGTCGAAGAGCACCGTAGGAGCGCGGCGCCAGCATGTAGCGCTTCTTCTCCGCCATCAAGCAATCTATCAATTCGGGCGAGTCGGTCTCGACGCTTGGGTGGCAAACAAGTTTGAGCTACACCAGGAAAGAGCACTAGTAGTTGTTTAAACCAGTGACAGTAGCCTTATACAGACATTGGTTAAGATCAGTATTAGGAATTAAATTAAATTCCTAGGCTTCGAACACCAAAAATAACGTAAATAACATCGAAGGATTAGAAAAAAGTCACAGTAAAATAATAGTAGATTGAAGGAGATAGTAAGCTAGAGGCTGTCAGGTCGAGTAGTAGTAACTGCTTCACACTAGACACTGTTATTGAGTCGATCCAAAGAACTTGTGTTATTCTTTCTAGCAGCTTGATGAAACGGATTCGATTCTGTTTTTCGTAATTCATCTTAACGCAGCATTGCTTTTACCAACTGGACCAAGAAGGATCAAGGTGATTCATGAAGAACAAGGCGTCCGACTTGGTTTATCTGCTCCTGCTTCGCTCTTCAACAAAGAAATGCGCTTGCTGCCGAGCTCATACGTAAGAAATTTATAGCAATGACATTGGAAAAAAGGGAAAAACGATAAGAAATTACTGGGAGTGACGCAGGAAAACCCGAATTTTGATTTGATTCCCTAAATGGCCAACTTTCCACCACTATTTAGATGCAACCCATGTCGATGGCACTATCAGAATGGGTCGAAAGTAACAAGTCAATCTGATAGATAGATATAGTGGAACGAAATAGGTGCAATTGAGAGAGCAGAAAACGGTGGTAGTGTGTGCATGGAACAGCGTGTGGTGATGAGGTTTCTCGTCAGGGAAGATATGAACTAACCCGCAGATACTGGTATCCACAGAACACTCCAAGCACAGTACTGTGATGGAATGTCCGGGTGCAGCTAAACTTTAATGTAAACATTACAGAGGTTACTCTATGTCTGCCAGCGAAATTGCCGACAATGGTGGTTGTCAACCCCATCATTGAGGGTTATTCAAAGTTGTAAACATTCAGCGTCCGGAATGCCTGATAGATATACAGGGGATTAATCTCTCTGTAAGAGCGATGTCCACAACACAGCCATTCACGGACGTTTGTAATTTTGAAGTCGTCGCGTATTGGATATAAGGACAGGCAAGCGAACTGTACAAAGCAGGTTCGGCAATATTCCAAATACTAATTAAAGGCTTGGATAAGTCCATAAATTTAACAAGGAGCTGCGTCAAAAATCCACATTGGACTTCCCTCATGAACACTAAATTATATGAACAGCATTTAAAACGCTACTGCACCCTCATTTTTTCGTATGAAAATGTGTCTGAGCATATAACACGCCTGCGTACACTGCATAAGCTCTTGTTGCACTTGGAAATTAACATGTTGCCAATATAAGGTGACGATGGTCATGACGGGAAACAGCTTTCAGTCAGGCATCAAGAAGTGTGGGGAGAACAAAAATAAACCAATTGAGGGGAGGTCATCAAAACAGGGGTGTAAAAGAGCTAATAAACTCAAGCTCCTCTTTTTCCCGTAGCTAAGAAAAAAGAGGAGAAAAAGAGGTGACGCACATCAACCTTTCGCGGTGCTCCATCGTGGCGTCGGCCGATAATTTCCATATCAATGAACTTGATCCTCCTTTCCTGCACCAAATCGTCGATGATGCGACCGAGGGACTTACGATCCATCCGGCCCTTGAGGCCCTTCGCTTCCTCGTGCGCCCAGATGCGTGCGCGCAGGTCGAGGAGGGAGGGAAAGACCTTGCGAGCCTCCAGGCTTTCCAAAATGAAGAGCTTCCGTTGCTGACGTTGGTTGTCTATACGAGAGTTTGAGGTGAACAGGTGATAGATTCATAAAAAAACAGTACAAAAAAGGTTATAAGGCAGGAATTTTTTGGAATGGTTTTCGGAGTTCATTAGCTGGAAGGGCATGTAAGTCTACCCTCCATTTATTTTAACCTTAGACATCAAGCCTTACCTACGCGAGTATGTGAATGATCAGAACTCGTTAGTACTTCAAAAAAAGGCCTCAGCCAAATTGAACAGTTGATGGCCAAGTGAAAGAGAAAAAAACTTCGAAGGTTTACGTAATAGTTCATGGTTAATGCAAAGTACATATTAGTCTACACCGCAATTAATAATGAAATGAGGTATTGGTCAAGCGACGAATAGCCCTAATTCAGTCAAAATAGCGATGAGCAGAAAACCAGTGACCGACTTTATCCACATAAAGTAAGAAATTAAGCAAAGTAAATGTGCGTGTGAAAAAGTAAACAGGAAGAGAATAAAAACGTCCAAGACCATCTCAGCGTAGGCAGAAAATGTTTCCTTGAAGGCACACCTCACTGGGAAAAACAGTTAAAACAAAGCCACAAAAACAAAAGGAAACTAATCAAATTATGTTTTTAAACGGTCGTTTTGATGCAGACAAAGCACTTTTAATACAATAGGAGGAATGGATTTACCAGTAGGTGCAATGTGATTACAGTACTGCCGATTTCAATGAATAGGGATAGGCACGTTCGATACTACGGACGAAATGTTTTAATAGAGTGGGAAGAAAAGAGAGTGCCACACAAAATTACTTAAAAGTGTAGCAAAAACTGCTTTGTAAAGTATTAACCAAGTAATTGCACTAGGAAGATGCTTAAACAATGATAAATAATAGCGGCATAAAATGCACCAATATTGGTTTCTATGATTACACGAGCATTTGATACCTAGTGTACAAATCTGATAGTGCGTTAAATGAGGCAAAAGAAAACTCAATGAGCAAAAGTAGCGGGCCACTTTACAAGGACATCAGGGGGAAATGCACAGACAACTCACGAACTGAGACTAGACTGGTGACTTTTGATTCTAAAAAGCAGGGCAAACATTATAAGTTGAGGTTGGATAAAACCTTGAACTGATGGTAAAAAATATTCAACCTCTCTGTGCCTGCAGTAATTCCATTGACTCCTTTTCGGTTATGTATCGGCGACTGAAACGGGTCAAACATGGACGTTAAAACAAGAAATGCATCAGAATTCGTCTAAAAAGGCAACTTGCACTAGAGAAAACGTGGTCCCTATTGAAACCTTAGAGGTGACCAGTTTTCCAATGCCAGCAAGAGCATCCGCATATCTGGAGACGAGTTTATGCGAGGTATTGAAGTGCACAGCCAGTTGGGAGTTAGACTTCTCCTCCGATTCGCACAAAAATCGACAAATCTGCACACAAAATGACTCCTCACCATTAATCCGAGGCGCATCTGAAGTGAAAAATAAATTATAAAGCTAACAATGAGTGAGTAGCGACCACAGAACCAGGAGAGAGACGTACAATAGGGGGCACAGTCAAATACGTCGCTTTCCTCTCCCGTAACTAATCCCCCCTCATCTCCAAAAAGGGGTTCATCCAGCACAAGAGTGTTGTCGGTTTGGGTTTCCTCGGGTAAAGGTGCGACAGAATCCGGCCGACTGCCTCGATTAACATGAGCCTCAATCATATACTTTTCAATGTCAAATGGATGCTGCAGGTATATGACCGCCGCTTCTCGCACATAGCGTCGGCCAGTGGGTTCAGGCAGGGATGAGGGTGAGTGAGAGGAGTCAAGGATGCTCAGCTCAGCAGCCTCTTTTCGAAGCATTTCCGCACACACCTCCCCGGAGTCACCATCGGAACTGTTGATTAGAGCACATGCGGTCCCAAAGGGCACATGAATGACCTTGAGACAGCCCTGTTGCACACCGAACTTGACGATTCGCATAAAAGAGCGTCGCCCCATGGAAAATCTCTGGCGAAAATATAGAGTAAGGCCTGCAGTATGTTTTGAAGCGGAGGAAGTATTTTTGAGGTGGGAGAAGTACCTGGCGGATCGTGTAAGGAAGCATCATTTTAGCAGGGGTTTCTGAGAGTAGTTTGGATATTTTCTCCATGACTGTTGCAAGAGGGTAAGTCAATGGTCGAAAGAAACGAAAACTATGCAGCAGAGTGGTTCGTCGCATACTTTTTCGTAAGGAATCATGTGTAATGAAGGGCTAAAGAGGAAGGTGTGAAATGCATTACCAGCATACTTGAGACTTGATTAGGCCATCAGCACTAAATAGCTTGCGAATATAAAAGACGGTCGAGGAGGATTCACCGTAGGACAGTATACCGTCATGTCCGGAAATGGGAATGCCGTTGTATCTTGATCTGGAAAGCAGCACATAAGCGGTTGGATAGGGCATACTTTGCAACTAGCTCCAAAATTCGATACAGTTTTGCGTTAATGGAAGAGTGCAGAGTCTCGGATCCAGTGAGAAACAGGGTGCGAAGTGACTGTGAGGCAACAACCACTAGCCGATCGCCCCATCTGGAAAACAATCAGACGAGAAAAAGTCCTACCGCTTAAGAGCCATATCATACGTAATATCCTCCGTTAAAAGCTCAGAATTGACACACTGACGTGTTTTATAATCCGCACATGAACCATACACGTCCCCCCCATCCACGGGATACAGCTTTTTCTCAATTGTAGGAGGCTAAACTGAAACTATCCGAGTCAAAGTTAAATTACAGAATCATCACATAAGTTCTCTCCAAGACTTTCAAATCTGTCAAAGAATATGTAGGGAGGAGGTTCCTTGGTCCGAACGTAAAAGTCGAAGTTCTTAAAGCGTCTGATTTTGTCCCATAAAAATTCCTTAGTATCAGCGTCAATTCTCAAGGGAAAGTGAACTAAAGGCTCTTCCAAAACTTTCCACAAGTGGGTTATTGGAATTCCATCTAGACCGGCTGCACATATTTCATCGCTGACAATGTTTAAGAAATGCATCTCTCGTAGAAAAAAACACCGCCTTAAATTGCGCTGTTAGTGGGGGAAAAAGTAAAAGTAATCTCGAGGTAATCTTCTATAAAATTCAGGTTAAAAATCAGCATATTTATTTGGATTATAGCAAACGTAGTGAGTAGACTTGTCCTGTCTTGACCCTAAATGACCTGTATTTTTTGTTTTTAGAACGGGAATGAAGAACATTTTAGAGCCAAAGGGTTTGTGCACTTACATCCTAACTTTATTACACCGTACATATTTTTAGATGAGATGTACGACGAAATCACCTGAAAAGTCTGCAGATATTTCCCCCAACCATATTTGCGAATGAAACAACCGGTAACAAGGATCATTCTGTTACAATTAATGGGTGGATTTTATCCTAATTTTCGCGTGCATTGTAGACTTTGAATGAACTATATTTGCCTTTAAGCTCAGACGTGGCACCTAATTATTTTTAACGGTGGCTGTTTTTGGTTTTGAGAAGCTATACATGCAATAACGCATTTTGATATCAATTTTTTCTTCTGACTGAATCATTCGCTTGTACTGCGTGGGTCTGATATCTTTCTCTGCTCCACGAAATTGAAAACCATTGATCAATTGGGTGCGATACATTCTTAAGATTTTTGCAATAGGCTTTTTGTTAAATACATTAGGTAACAGTAATTTAATCCTTATTATTAGTAACTTGCTTCACCCATTATGTACCGAGTGCTTCTGCTGCTCTACTGACATTGGAGCCCATTTTTATTGGTTGTTTAAATTAGTCCAATCAATTTTTCAGTCGCCTCAGTGTATTGGTAGTCGGAAAAATTGAAGTCCCTATTGGAAGATAGTAGAGAACCGCGAGTTTCGTCCTGTTATCCGGATCTTTTGATGTAAGTAGGATAGATGGCTGTAATCACAACCATTACCCGCAAGAATCCTTCTTAGTGTCCTTAGTTTGTATACGACTTACGACTTCCTCGTTCAGGTTTTCGTTTGCTCGTTGTAGTGACGTGGACCGACTTCCTTCAATTTTACCG